TGGGGCTTCGAATCGGCTTAGCCATTCGGCCTTCCTCAGCCTCTTCCAGTGCCACTGATTCTCCGAGCGACATTTCATACTCCTCTTCCTCTTGTTCATCTCTTTCTCCACTATTGCTTGCATCGGGAAAGAGTATTTGACTTCCAGGATCCTCTATCTCCCCCTCTTCAACCTCACCTTCCAGTGGGGCTGTCAGTTCATATGGTTGCTGGGGGCGCGAACCGAAACGGCTCTGCACCCCAGCTTTGGATGGGCAGGAGCTGACACAGCTCTCTGCCCCTTCCGTCTTGGGCCTTACGGGCTTTCCAGGCCCTGCCCCTCGAAAGGGTAGGACCCACCTGCCGTCTTTGAACTCTCCATCCACAGCGGAAGAACATATACACCATTCCTCAGAAAGATGCGATGGGTTCTGCCTGTTTTGGTTTCAACGTAGCTGACCTTTGGGGACAGGACTACTTTGTTGCCCTTGCTGACCAATTGGCCAACTGATAGCAACGGCTGAGCGATGTTCGCCACAGACATGGTCATCTGTACCATCTCGTCTCCCAACAACCACGCTTTCGAAGACAAAGTGCCTTCGTTGGGAACCATACTCCCGTCGGCCAGCTTAAAGCTGTGGTAGCCAACAGGCTCTTCCAGCTTCACCTTGCCAACCAATCCCTTTGGGATGGTTGTAGCACTCGCACCAGAGTCGATGACGAAGTCGACTCGTGTCCAGCCAGGATACGTGCCACCAGTTGAGGTGCACGCCTGACCAGAAAAGGAAGCCAAGTTACCAGTACCTTTTCCTGGTCCTTGACCCTTTCCCTTCTGTTCCTTCTCTTTCTTCCGGCGTTGTTCACGGCGTCTTTCTCTTTTGTGCTTGGCCTTCTGCTTCTGTGGCGTCTTTGCTCGAGCCGAAAGCGGTAGCGTCCTAGTGCGCTTCACCGGCTTCAGCTCGATCCAGGAAGTCCTTTTCCTCCTCTTCCAGCAAGGCAGCCTTTGCCTTCTTTGACAAAGGTCTCGCCTCCAGCTCGTTTGCCAAAACTCCTTGAGCTAAAGGAAACACTCGTCTCTTCTGTCCAGAGCCTTCTCGATCAAAACGCCTGCGCCACTCGTTCTCGTTGGCTATCTTTTCTTCTGTTCTCTCTGACTGACCCTGCAGCCTCTTCTTAGCGGCTCTTTTCCTCGACCTCTCTTTCAAGTAAGCAAGTCTTCCTCCCATGTCCTTCTTGTCAACTTCTTGGCGAGCAGAATAACCTTGACGAAATTTCACCCTAAGACTCTTCTGCTCTTCCTTCAATCCTTGAATCTCCAACTCCAAGGCAGTGATCTCATCCATCAGAGTTGCACGATCTCCTGAGGGATCATCAAGTGCCAACCTCTTCTCTTCCAACTCCCCAATCCTCTTGGAGAGCAAGTCACCAAGGACAATTGCCCTTGATGCATTGTTCACAGCATATGGGTCGGATGTCGAAAGCGACACTCGTCCCAAGTTCCTGGTGCCCTTAGCTTCACCTGGGGCCAGGACAGGTCGAAGATGTGGTGGCACATACTTGCCAGCTGATGGGCTTGGAGCTGATCCCATGGATTCCTTCTTCAACTCGACTTCGGTCGATTGACGTCGGCGGCGAGGAAGTGGAGACCTGGACCTGTGGGAGGAAGGCGCTGAAGCAGCACTCTTCCCCTTAGATCCCATGGCCTCGGGCTCACTGCTGACTTCGTCAGCTTCATACTCACCTTCCTCAACATCATCTTCATCTTCCTCAGCCTTCACATCGGATTCCTCTTGCTCCTCTTGGGACTCAACTTCGCTGGCCTCATCCTCATCAGCTTCGACCTCGGTTGGTTCCTCTTCTTCCTCTTCCCCTTCTTCCTCCGGGGCCTCCTCATCGGTGGATGGCTGCAACATCCTTTCCTCCTGAGCAGCCGATGCCCCGGCACCTGAATGCTTGGAGTAGTCAGGCTCTCTCGGCAAATGGATCCAAATCGGATCCTTGGCACAGTGGATGTTCCTCTTCAAGGCCTCCTCTTCGAAGTAAGGAGTGGGCCGAATATAATAGCCTCTTTTCTTCTCATCCTCCCAAGCCTGCCATTGATCCTCCAATGGATGTCCAAGAGTGTGCATCTTGGAGTCGCAGTGACATGAGAGTCCGTGCCAATCAAAGCTTTTGTAGTAGCCTTTGCAATTGGGAACGGGGCACCTCAAAGAAGATGCAGGATCGCTCTTGTCTCTTCTGCAATCCGCCTGGACTACTTTCAGAGGTCTCGACCAAAACCAAGAGATAGTGGCATGCTCCGGACGAGTGATGGTGTTCTTCGTCTCCCTGTCGACGGGGCTAGGAAATCCAAGACGTGGCCTCCTGAAGTTGTACCTCTCCTCACTTGGGGTAAGCCGTGCTGGTTCAGCACTGGCCTTGGCCTTTGGCTTGGACCGTGCTGAGACAGCACTGGTCCCGCCAGCCACGAACAAGACACCCAAGTTGCCTTCCTTCTCAGGCTCATCTTCGGGCCATTCCTGACCTTCAGCACCGTCCTTTTCACCTTCACCTTCCAAGGCATGGGCCTTACCTTTTCCTCCTTTGCCCTTACCTTTGTCTTTGCCCTTCTGCTTACCTTTTCCATCCTTTCCCTTGGAAGCTGTGCCGGCCTTCTGAGTGGTTGACTGGCTCGAAGAGCTGCTTGCCTTGAAGCTCCAGCAATCGGCCTTCCTGTGGCCCTTCTTTTGGCAGTAGTGGCACACCAAATCCTTATCGGGATTGCCACCCTTACCATCCCTGCTCTTGCCTTTGCCCTTGGACTTGCCTTTAAAGGCGTCCAAGTCCATGGCAGCAGCACCTCCACTGTCAGCGTCCTTCTTGGCTGCTTTCTGTTCGGTGTAACTGATGATCTCGGATCGAACCTTGGCGTAGCTGTTCAGTTGGGATATGTTGAGCTCGAGGTGGTCCTCAAGCCCTTCAGGTGTCATCCCCATGATGACCATCACCTTCTGCTCGTCCTCAAGGTCCTTGTTTCCCCTGGAGACATATTCGGCGACGTCAGCCTCCCAACGGTCAATGGCTGGCCTCAGGTCGTCCAAAGTGCACCGTGGCTGAACAAGGATTTTGCGCAGCAACCTCATATTGCTCCTTGGGTTGTGCGGCTCATACAAGTGGCAAAGCTTCCTCCAGGCATCCAATCCACATTTCTTCCTGGCATTGAATACCACCGTGTATGGCATCTCACTTGTCAGCGACACCAAAGCCACATGCAGGTGGCCATCCAATGCCCGCAACTCAGGCACTGCATTGGCCTTCAACTGGATGTCTGAATCCTGGATGGTTTGGTCCCCACATCCTTTTGCCCAGTCGAGTGCGTCTTGCCCGATACCTGGGTACTGGGACACAAACCAGCTCTCAAACTTGTAGCACCAGCTTTTCCAAGACTTCCTTGCAGTCTCATGGGATCCTTTCAGAACCTCCGGTTTCCCGACACCTTTGACGTCCACAACATTGGACCGCCTTGACATGACTTCCAAAGCCCTCACTTGAGCTTCTGAGCTCGCAGTCAGTGCTCTTGCCTGGTCCTGGAGTCCACGCTCCAGCAACTCAAACCTCTGCTGTGACTCCTGAGACATCTGCATCATGTTGGCCTGCATAGTTTGCAAGATCTGCCCGAACAGAACTTCGGCACCACCTCCACCACCAGCAGTTGGACTGGTTGGTTGAGACATCACCTCAAGTACCTCACACGCTGCAGTTTCAGCACCAACCTTTTCCAGTTGGAAGTGGCGCGAGCTGAAGCAGCTCTGCGCCTGACACACAAAGAGCACAACCAGGTGGTCCAAGTTCCAATGCTCCTAACCAGGAGCTCCGCTACCATGCAGCGGGTATATTGGGCTCCCTTTTCCTTGCGGGCTCAGCAGATCTCGTCTCTCTAACTGAACTTACAAAAGGGCTGCGGTAAGTGAAACACATGTCATGCAAACCCTAGTGAAACTATCCTACCAACCCCTACATCGCAACAACTATAGGTATAACAATAATTTCCTGATAAACCATAATAAACTATACTAGTGATAACCATAGTTACAACCATAGTTATAAGCATAATTATGACCATAATTTAATAGTTATAAGTTATAATCAACCAACCTTATATATATACATATAAACATTTATACTTTTATAAATCATAGTTGATTGGTTATAACATGTTATAACTATACTGCACTTGGAAAGATCAGTACTTCGCTTGTTCTCAGCGCACACACACCCTGGTACCCGAGTGACAATCCCAAGAAAAAAAAACGCTGAATTGAGTCGCAATAGAATCACCATCTTGGGTCTGTCTGAGAATAAGATACCACTAAATTCCATGGTGTATCATGGATTATCATGGATTGTCATCATTATTCGAAATTCACGTATATCATGTGTTTTGGGAACTCTAGTCGTAGCTCCAACTGGCTCCTCATTTTGGTTGGGAAGAAAAACATAGATCTTTGATCTATACCCTCTGGTTATTTAACATAGCCATGGAAAATCACAATTTTTAATAGCTAAACCATCTATAAATGGACAATTTTCCATGGCTATGTTAAATAACCAAAGGGTATATATAACTTCAAACCGTTTGTCCATTCACCACACTGGATAGACATTGCCATGACTTGATCCATAGACATTGCTTGGTTCAATCCCAGCAAAATCCCGTTGGCGTTGAATCAATCATGGTCCCAACCCACATTGCCACAACTTGTGTACTTGTTTCCCTACAATGTGGGACCCCCCAGTTTTGTTTGGTCTAGATTCACCCGATACTAGTTTGTCATACGTATCATAAACCATAGTTGGAGTCATTTGCACCAACATAATCTAACATCATCTAACATCATCTTTCATCATCTAACACCAATTAATTATATCAAACACACACAAAAAAAACAAAAAACACACCATTTATTTCTTGCTGAAGTCCAGAGTGAAGTCCTCCATTTTTCCTGGATTTCCTCCATCGAAGTCCCAGCATATAATTTCCACCTGATCACCGAGGTCAAGGGCACGGAAAGGATTGCACCAGCGACACCCCAAACCTAGGCGTAGCGGCGTGTCGCGATGAGGCGATGAGTTGGGCGAACCATTTGGCCATGGTTCCAACACCCAGCAACCATGGAAGCCCATAGGATCCATGTACGGTATATTAATGCTAACATGACTGGGGTATATTGATGGGATCCATGGCACACCATATACAGCAGCAACCATGGATCCTATGGGTTTTGGGATATCTTAAGGGGACATGTTGGATTCGAGTGCTGTCCGACATGGATCAATGAGTCCAATGATCGGAATAGACTCGCGAGATACAACACCGAGTTGTGATTTTAAGATGTTTAAAGTCTAAAAAACGTACAACTCATATGCCCAAATATGCTTGCCAGTTGTACTTGAATATGAATCCTAGAAATAAGTTTCATAAGCTCTCATGCATACAATGTAGGGGAAATCAACAGTGTGTTTTTTTCATAGCAACAACCGGATGTCCATGTTTGAAGAAGGAATTATTCCGTGGCGAGACGCGCTGTCTGTTGACAAATTATGGGGATGAAGAAACCTATCATCGATGGCATCTACATCGTTAATCTGGTTGTTGGTCTGAACCGCTCTTTAAAAAACTATGAAAGTCAATGGGAAGGATGACAACCCATATATTATGGAAAATAAAAAATGTTCCAAACCACCAACCAGTAATGCTGTGTGTTGACTCTATGTTCTTTCGACACATTTACAAAATTTGCTTTAAAATGTCCAACGCCAACAACTGTATATCCCAACACATCCGATGTTTTTGTGATGTTTTTTGATGGGTGAACTAACCAACATCCACTGATTTTTCACAGCATCCCATGCACAAATTCCATTCGTTGATTGTAAAATCCATCGTTGTTCCACTTAAATTTACCATAAGTTGCAGATAAAAACCACATTTTTGAACCCAATCTGGACCCATGGTCAACCCCAAACCTAGGATTCAAATCTTTACTTTCAAAAAATCAATTCATTTTAACATATTGCAATCATGCCTTAAAGATAGTAATTACCGCTGATGGTTATCTTTTTCTGTTCCGCTCCCACTCAGCAACCTATTTCTTGATGCTAAAACCTCCATTTCCGTCAATTCAATCCACATGTTCCCGATTTTCCCCCCGAGTTTTCAATCCATTTTTTCCCAGTGATGAATCCATTCTTGATGAATCCAGTTTTCCCAGTTCATTCTATATTGTTTTCCATATTTTTCCCAGTTCATTCCATTCTTTCACAAATCCCATGGTTTTCCCCATTTCGTCCATGTTTTTTCGTGAACATCCCCCAAAACTCAACTCCCTCAGCAGTGGACCGAGCTCCAGAAGGTGAGAGCGATGACCACAATCAACGGATGGAGGTCGAGTCCTGATGGTACACTTGGCCGGATGTTTCGAGGACCGAGGGACTCGAGCTCTTAGAAAATCATGGTGACTTTCTTGGGAAAAAATGCTGGTTTCATGGGATGGATACCACGAAAAAAATGGTGATTTGATGGTGAGTTACCCTCTGGTAATTTGTCACTTAGCTACTGAAAATGACCATAGAAAGTTCGTGGATTTACCCATTAATAGCATGGTGGATCTTTCCATAGCTATGTAAACGTTTACCAGAGGGTATGGATCCCAGATGCGAACCATGGTGCTGGTTTATAAAATCCTACATAACTGGGTGATTTTGTTCGGGCAAATGTTGGTCAATATTCCAGCACCACGGAGCATCTGGGGATAGTTGTGGCCCCTTTTTTTGGAATGGTTACAAGTTTATACCAGTTGTATATATGGACCATATGGATATATATATAACATATATATATATATATAAGTTATAAGTATACCAGTTATATGGATAGAAGATATTATAAGTCAGTGAAATGGCCCTTACTGGAATGGTTAAACCATGTTATATCATGTTATAAAAGCGGTAATAACATGTTATAAGATGTTATAAGATGTTACAAGATGTTACAAGATGTTATAATATGTTATAAGATGTTACAAGATGTTATAAGATGTTATAAGATGTTATAAGATGTTATAAGATGTCATAAGATGTTATAAGTCAGGTGGAAGCCTGTGAAATGAATCAATCAAATGACACCCCAGAGTGGTGATTTCCATGGTGATGCAGACTCTGGTCATTTCTTCCATAGCACAGATGGCCATGGAATGTTCATTGACTTGCCAATTTTTATAAGGGTGATTTGCCAGACTTATGGCAGTTACCAGAGGGTAAATTTGTGATATATTCTGAGATAGAAACCATGAAATCACCATATTCACAGTATTCACATCAAATAAGAATTATCCAGAATTATATTTAATGACATTCCATGTGTTCAACTATTTTCTTGTCGCTTGCCCACATGTATCTGACTTTTCCCGCAATTGGCGAGAAGGTACAACATGAAGCCGCATTTTAATGACTCTTCTGAAAGCTGAGCTACTCACAACTCCAAAGGTTGATGCTAGGACGATGTCATAAAGTAAACCAGTTATGTCAATGGCCATTCCAGGATCCGATTGATTGGAGGTACCTACCATATATAAGGCCCATTTTTGAGGCCTATGTAAGGGAATTGATCCAAGTTATTGTTAGACCATTACTTAGTATTGAAACAACCATGGTGACGACTGGGGATTCCCCTGACTTAGGATTTTTACCCAGGGCGGCCCATGTTCTAAAATCTAGTTGCATCCCCCAAGTAACCCTAGTTATTGTAGTTATGTTCACCAGCTTAGCTATCATAAATCAGCAACAATCCCATTAAATCCCCAAGTTTCTTGGTTAAATATGGTTAAATCATCATTTTTCCCTATTTTTCCGATGCTTTGCAGCCCCATTGTATTGCTAATCCATCCTCGTTTGGGGACCCGGTTGTAGCAACGCGTAGCCGGAGCTGCGCTGCCCCAACTGCTCCGTTCGCTCCAAGCTGCCATGCTGCATGAGTTTGTTCTCAAGGATGCATCCCAACCTGAGAGAACCGGTTAAAGTTGTCCCATGGACAAACGCAGGGGTAAGCATGGATATATAATGATATATATATATATACGATATATATATATATATACATACTATATATACTGTATATATATACACTGTATATATATATATATACTGTATATAAATATATATATATATACTGTATATATAAATATATAAATACCGTATATATATATATATGTATACTGTATATATATATATACTGTATGTATATATATATATATGTTATATTCTATAACATCATGTGTAAAATAGTCCAAACATATCCAAAAAACAAAAATGTCGTCCAAAGAGGAGGGACTTGCGAGCTCGAACGAACAAACAAGGACCATATCGCAATGCAATGTGGTTGGTGGTTGAGCAACACTTAAATCTGAAGACATTTGATGTGATCAATACGGGAATCAACCAAGAAAACCTACTTGTACTAAATTAGGAAGTATCCGTCCACAATAGCCCACATGTTTCATGTAACAAGTATATACAAGTATCCCAAATCATCCCTTGATTTTTCGTACCTGACCTGAGCCTAACACAAAAAAAAAAACAAGAGCAGCAGATCTTTCGGACAAATATATTGTAGTAATGCACACATATATATATATATATACGCACCACAATTTCCATACATCTGACTAAATGTGGCTGAATATAGCTGAATTACCCTCTGGTAAACTAACATATCTATTGAAAATGGCCATTTATAGTGGATTTACCCATTAAACATGGTGATTTTCCATAGTTACGTTAGATTACCAGAGGGTATACCAATTCACAACCGAAAAATTAGTATTCAGTCACTGGCCCGACTGGCCCGACTGGCATGGTGCTGGGCTCCCGCGCACATTGTGGATGATGAAGGGAATTAGAAAAACCAGAAAGGCCTCAAAGCAACAGATGTAACTTGGTTAAGGCTTATAGGGGAAATATCCATATGGCAGTGTGTCAAAACCTTGGTACCCTGGTGAACATCAAAATAGCTGGTAAATGGATGTTCATCCCACTAAAAATGGTATTAATAGGTATTGATCCATAGCCATATATAACTATAGTTCATGGTGGTTATAAACCAACTTAGCTATCTAGCTGGGCCACATGTTGTAGGGGTTACAAGACCAGGATATACATTGTGTCTGGGCTAATGGCTTATCCGTATATATGTAGATGGTGTGTGTGTGTGTATAGACATATATCCACGTTTGTTCCCGCATTAGTGGAAAAGCACTACAAATGAACCTAAACAACAAAGATATAGTAGAAGGATGTAGAAGGGCTATGTATATATAAATGTATGTGGAAACGCCTGCACACATTTTCAGAGTTTGATAATCAGTCTACTCAGCCAGTGGTTTCCATGCAGGAACAAGTTTCTAAGGAATTCAGGTACACAAAATCTTGGTGTCTGCCTTTAGACTAGCTCAACTGGTTGCCGGATTCAAACCTTGTTGCAAAACAACATTGTTACTTGGTCATTGTCTTCCCAGGAACACACACACATCTGATGCAACCACCAGGATCAACAATGACATATTTTCTATGTGAAACTGCATATACCTACGTTTGACTTTGTGCTCCTGCGGATCCCATCGTGGAATCACTCTCCCAAGTATCACACATCAAGTCGTAGCCTAACAATACTTTCATGTCGAAGTATCCCCCTACACATACATAGTAAACATTAGTAAACCATCCCAAAAGTTTTCAGCCAACTATAAAACCATCCCATCCCACTGACATCCGAAAAAAAACAACTGGTCAACCTCGCACCACCTGACCCTCGACCCCTTGATCTCCGTCATCAGACGTGGCAAACGTTCGCTGGGAAAATCAAACAACCGGTGATGATTTTCCCACCTTTGATGACTCCGGAGGCTAGCTAATAATTAAGGTATGCTTACTGGTGCTAAACGTAGGGAATGGATGGGTTGCTGGGGGTTGCTGGGATGATTCTTACTATAGTGATTATGGATCATTCCCGAAAATTCCCTTCTAAGCACCAGTAAGAGTAAGGTATGTACCCTCTGGTAATTTAACATAGCTATTGAAAATGGCCATTTATAGCGAGTGTTCCCATTAAAAATGGTGATTTTCCATAGTTAGTTTACCAGAGGGTAGATGTTTTTTCATAAACCAACTTAGAACTGGGGTGCCCCACATTTGTTCGGAATCAATCCATTTTGTGAAAAACATCACCTTCTTGGCAAACTAAGATGTGGAAGCCATGGCCTATTTATGGATAAATGACCTATTTAACATGGTGAATCCTAGATATCTGCAACAAAAAAATAGCTGGTTAGTAACCATAGCAAAATATTAAAGTACTAAAGTATCTACAGTACTAGTAATGTGGGTAAAACAATAGTAAACCATCCCCCAAATCACCATTTTTATACAATGTGGGGCCCCCAAGATAGCTAAGTTGGTGCAAATAACTCCAATAACTTATGATACTTGATAACTTATGACTATATTTATATAATTGGGTTTATAAACCAACTTATAATTGGGGGCCCACATTGTAGGTGGTATGGTTACCATTCCCAAATTGGTGGTTTTATTGCCAATCTGAAAGATACCCTGCAAAAAATAAGAACTTCTTTGCTGATGAACGTAGATTTTCCCATTGATACCAAAAGACTAGTTAGGATTAGTTTCTACCCATCTAAGATTGACCTAGTAGATATGAGTGCGTCTGAAAATGTGCTATACCCCCCAAATGGCAATTTTGATTGGGAGCATTATGATAAACCACAGGTTTTTGTTGATCTCCTATGTTCACGCAAAGCCACATCTGTTGATATACCCGTGATAAGTAGTTTATATATGTATATATATATATATCTAACATGATCTAACTCCATTTATGGCATGATAACCCCATCTTAGATACCCTGCAAAAAATGACAAAATCTCTGATGGTTAGTAATCAGATATTCCCATTAATACCAAAAGACTAGTTAGGATTAGTTTGTACCCATGTAAAATTGACCCATGTATATATATATATAGATCTAACTCCATTTATGGCATGATAACCCCATAAAATAACACTGTAGAAATGGCATGGTTTTGCCCACATCAACCCAGGTTTCCACCCAGTCAAACCCAGCCCAGAAGCATCGCTCACGGTCCGATCCGGTGCCAGCAAGACCAAGGGCACCGGTAACAACTCCGCGATCGCGGCGCCCACGTTCCTGGATGCCGTGGACCGCTGGAATCGGGGAAGACCCAGGGAAACTCGAGGAAATCACGGGGAAATCCATGGGAAATCCAGGGAAATCCCATGATTTTAGGATATCTTAGGGGGATATTTTGGCAAAAATTCAACCAGATGGCCATTTCATTTTGTTGGGAATTCGACCAAGAGTCATGGTGCCATTTCTTCAGGGATTCGGCCCGGCCAATCCCATGGAGGGAAGGGCCATGCAGCTGGTGACGATAACTGAGTAATACTCAAGACATCTCAAGACCAGTATATAATTTAACAGTTGTGGGTTCAGCCCTTTTTTTTGTGCATTTTTGGCATGATCCCTTCTTCAGTGGGATCTGTTGTGGAGGGATCATGCCAAAAATGGATAAACATGATCTATTTGACAAAAGAACCTGACGGTTTAATCAACGAAACTAGAATTTAATCAACAAAAACGGGGATTTACCCTTGGAGAAAGCTTTAAAAAACGAGATGGAAAGCAACCAAATCCAAAAAAGTTGCTGCAAACAAGCGATTTTTGCAAACTGTAAGAAAATCGTGACGACAAGTGCAAGGGTTTTATGTTGATACAGCGGGATTTTACAAGAATAAAAGCAGCAATCATAGTGGGATATAATGAAAATTAATGAAACTTAATCATCAAATTTGGTAGGCTCAATCCATAATTACTGAATTATCCCATCCCCCTAACATTGCTAGGGGATAAATGTTGTTATTGATTTCTCAGTGTGGCTACTTTTCATCAAGGGAGAACCACCAAGCAGATTTCCCGTCCGACTGGGTCCTGCAAAAAAGACCAGGTGAAATCTTCATCATGGGCAACCCGAGTTCGTCAGTGATGAAATTCCCAACTGAATGGAAAGTCATCAAAAATCCATGGTTCCAAACTACCAAGCAGATCTGGTTGGTGGTATACCAACCCCTCTCAAAAAATATGAGTTCGTCAGTTGGGATGATTTGTTATTCCCAACTGAATGGAAAGTCATAATCCAGAAATGTTTGAAACCACCAACCAGATTTTCAGGTTATTCAGGCTATGATCTTTTTCCATTTATGGATGGTTTACCTATTCTTTTCATGGTGAATTTTCTTTAAAAAAACTGGGATTTTTGTTGGGGAATCTCCATGTCTGGGTCGCTGTCGGATCAGCTGGATCAGTGATTTCAGCTATGGATCATATATAAGGCCTATGTAAGGGAATATCCCCACAAAATATGGCCAGAAATATGGTACTAACGTACCTCCATTTTAGGATCCTGGATTTCCCATTGATTTGATGGTGAGTTACCCGGCCTGGTAATTTGTGAAATAGCTATTGAAGCCATGGTCATAGAAATAGTAGATTTACTCATGAAAATAGCATATGGTACGCTTTTCCATATAGTTTTGTTAAACATGTTTACCAGAGGGTACCCGGCCTGGTAAACTGACATAGCCATTGAAGCCATGGCCCATGGAATTAGCTGATTTACCGAACTTAAAGTGGTGATGGGAAGGCCCTTTGACAGTGGAGAATGTCCTGGAACATGTCCTCTGGTGAAATGGATGTAGTAGTACTCAAAAGATTCGTCCAAAGGTTTATGCAATATGGTGGACGGTGAGTGAACCACTCATCCATCGCTGGGAGCATCTGAGCATCCTTTGACACCTTCACAGGAAACAAGAACTTGTCTGCGTCAACCATGAGGCTTTCCAGGCAGAAACGAAGTACCCAGGGACCCTGCGAACTTCGCAAAGGATTCAACTCCCCAGTTCCATAGTTATATATATATATATCTGGTTAGTGGTTTCAACCCCTCTGGAAAATATGAGTTCGTCAGTTGGGATGATTATTCCCAACTGAATGGAAAGTCATAGAAAGTCATGTTCCAAACCACCAACCAGATCTATATATATATATATACACAATATATATATATATATACACACATAATATATATATATACACGGTATTACACGGTGATGTTGGTTTACCAGAGGGTAGCAGGGATCGGGAGGGCTCCCCATGGCCCATCGCACAAGTTGTTTAAAGCCAGGCTCGGAATGAAGTTCAGAAAGAAGGTCAAGATTCCAAAGACCTCGTTGCCGGTGTCATACCCATAGGATCCATGGTGCTGCTATATATGGTAACATTTACCATCCATATACCCCAAATGTTAGCATATATACCATACATGGATCCTATGGGATATGATGAGTCTCCAACATTTTTACATCTCTAGAATTCGAAATCTATAGATTAAGCCATCTAATATCTAGCTGATTTCTCCTAGTATTTGTGGAACACATCCAAATTGACCAATCAAATACATGATGTTCATATCATTGCCAATCTTAGATACCCTGCAGAAAATGAAAAAATCTTTGCTGGTGAACGTAGATATTCCCATTAATACCAAAAGACTAAAGGATTAAAGTACCCATCTAAGATTGACCTAGCATACAGGATTGTGTTTTCAACCCCCCTGCATCTGGGATCATCATCCACTTCTGGTTTGAACGCGAAAAATGATCGTTGAAACATGTTGAAACCACCAACCACATATCCCAAATATGGGTTATATCATGTTATATCATGTAAAATCATGTAAAATCATGTTATATCAATGTTATATCATTCTTCTCCTCCTCATTGGTGTCCCTTAAAATGGTCCTACTTTGGCCTACTCGGTCCATGATGGTCACCCTTAAGGCTCGGCTGCCATTGAGCGTCAGGTGATTGGCCAGTTATTGGTGCTTGAGCCAAAAAATGTATTCAATGTATTGATATACTGGGATACACCTCAGGGAAAATGAATGTTAATTACTATATGACGAAAAATGTCTTTTTTGGGATACACCTCAGTGAAAATTAATGTTAATTACTCACCATGACTGTCTAATTCTGGCAACATTCGAATTGTGTACCTCTTCGGACCACTTCGGCCGGTCTGGCAACAAGTCTTGTCGAATTCGGATCTGAAACTCTTCTGGAATTTGGTACCTGAAGATTTAGCTGGAAGACCCATCCCATCCATGGTTAATCATATTTTTTCCCTATTATGATGGCCAGATTTAGGTTTTTTTTATGACGGAGAGGAGCAAGCACCAGAATCAATGCTTTGTTGCGGCACCTGAGTCCATAGAATGATCTTATTTTGTTATACTTTGTTTACCATTTACCCCTATATATTTTTGTTCTTTACCCCTATATTTCTTGGTGCATTCCCTAAAAGAACAGTTGAAGTTCAGCTTCCATCGCAACGAATCTTCCCAAGTGGATGCTTTCCATGGCCGAGGCGCAAAAGCCAGATCGACCTGCCAGGGAATGGCTGGGCATAGGAACATTTGGACAAACGAAGAAAACAAGTGGATAGCACACATCAGGTCTACAAGATGCATCAAGATGCTCGCCAATTTTGGTGTGCTGGATCGTTCTCTTGGCATTCCTACATATCTCATCATATCTCCAGGCGCCTTCTGGATACTTCCATGTTCAACTTCATTGCTAGCCGAATCAGTGTTTTTTTTGGTCACCAGCAGCATCTTGAAAAGACATAGAACATCATAGAACTAGTAATTTATATATGCCCGTATGAAATATTTGCCAACATCTGCCCAAACAATGAGCCAGTCCTATAGGTAAATATACCAGCACCATGGACCCTCTGGGGAAGAGTTCCCAACAAAATGGACCAGTTTGCTTCTTTCTACAATGACATATGAGGACCCTCGGAATAGTGGGAACGTCCCAGATTTCCTGGGTGTTCACTAACCATGTCAATTTCGACTATCAGAAGTCCCAATCCAAACTGGACATATAGTTTTCCTGCAGATTTTGGAATGCAGGAATCCCGTTCGGTACTTTTGGTCCTGCAACACCATCTGGCCAAATTACTTTAATTCTTACCTCGTCTCCCTCGTGTCTTAATTTGTTCCCCATGATTACTGTCCTCGTTCGTTAATTTGCAGGTGCAAATTAAGGCTTTACCTCGTTAATTCGAAGGAAGAAAGTAGCTTGTGGGCCTTCTTTCCAGGGTCCAACCCCAAGGAAAAAAAACTTTTCAGCTTCCGAAAAGTTTTTTTCCACGATCCACGGTCTCTTGCAGGGATTTTTAAGTCTGAGTCTGATCGGTCTTTGCGCTTCTTGCGCTTGGGTGGTGACATCTCTGACATTATCGCAGAGATGCAATGCTCTTCTGGAGCAACTCTGAATCCTACTGCTTCTGCAGCCGTCAACCCACGAAGCGCTCTGGCGATAGAAAATAAAACTTTTTGGGGCCTGAAAAGTTTTTTTTCCTTCCTTGCCTGCTGACCGGCCTCTGGCGATAGAAAATAAAACTTTTTGGGGCCTGAAAAGTTTTTTTTCCTTCCTTGCCTGCTGACCGGCCTCTGGCGATAGAAAATAAAACTTTTTGGGGCCTGAAAAGTTTTTTTTCCTTCCTTGCCTGCTGACCGGCCTCTGGCGATAGAAAATAAAACTTTTTGGGGCCTGAAAAGTTTTTTTCCTTCCTTGCCTGCTGACTGGCCTCTGGCGATAGAAAATAAAACTTTTTGGGGCCTGAAAAGTTTTTTTCCTTCCTTGCCTGCTGACCGGCCTCTGGCGATAGAAAATAAAACTTTTTGGGGCCTGAAAAGTTTTTTTTCCTTCCTTGCCTGCTGACCGGCCTCTGGCGATAGAAAATAAAACTTTTTGGGGCCTGAAAAGTTTTTTTCCTTCCTTGCCTGCTGACCGGCCTCTGGCGATAGAAAATAAAACTTTTTGGGGCCTGAAAAGTTTTTTTCCTTCCTTGCCTGCTGACCGGCCTCTGGCGATAGAAAATAAAACTTTTTGGGGCCTGAAAAGTTTTTTTCCTTCCTTGCCTGCTGACCGGCCTCTGGCCCCCAAAAAAGTTTTTCTAGCCAAGCCAAGCATGCAACAGAACCAATGCAAGGCTACCTCGTCGAGGTCGGCTAATTCTGATGAGCAAATTAAGGGCTGACCTCGCTAATTCCTGCAACCTGCCTCGTTGCCTCGGCTGTCCTCGCTATAATTTGTGCAGACACCATGATTTGCGAACGGTCATCCCATCATTTCATTTCGATGGATCAATTCGAGAATTGATAGAAGAACCACTAATACTGAAACCTTGTACAGTAGAGCGACACTCCTCCCTTTTTTTGATGCGGCGTTGTCGTGGAAGCTAACAATTAAACACAAAAAATAAAACAAATAATCATGAATGTATACCCTCTGGTAAACTAACATATGTGGAAAATCACTATACTTTTACAGCTAAATCAATGTAAATCATGTATAATTTGGCCATTTTTGATAGCTATTGCATAGCTATGCTAGTGGAGGCTATACCCCGAATATACCCCCCAACTCCTGCCTTCATGATCCCTAAACAAAAGCCCACAGCGGCGCCAATCACAGCGCTGGAGACGGTTTTCCAGAGCAGATATCTCCTGGCAGCAACATCGGTTGATCAACAACGGTTGATAGAACAAACTAGAATCCCAAAATATCCCTTAAAATCTTGAATCAATATGAATCAATAACATTCAATAACCATCGGATCATGATGATAAGTTACCTTCCTGTCGCTGGAAACAAGGTCATGACCACACACAAATGTCCAGGTAACTGTTGGCTTTCGACATGGAAAGCCAAACAAGGCATGTATCGAGGATCGATTTTCAGATTTCATGGCGCCATTCCAGCGCCATGAGTCTCCGATGTCTCCCATTGCATCATTTCTCGACAAACAGGACTACTAGACATTGCCAATCTGAAACTAAGTTGGTGCAAATAACTCTAATAACTATGGTTTATGATACTTGATAACTTATGACTAACTTATGACTATATTTAATTGGGTTTATAAACCAACTTATAATTGGGGGCCCACATTGTAGGTGGTATGGTTACCATTCCCAAATTGGTGGTTTGATTGCCAATCTGAAAGATACACTGCAAAAAATAAGAATTTCTTTGCTGGTGAACGTAGATCTTCCCATTGATACCAAAAGACTAGTTGGGATTAGTTTCTACCCATCTAAGATTGACCTAGTAGATATGAGTGCGTCTGAAAATGTGCTATACCCCCCAAATGGCAATTTTGATTGGGAGCATTATGATAAACCACAGGTTTTTGCTGATATCCTATGTTCACGCAAAGCCACATCTGTTGATATACCCGTGGTAAGTAGTGAATATATACCCTCTGGTTATTTAACATAGCCATGGAAAGATCCACCATTTTTAAGTTCGGTAAACCATCTATTTCTATGGGCCATCTATACCATGGCTACGTTAAATAACAAGAGGGTATATTATATTCAATATGGCAGTGTGTCAAAACCTTGTACCCCTGTAGTTCACATCAAAATAGCTGGGATTTATGGATGTGAATAACCCCCTAAAAATATGGTATTAATAGGTATTGACCCATACCCATATATTCTATAAATAATCCTAGCTATTCCTATTCCTAGCGAATAAATGTAGCCCATCTGAGTGCTGTAGGTATACCGCTGCGCTGCGTCCAAGTCTCTGCATCAAGTGCTTGATGCCGTGTTTTTTTCTCCTCGCGTCAGTTGAAACTGGGCTGTTGAACGTTGCAAATTAAACCATGAAAGCACATGAAGTTCATGAAATGGTAGATTTGAAGAGATTCTGCTTTTCAAAACACTTCAAAACCATTTGCCACTGCTAACGTGTCCAGTACGACAGTGACAGAAACAACCAAACAGGGGAAGGAGGTTTCTAGGTAGAGATCTGGAAACTAGGGCTACCAACTTGGAAAAACAAAGGAGGTACAGTAAAAAACCTGAAACCCCAAACTGGAAACCTCTACATATTGAGTTCCTAGCTTCTTGTTTTGAAATGGAAACCCTGCTAGAAGAGCTTGGATGTTTCAACTTCCAGCATGTTAAGCCGAAGAGAGTTTTCTCCCACTAAAGAGTTTTTTCGGTTTTTCGGATTCTCCTAGATGATGTTCCTCCAAAAATACACCCACAAATCCTGAAATAAAAACCTGGTTGGTGGTATACCTACCCCTCTGAAAAATATGAGTTCGTCAGTTGGGATGATGAAATTCCCAATACAGTATATGGGAAGTCATAAAATTCCATGGTTCCAGTCACCACCAACCAGGTGTTTTTATCATCGATTTGCTCGCATGTCACGGGCCATGCCACCCTTTAGGGGGTCACTTTGATTCACCACATGGTTAAACGGGCCCCTTTTTTGATAGCGAAATTGGTCGATTTGAACTCCAATACCTATGGTAAACCACGATACGCAAATAACATCCCCATAACATTCAATAGGGTAAAACAATGTCGTAAACCAGCGATGACTGGGAATCGTGAAAAAACCACCCATTTATGGTGATGACTGGGGGATGGTTTATGACATTCTTTTACCATTATAGTTATTCATGTGGAAACCATCTAAACCAACAAACTCACCTGCCACTAGCTCCTGGTCTTTGCGCTTGGCAACAAGGCATAGAGGCAGAAGAAGAACATCAGGGCCGTCAGGATGATGCCCTCCGAAAATGCGATCATGGCCTCAGGTACTCAGATTCAGATAAGGCCTCAGGTCTGATAATAGGGGACCTCTAAATTTCTTGATATCCATTGGTTAAACATATATTTAATCATCATGTTCAGAATCATTTTCCCTATTTAACAGTAGCATTTAAAATATTTAAAAGGGCCAAAAACACTATACACCATATCTGGTTGGTGGTATAGCCAACCCCTCTGAAAAATGATGGACTTCGTCAGTTGGGATGATGACATTCCCAATATATATATATATATATATATATATGGATGGAACGTCATAAACATGTTCCAGTCACCACCAACCAGATGAATAGTTAATAATATTAACTGATAATCAACTATGGTAGTTAACTATATTGATGGTAGTTTAATGGTAGCATTTAAAAGGGCCAACATATCCGAGCTGATTTGCCTCTTTGATCCGCCCCTTGCCAGCCTGTTGGGGTGCCTGTTGGGGTTCCAAGGATGTTGCCATCATGTCATGTCGTAAATCCCCATCAAATCAGCCAAAAAAACACGCATTTTGCTTGAGAATGCAAAATGTCTATAAATACTACATATATATATATCATATCATAAATCATATCCCTTTATTTTTGTGAGTCTGACAAGTGGCGTTCAGTGTATCCAAAAGTTGTCCTCTGAAGGTATTCCAGATACTGGACCAGTCCATTTTGCTGATGTCCTCGGCGACCGCCGCATGGGAGTTCCGAACGAATTTGTTAGAGAAATGTACCCGGCCTGGTAAACATACCAAAAACTATTGAACATGGTGATTTATAGTGGATTTACATGGATTTACATGGATTTACCCATTAAATTACCCATAGCCATAGAAATAGTTGAATTACATTGAATTAGCCAATAAAAAATGGTGATTTTCCATAGTTATGTCATGGCCCAGTCGTTAAATAGTTGAATTACCGATACAAAAAATGGGTGGTGATTTTCCATCGTTATGTCAACGTTTACCGGAAGGTAAACTTAACATTAATATATCCCATGTGGAAATCATATGAAATCCATGGCATCCCATGATGATTTTTTTCTCAGAAAAGTTGCCATCCATCATTTGTTCATGGGATGTCCACATCCAGATTTCAAGAACTCGTTGGTGGTTTTAAGATGTAGTTAATATACTGTTAATAATGGTTAATATGGTTATTATATGGTTAATGATGGTTAATAATAATCTGGTTGGTGGTATACCTACCCCTCTGCAAAATGTGAGTTCGTCAGTTGGGATGATGATTATTCCCGATATATGGAAACATAAAAATGTTCCAAACCACCAAACAGAGAAAACTCCGTATTCTTTTTCCGAATGCATTATATCTGGAGATGAGGCAACTTAAGGAGAATGATTTATATGATTTATGAGCTTTAAATATGAGTAATATGAGGCTTGCCATGAAATGATCATAATGTAATGTGGGTAAAACAATGTCATAAACCATTCCCCAGTCATCACCATTTTGAGAGGTTGTATTTTTACCATTCCCGGCATAGGGTGGTTTATGACATTGTTTTACCCGCGTGACTGCAAACATATTCCCTATTACTATTCCACTAATACTATTATAGTTGGTATTGTAATACTATTCCACTAATATTCACTATTGGTAGAAATATAGTACCAACTATTACGGTCATTGTTTCCAACGTATCTTACGTAACTTGAACGTAAGATCTCCTATCGTTGTGACAGCTCAGGCTGCTCAGGCTCCGGGGACGGCCAAGTTCCAGAGTCCTAGGGTTTATGGCAAACATATCTACTTGGTGGCTCATCCCACGAATCGTAAGTGAGTTATAAACCCAGTTATAAATGGGATAAGTAGGGTTAATCCACTTATAACTGGGGTTATAACCCACTTACTAAGTGGGATGAGCCACCAAGTAGTTAATGGGGGTTATAAACGAACAAACGCAACGGGGGGGAGGCACCACCTTGTTTGAATAAGAGGAAATTCAACCAGCAAAGAAACCATGAAGGGGGGGTATCAACGAAGAAACATGAATAATCATGATACAGTGTTGGAAATAACACTACAGTGTGGGGCCCCCAAAAACGATAGCTAAGTTGTTTTATAACTCCAATAACTATGGTTTATGATACGCAAATAACTATATTTAATGGATGGAATCTAAACCAATCTAGCTATCAAACGGCGGCCCCACATTGTAGGTGGTTTCAACTCCCAAAACCATGGAGAATTCTAGGGCTTCAGAACTCATCTTCTGGAACAAAACCATTAATTTTGTGACCACCTGCCACGATCTCTTCCGTGAGAGATGCAGTAAAGTTGTGTCTAGAATGTTGACTATAACTGCTACAGAATTGTTTGAATTTGGATAAAAACTAGTAAAGTACACCATATGTTTGTATCCTGTACAATTTCGTAACTATAATCTATGTTGTAAGCTGACAAACTAGTACCTGATGACACATACCCAAACGTTTCACTAATGTGTTCCTACACCCAGCAGTTTCCCTGCTTAAATGTTGCCCAAACTGGCCAAGTACATGTTTTTTTGTGGGTTATGATAACTTATAAACCCATCCCCAACAGGTATATATTGGGATAATAGTATAACTAACATTACCTACTGTAACCACCAAAATCGCAAAAAATCTGGCAACATCTATCCCATGTAGATTGCCCTGGGAAACAAAAAAGGCTTTCCTACGGAAAGTTGTCATCACCAGCGCCAAGTCGCAACGCCATGGCGCTTTAGCCACGCCAAAAAGCTGGTGATTTTGTAGGAATTCCTCAGGGAATGCTCATCACGGCAGCCCGGGCAATGGCCAATCATGAAAATTCAAGCAGTAGCTGCCAATAATTATGAATTTTAGATAGATTTAGATAACTTTAGCTTGAAAATGCTGGAAAGCTCTTGAACATGTGGCATGTTTAATGCATATATATATATATATATTAGGCAAGGTATTTACAGAACATTGATGTCTAAAAGCCATTCATCTATTTAGAGTTATTCAATGCACATCCTTTTTGTCCTGCAACTATCAAGGGAGACAGAGTGAGGCTGAAAATCTAGGTCCTTCAAAATCTAGACTCATGGACTTGGAGGAGATGACAAGGACAACTGCTTAGAACCCGGAAGAATTGACTAATATCATAAAATGGAAGACCCTTTTATGATTTGAAGGCCATATATCTTCACAGCATATGTGCAGGAGGCCCTGCGTTAACCCAATGATTCCCACCAAGACAGCTCTCTCCATTCACCTCCAGATGTATTTGTTGGTCTGAAAATAGGGTTCACTACATTTGTTGGCTCATCGTGTTCATCACGTTTTTTTTTTTTAATGCAAACTGCCATTCAAAGCCGGGCTTTCCCTTTCTTTGAAGCCTAGCCAGAACAAATCCTTCATTGGTTCAATCATTGGTTGCTTAAATCGCATGAAGACATCATGGTTAAAACAGTTAAACCCCCAATTTTCCTGATGGTAAACTACAGTAAAATCCCCATTTTTGGATTTTGGGATCCATGTTGACCCTGGCACCACCTGGCACGAGCAAATCTCCAAGAATCTTGTATTTTGTGAAATCAAAATGTTGAAAGGCCTGCACCATGGACCTCAAAAAACTGACAATCGAGCGAGCTGCAGGGTGAGCTGCAGAGGCCCCGGCAGGATGGAGTGATGGAGTGAGTATATGGAATTATATCACTGGTTGGTGGCTTAACAATCTTGAAAAATTATTTGTCAATGGGAAGGATTATCCCATATATCATGGAAAATCAAAGCCATGTTTGAAACCACCAACCAGATTAATATACCCGGCCTGGTAAACAAAGAGTTTGCGAACTTGAAAATTGCCATAGAACTAGTTGATTTACCCATTAAAGATGGTGATTTTCGATGATTTTCCATAGTTATGTAAACGTTTACCAGAGGGTAATGTCAACCCTGGATTCAACCCTGGATATAAACCATGGTTTATTAAATTAAGCCATCGGGGCCCTCCAATAGTGATGTCATCTCATACTCAAATGGTACCCTTCCAATTAAACAGCCGTTTGGGGTTATTAATCCAGGGTTGAAATTATTACATGATTATCTATATTCTCTAATAGACATTGCATCTCACCCATGCTTATGATGAACTCGTATAAATTCAAATAAATTCTAATAAATTCTAATAACATAACTTAACATAACACGTAATAGTCCAATCCAATAATTCAGCAGCCCAAAATGTTGTGGTCCCAAGTGATAAAAATCATCCCCTGCATCCGAGGATTAACTCTCCTGAGGATTCGGCCTGTGGGTTTTCCCCGTAGCAAAAATCAGGGGCCTAAATAGCTGTGACCTATTCATGCAATCGACTGTATACGGTAAAGTTTATCATGTAGTTTCAACTTAGTTGACCCTTTTAACTTTTTGCATTTTTTTGCCAAGGCTTGCTAAGAGTGGGTATCTATGTCAAACCATACCTTGCCTTCAGGCAACTTTTTCTCTGTAGCACGCACATAACATCACAAAACATCACATACTGTGGAATGTTGCGAAATCCTGCATCACCTTGGATGGTTGAAACATGTTGAAACCATATTAATAATGGGATAAACCACCTATCAGCTGGTGCAGGATTTCGCTGGCCCATCCACCGGTTTCACACTTTCGAAAAACCTCCCGGGTCTCGTTGGTAGAAAATCTTCTTTCTGGTCTTCCAATCCTGGTATATCCTGGCAAATCCTGGCACATCAAATGCAGCGCTATAACCAATTCCAAGTCAGCAAAAAGAAGAAGAACCACCGATGAAAGTGTCACGGTTGAGGCAGAACTACTAATGGTTTAACTGGTTGGTGGTATCCTTACCCCTCTGAAACAGGTCAATGGGAAGGATTATATATCCCATATATTATGGACAAATAAAATTCATGTTCCAAACCACCAACCAGTTTAAAGATGTTTAAAACCTCATCGAACTTTAGCCAAACTTCTTTCCGTACGGTTTGGAAGCGCTTGGACGGGAGCTTCCAACCCCCCCAAAAGAGGCCAACTCGATTCACCATTTGAGACAAAATCTGCATAAATCATACTATATCCCATAGGCTCCATGTTTTTGTTTCTCGTTTGTGTCACAAATTTGCCAACGTTTTTACAACCCCCCCCTCAGGTTTTCAAGAGTTTGGAGACTCTGAATGTCCAATCCAGTTGTGATCCAAATTTATGTCTCCCAGAAGAATCTGGTATGGTATGATGAATTGTTCCATGAAAGTTCGGCTGCCGAAACGACGTCACATTGCAACATTGCCATCTTAGATACCCTGCAAAAAATTAAGTTCTTTGCTGGTTAGTAGATATTCCCATTAATACCGAAACACTAATTACAGGATTAAAGTACCCATGTAAGATTCTGACCTAGGCAAGGCACCACACGAATAAGATCAGCAGGCCAATTAGGAAGGCAGTGCACAGCAACACGGCGACAATGTCCTTGGGACGGTGCAATAAATAAGGTCCGAAACACCAGATTTTTTTGGGGGGATAAATGGTTACCCTCTGGTATAGGGACATCAACTATAAATGGCAACTTTCAATAGCTAACTTAAATCACCAGAGGGTATTTCTGTGGGGTTATCATTCCATAACTGGGGTGATTTCACTGACTTATCCCTGGTATAACTCGGGCCATTCTTCTGTACCCAACAAAGAATGGATGGCAGCGTGCAGAAGCAAACTCACGGATAATCATTGGGAATCAATGGATGTTTGATGGATAACCATTGATATTCATTGTGGCATTGAAGACACCCTTGATGAATGGGAACATCTGTGAAACTCATCCATGTTCAACTTAGATAATCTGTCAAATATGGGATTTCTTCATAGCTATGTGAAATCACCAAAGGTATCCTACCAGGATTCCATAGGTATATAGTTGTGGTATCAGTCCCAAATGTACATTATCATCTCAATCCCATCGAACGATCCCTAGTGCTTGCTCCACCCTATGGACGGTCAAAGAATCCCATCAGTTCAAATAAAAAACACTTGCTGAATGGGAACTAGTATCTATAGTTTAATATGAACTGATTAGTACATGGTCTAATATGGAATATTCTGATTACCTATGTGATTTCATCTCATGGTTTCTATAGGTGTGAAAAAAATGTTTAATATTGGGGGGATGGGATTACTAAAAGAGAATCAAGGGGTGGTCCCTTTTCATACTCCCTGCTACTCAAACAGTGCGATGCAAACAGACCAGTTTTATGGTGAATATCCACGAATGGAATGACCTTGGGATGGGTCAAAATCATGCAATCCTTGAAATCAAAATAGCTTGGATTCGTGGATGCTCATCCTCCAAAAAAAACGTATTTTAAGATATTGATCGCTAGCCATATAAATGGTAATCACATAGGTAATCACATAGGTAATCACATAGGTAATCACATAGGTAATCACATAGGTAATCACATAGGTAATCACATAGGTAATCATATGGTAATATAAAATGATAGTGATTACCTATAAAAGAAAATTATGGTTTTCAACAAATGATCTTGAAATATCTTGAAGTAATGCAAACTGGTAGCGGGAAATCCTGCAAAGAATGGGAAATTCATCTGGGGGTTGAGTTCCTTTCTCCATAGGCGTGCCGAGAGTCCCATAAGCCTTGGCCCCAAAGCTGCAGTCGTCTACAAAGTGCCTGTCTCTTTGACTCATTCCTGCACAAGCAGGAAAATCCACATGTTTTCTATGGGACAAACGGCTAAAAAAGGGGTTACTGCTTTCATGGTGGAACTTTTCTTGGAATTTTCCGAACCGCTAGGAGTGGTTTTCCCGGAAAAATATGTCCACCCTATCTGATCTGGTTGAGGAATACATAGTTCATCAATCTGAAATGGCTTGGTCACATAAACAGGCTACCCTAGATCCACTGGTTAATTGGTTTATCACCATGTTCTCTACAAACCTGGTTATTTGTATATACCTCATTCTCAAACACCGAAATCTTTGTTATTTTCTGTGATTTTGCTGCTCTCCTCTACCTTCCCGGGAACCTCAATGAGCTTGGAGACCACAGCACTACGACCTCCTCAACCAATGAAGCTGTACCAGCAGAGACCATACCTTGGCTCCCCTGTGATGAAAGCTGGGTATCGCTCATCCAGGGTCAGGGGATATTTGGGGTTTACCCTCTGGTTATGACTAACAGTTCGCCATGGTATAGATGGTCCATAGAAATAGATGGTTTACCGAACTTAAAAATGGTGGATCTTTCCATGGCTATGTTAAATAACCAGATGGCAAATCTACAAAATGGGGCAACTAGATTGCTAATTTGGTTTATGACTCCAATCAAATTTGGTTTGTGATACTTACAACTGTAGTTATGAGGTTTATAAACCAACTCGTAACCGGCGCGGCGCACATTGGAAGTCTTTAGTTGTAACTTCCAACACCGAAGATCGAATTCTTGCCGCCAATGGGAAACTAGCCTGAAAAGCAACCCTTTTGGTGTAAACCCACACATCCATCCAAAGATGAAATCTGACATCATCACTTCTACACTGCGCCCCAAGATATCCAAAGTGGTTGGTGGTTTTTCGCCTACCCCTCTGAAAAATGATGGAGTTCGTCAGTTGGGATGATTATTCCCAATATATGGAAAGGTAAAAAATGTTCCAAACCACCAACCAAAGATAAATCTGACATAATCTAACGACCGGTGAAGGATATAAGCCTTGCCTTGAACACCTGATAAACCAGAAGGGGAACTAGCGTTTTCCACCTCGGTGCAGGGTCATTGGTTTCTCCATATTCATGCCCAAAACTTGAATGATTTTCTATAATGTGGAGCCTGGAGCCCGCGTTTACGAAAGCTAAGTTGGTGCGAATAACTCAAAGTTCACTATGGTTCATGATACACAAATAACTTTAGTATTCATGGGGTGAATCGAAACCAACATCCACATCACGTTTGGGGGGCCCACATTGTAGAGTCTCCCATTTACAAATCTCCACTTTGGACGATTGTTCATTTTATAAATAATCCGCATTGCCATTTAGATCCATTCTGGTTGGTTTTAATGGTCATCATTTATTGATCGGTGGTAAGGTCTAGATTCTAGATATGATGTTCCATCAGAAAGTGTCATATCATATTCCCTATTATTTATGTTCCCATTAGCTATTTCCAGCTATAATGTTGTTTCCTATCAAAACGACAATTTTGGTGTCTCTGCCAATTTTGGAACAAATTTGCTTATCTTAAAGATAACACTTATCCCAAAAAAAAACGTGAATCCACAACTGGGGCCATTAACTTGGAATAACTTCAATAATCATATCCCTCTTCCCCTAATATTAAACACCCCCAAATCACCATGTAGTGAATAAAAACACATGTGTGGGACCACGATTAATATTAATTAATCAAGGGGATGGGGTTCATCATCATCGAGCATCATGTTAACTCATTTATCTGGAGCTTATTAAGCATGATCAACCACTATCAACCTTCATGGTGGTAAACCCTAAATCCTAAACCATCCCCAAGTAATCATTTATTTTATGGTTGCCATGTTTACCATTCAAAAATGCTCATCTTGTTTATGGCAGCCAGGGCTTCCCATTATCTGTTACCCTCTGGTAAACTAACATAGCTATTGAAAATGGCCCAGTTGAAATAGTTGATTTACCCATTAATAGCATGGTGATGTTCCAGTTCGTTAGTTTACCAGAGGGTAGATTCTTTTACATTTAGCTGAACGTCACTTCCTCGAGCATCATCCCGTCACATAGTGACATCCCTTTATGACGATTTGTGGAGATTTTAAGGGGATGGTTTATCAATATCATTCTTCACCCATATCTTACAACCCATATTTTATAACCCATATCTTATGTTATTCTGAAAACACCTAAAATATACTAAGCATCATTAATCATCAATGTTGGCTTTACGTGAGTATGTCTTGGCCCATAATATTATATAATCCATCATCATTCTTAACCATCATTAATCATATAACAATGATCATTATATAATCATCATTAATCATAATTCATCACTATCTCCCCACCATGACTCCACGCTGCTGGGCGATCTCTCTGCGCCCAAAAAGGCTGCACCGTCCGCCGATCTCGCCGCCTGCGCGGCGCCCAGCGAGATCTCTCCGCCGTCGGCAGGGCGCGGCGCACGGCGGCATTTCAAAAGCCACCTGGTGGTGGCGCCCCATGGAAAATGGTGATATATATATATATATATACATATGTATATGTGTGTATGTATATGTATATGTATATATATATAGAAGTATCATCATGTTATGGGGATAAACTATGATCAAATAACATATTTCAGGGAATCTTGACCACTTTTCAGATGTCTTGTAGATCTATCACACCACTCAAACGACCCATTATTTGATGGCTAAAGTAGCCATCTTTGTGGGGACATGAGGATGGTATCTGGGGCCTTGTTGTAAATCTACCACTAGACCAAACGTGGTCTGGTTGGTGGTATACCTACCCCTCTGAAAAATATGAGTTCGTCAGTTGGGATTATGAAATTCCCAATTGAATGGAAAAATAAAATTCATGTTCCAAACCACCAACCAGGTATACATCCCATATTGATTGAATCAATATCAATTGCTCACCATTATTAGCCCCATGTATCCCCATTTGTTTTACCATCTGGTTGTTTAACATTACCATGGAAAGATCCACCATTTTTAAGTTCGGTAAACCATCTATTTCTATGGGCCATCTATACCATGGCGAACTGTTAGTCATAACCAGAGGGTAAATCAACCACTAGACCAAATGTGGTTAGTATTCAAAGCCATGGTGATCTCCAATGTCTCCCCATTGTTCCAGCGCGCCTGACACACCTCCAGAGATTGCTTGGCAGTCGAGAGAGCCAACAAACCATCTGCGGCGTGGTCATGAATTACCATGGGGATTTTCTTGGAATGTTCAAATTGATGAATACCCTCTGGTAAACGTTCACATAACTGATGGGAAAATCACCTTTTTTAATGGGAAAACTCACTATAAATGGCCATTTTCCATAGCTATGTTAGTTTACCAGAGGGTATTTTGATGGGTCATGAATTGCATGGATTTACAAAGTGAATAATTGAACTGGTAATGTTCATAAAATTGATCATGTATCATTTTCAGCCAGATCATTAATGTTTACCAGTGAATAACATTGAATAAACTGATGACAAAATAGTCCTGGTAAACATTGTTGGCTGGAAAACTGGTAAAGAAACATGATCTGGCTGCAAAACCATCGATGGATTTAGATATGGTCCATTGGGAGTCTTAGCTTCCAGCGTGGATGGTGTCTATGGCGTGTATTGTATGTAACTTCCGGTACTCTACCAAACAATGGGATTTAAACATTGTATGACTAACATGTATATATGTTATACACACATCATTATATGTATCATAGTAAACACGTGCCATGCGAAATAGTTATAGTTCATCCTATGCTAAACTTTTTTTAGAAACGTAACGTGTTTCTCGATCAACATAGGAACTACCGAATCACCAAAGGGTTTACCCAGCCTTCATATTCCAATGTTCCTGTCAGATACGCACCTAAGCCCAACAATCCTTATATAAAAACATCCTATAACAGTTGAACCTATCTCAATGATTGCTACCGTATCTTTGCAAGGATGAACTATCATCAAATTTTGCATGGAACATGTTTAAGATATAGATTTGAGCTAACGAATTGTGTCTTAATGTTTCCTCCCAAAAAAAGAGACATGGAATCTGGGTTCGGCACTGGTTGGAAGAGCTGTGCAAAACCAATGGCCAGAGTCAACGGCACCAGCACACTTTGCAACTTGTACAGCGCCTCGGTGACAAGTTGCAGCACCCCGCTCCACGGTGGAATATTATTCGGCTTTCCATAAATGGAGATACCCCAAGCTCGCTGGATGGTTTTTGTTAGGGAAAATCCATCTATCAATGGATGATAACTAGGGGTACCATGGGGTACCCCTATTTCAGGACACCTTCATATTTACCTATATGACATGAATGGCATTGACCACCAGAAACGACCTGGGATTCCGGATTTCGACTCGACCCCCTGAAATGGGTCTTATGAATGGACCACAATGTATACAGGCCCCAAGAAACCATAGGATGCCTCAAAATTTGGAACCCCATTACCCTGACTTATTCTCATGTTCATGTTCTACTTTTTCCTGGGTGTTTTATCCATGTTTTGAGACATGTTGAGACAAATCAACGGCACTATATATATACATATATATGTTGTATATAATATACGGGTATATATCCCACCAACCGGATATTGAACCATACAATATATCGCAATGTAATATATCATTATTTATATATATAACCCGTATATCAATATGCCCTTACCAACTTCTTTTGTCTGGGTTTTGGTCTTTTTTGAACCCGTCATTCAACCAATGTTCAATCTTTTTTGAATCCCAGTCAAAGCATCATCTTCCCCAACATGAAACCTCGTCTTAGACCAAATTTCAACCCTTCTTGCACCTTTAATCTCAAGTGTTCATCAAGTCTTCACATCTGTCAACCCAAAATTCAGCCCCAAAAAATCAACATGTCACATCCAACCCAAGAAGAATCAGCCCAAAGTTCACATCTCTCATTTTTTTTCGCACTTTCAGGATCGGTTGATGCAGAATTTCATGTCCAGTGCATATCCAGATGGCTTCCAGTGGCTTTACCCTTGGCGCATACCGGGATCCGTGGATCCGTGAGGAATCCATGTAGATCCTTGCAGGAGCGTAAAACAGATCATGGTTTAGATACCAGTAGATACCAGTTACGTAAGGTTACCATGATCTATTATCATCGATGATCTATGCAAAATCAGTATTTAGAAAACCAGTATTACATTAATATGTAATATCATCTTAGAATATATATATATATATTATTATAGATAATAGATCATGGTAACCTTACGTAACACTAAGCAGAATTCTTCAGCATGTCACCCCCAAAAACGTCACCCGGTTCCACCCGGTTTTTGACGCCACCGAGCCGCGAAGACCGAGGCTAAGGTGGCCAAAATCACCAGACTCACCGTGGGCAGCTCCAGCTTCGAGGTCGACGTCGGAGCTGACGTCGGGTCACCTGGCTAAACCCATGGTTTACCCCCAACATATGGTGGATTGTCCCATGAAAAGTTGTGATTCTCCATAGTTTTTGGTATGTTTACCAGAGATTACCAGAGGGTATCCATGGTTTTTATTGTGATTAATAGTGGTTATTAGTGGTTATTAGTGATTAATACCTGATCTAATAATATATCTGGTTGGTGGTGCAATGTGCCCATCTTGAAAAATCATGGGCACTTTACCTCCATGAACATACCCGATAATGAACTAGTACTTTTGGCCTTAAAAATGGTGTTATAACCCAATAATGAAAAATGGTGTTATAACATGTTATAACCCAATAATGAATTAGGACTTTGACCATTTTTCGTTATTTTTTGGGGGGTAGTTGCAGGGTCGAGGTGCCATAAATGGGGAAGCTTAGAGAAATATCTGGTGAAAGCTGCTACCCAACTGGGAAAAAATATGGTGATTTCACAGACACAATTTGGGATTTATAGGGAAACCAAGAAATATCTGGTGATTGATTTACCCAACACAAAAAAAAAAGGAATTTTAGCTAAGTTTGTTTATAAGACCTAATCTATAACTGTTGGGTGTATGGAAAATAGATCAAATTAGTGTGTTGGTGTATAAATCAACTTATAAGTGAGGGGCAACACCTTGTACAAGTGTTTTGTCTTCGTTCAAAGGGTGCTAGGGTCCTAAGCTGCTAGGTTTCCAATAATTCAATGTGTGTATACTTAATGTGTATGTGGATGGCTATAAATAGTGTGGATGTTTATGGATGTGTATTTGCATATTTGGTTTGTTTACATAGAAATAGCTATGATATCTGGGATACCCAAATGAGAAGCCAACAATTGGGAAAGGTATGGCAACCTCAAGCTGATAGCCATGTTGCTTTGTTGCATGTAACATGTTATCCTGGTATGCAGGAGGCCTGCAGGGGCAAGTACAGTAGATAGTCGAGAGGAATGTTAAATCATCGGCACCAGCATGACAGCCAAAAACATGAGAACGTATCGTATGGACAAGTAATCAAGTAGCCATTAGCTTTCAGCAAGTAATGCAGTTATTGTGTTTCCCTATAGGTCAACCAATAGGCTTGTAACTGCTTTTCCCAGTGCATCAGTTTGGCTGAACTATCGTGATAATAGAAATAATAAGTGTACTGGCAGTAGCAATAAATTGTATTCATCATATTCATCATACTAAAATTGAAAGAATAATCATATTTATCCCATTATACCTCCATGATATCCCTCTCTCTCTATACAGTATAATATATATGTATATATATATATATTATATACCGTATCCCCGATGTATCACTACTATATCCTACTATATTTATTCTATGATCATATCACTCATAATATGTCCAGAAACACCAAACACCCCATAAACATATTCAAATCATATTCAATTACCCTGGGAAAACTAACATAGATGTAGAAACCCATGGGGAAAAGTCTTAGGAAAAGAATCCAGTTTTCCACATCAGTTTAAAATACAACTAGTAAGATGATTGTTATAACATGTTATAACATGATATCTCTATGTACTTTATCCCCATTATATCCCTAGAACAAACGTGGCTGGCAAGTCCCCGAACCTAATGGCGTTTTTTCTTGCTGGGAAAACTCATCTACAAAACGGAGGGATCCGGAGGGTATTCAGTCGCCCTTTGGTGATTTCACGTAGCTGGCTGGAAAATCATATGCTGGTTGGTGGTGTTAACCATCTTAAAAATATGAAAGTCAGTAGGGATCATTATTTCCAATATATGGAAAAATAAAAAATGTTCCAAACCACCAACCACCAACCAGTATTTCTGTATAATAAGTAAATCATCATAAATCATCAAAATAGGCATGTTTTTTCCATGAATGTTAAATAACCAGAGGGTAGGTAAAAATTATTGATGATTCCAATGATTCATGTAAAGTGACCCTGAAATGAACCAGAGGGTATATCCTAATCATTCACCCCTTTCTATACCATTTCTGACATCGGACCTCGAGCTTCTGCTTCAGGGTCCATCATCGAGGTGCGCTTGCGGCGTGCGCTGAACGCAGCGCGCAAGAAGCGTGGATTTGGGGGGCTGGTTTGAGGGGAAAAAACAGGATGTTGACATGATCTAACCATCAAAAAATTGGGATTTAACGGGAATCAACCATCAAACATTGGGACTGGACTGGTGTCTTACTGTTTCAAACCCAGGATCCATGGTGCGGGTTCGGGTCCAAAAAAATCCAGTTTCCGGGAGGCTGTTCCTCAAACATGGCTAACCTTAGAGTCTACGAACTCCGAACCATTCACCTCCCAAAAAACTGTTTGGAATGGGACGCACCTGGAACTGGAAGCTTGGAAGTTTAGTACATTGTGGGGCCCCCGTTTACGAAATCGCGAAGTTGGTGAACAGAACCAATAGCCATGGTTTATGATACGCAAATAACATCTTATTTATAGTTTTGGTTTATAACATAGCTATAACTCCAATAAATATATGGCTTATACGCAAATAACATCAAATAACTATAGTTTTCATGGGGTGTATCTAAACCAACATTCCCATCACTGAAAGGCCCCAAAAAAAAAGCTCGTATGGGGACGATGAAAATGCGATTCCTGGACTTGGACCTTGCACCTCCATGAAAACTTGTTGTCAGCTGGAACCGAACAGCTTTGGTATTGGCTAAGTTCTGCTAAGTCGCTGGTGACTTCATGAATTCAACATGAAACCTCGCAGTTTCTGAAAAAAATGAAGCTAATATAACTATGTATAACTCATGAACATATGATGTAATAGAAGTTTCAGAAGCCGTTGGTGGTTTCACACTCGCAAGAACTATGCTCATCATCGTTGGGAATTTTCATCTCAAATATGGCTGACTAACAACATTTAAGATCCTTTATATAAACCCAGCAATCACATAGATATGAAATTATGAATAAATGATCATCAATGCAGTCGGATTCAGTCGGAATTTTCAGGTTGCCGGGCTGGATTTTGGAAGATGTTCCCCGAAGTGAGGACCATTCATCAATGAGAAACCACATCAAACAGTTCGATGTTCAACCAGGTAGCGAAAGGGGAGATGCTAATGGACTTGCCAACATCAAACTTCTATATCTGGTTGGTGGTTTTAAGCATCTTGAAAAATGATGGAGTTCGTCAATGGGTTTCGGATGACAACCCATATATTATGGAAAATAAAAGCCATGCTTGAAACCACCAAGCAGATCAGCATTATACCATCACGTACCTAGACTAACACCCTACAAGGCGGGGCCTCTGTTCCTTACTTAGCTCAGTTGGAAGATATAACTCCTGTGCATGGAATTGCCAACATCAAACTTCTATCTGACTTCTGTGGGATTTGCTCAATTTTCGCTTGGATATGACCAAAATGGATCTTCACCTCAGCACAACCACCTAACTTCGATGGTAAAATTCCCAGCAAGTACCCTATCCCGTCATTTCACATATGGAAAATCACCATTTTTTTTTAAAAAGGGCTAAATCCTCCATAAATATCAGATGCCCAAAAATCCAGCCGTGGTTGGTCTATTTTCCAGCCATTTTCTATGGTATCAATCGACCATTTCTGGACCAAATTTCTGGACAAACACCACCAATTTCTGGTCTGCTCAGATCCTCATCGGAACATTCCGTTTTGACAAACAAAAACCTCCTCTTAAAAAACCCAAAAGGGAATTCAAAAAAAAAAATGTGAAAGAATCCCATAGAAAATCTATGAAATCCTATTAAAATCCCATTAAAATCCACATGAACAAATATGAACAAATCACATCGCAAAGATGGTTGAAATCCCAAGTTTGCCCAGGTTTTTGCCCAGGTTTTTGCCCAGGTGTTTCCCTTCGCACACCGTCTTTTGGGTCGCGTCTTTCGCTGCCCTTCAAAGCTCCGTTGAGATCTCAGGATGGCTCGCTGCCAGCGCGGTCCGCCACCGCAAGGACAGCAGGACCTGCACTTTGACCGTCAGACTTAGAGAAAAGCCACCTGAGATGCGTATTATAATGTATGATGTATAATTCAATATATTATAAAAGCATATAATATATGTATTCATTACACAATCTTATGTATTCAGCACTATGTATTCAACAATATATTATATTATATATATATATATAAATATCATATGTCAGATATCATATCTGTCATATATCCAGTGTCATATTGTGTATATATACCTTGACCCTCCGAACCCGCAAAATTCGCAGGGCGGCACTTAAAACCCAGGGTTTCAAAACAAAACCCAAGGTTTTTCTATTTCCACAAATTTCAAGACCATGCCCCCAAATGCTCTGATTTTATTAATGTGGTGGGTCCTCAAAAAGTGTTGCATTTCTGTCCAGTCTACTGGTCATCGACGCCCAAAGACAAGCCCAACACACAACAAAAACATATTATATGTTCACCAGTTCCAAGGGGTTCCAACCCATGTTTATATCATGGGTGCACACGGGTAAATCACGGGTTGAACATGGGTTGAACACGGGTTAGAGAAAACCTGGTTATTTTCAAAATACACGAGGTTTAGCCTACAAACCCTGGGTAATCCTTAAAGGCAATTTCCCTACATTCAGGTCTGATTTCGTTGCATTCAGGTTTTGAACATTTTTCAACACATGAGTAAACCGAAAGTTCACCAATTAGCAGCCGTCATGGCTCAAAAGACCGGCCCCTCGGATCCCCGGAGGTTGAAGCTACTGGACTGCATTTCCTTATTCCTTCAAAGAGTGAGAATGGATTTATTCTTCATGTTCCATGGGGCTGGGTTTTTGAATTTGGTGCCTAGATTCTTGCAATCTTTGGCTCCGAAAGTTGAGAATCTTCATGACGTTCAAGAGTCTGATGCTAGACCCATGCCAAAGGCAGCTTCTAGTTCGGATAGTCGGAAAGGTTTTTTCAAAGGGTTGAAGAGAGAGGGGCCAGAACTTGGCGCTGGGGACCGGGCGCTAGAGAAAGAGAACACAAAGGTAACGGTTACGGTGAGGATGATGATCATGATGATGATGATGGTGGTAATGATGGTGATGATGATGATGATGATGGTGATGGTGATGGTGGTGATCGTGATGGTGATGGTGATGTGATGGTGATGATAATGACGATGAGGATGAGGATGAGGATGAGGATGAGGATGATGATGATGATGATGATTCATGATGGCGATGATTCTATTTATCACATGATGATCCTGTCGGTGATCATGGGTGCTCAAAGCCCCCTATGCCATACCTTTGAGGTTGACTCAGACGTGGTGGACATACCCCTTATGTGCTTGTGCTTCAAGAAGCCAGCTGATGGCCTTCCGATCTTTCATTCCTGGCTGATGACCGAAGGACATCTTGTTCAGAGGATACGAAGGTCCCTGGGGAGACTCTGGGTTTTGCTTCGGTGGTCGCGGTGAAGGGGTTGGGTCGAATGGTAATCATACTCTGGAGCCTGCTGTGGGCCTACTTGCAAAAGGACGCCATGGATGCTGAGACAAAAGATGACTTCCGAAGGCGTCTTTGAAAATCCATGGACCATAAAATGACCTCCCAAAAAATATTATTTTAGGATCTCAAGAAATTCTATTCCCAAAATATTTTTTGGGGACCCCAAGAAATTCTATTCCCAAAATATTATTTTGGGAGGATGATCAAAAGCTGCAATCACCCAAAATAATATTTTGGATCATGATTTGAAATCACCAAAAATCACCCAAAATATATAAAAGCATCACGTAAATTTCTTTGGAAACATCAAATTTCTGAAACGACGTTCCCACCCGGACCATCACGTCAGCTTAGGCCTACTGGCTTGGCTGTCAGCCACCCAAAATAGCTGAAAGTCCAAACTTACCATCAAATACCTAATTTGGGATATTTTGGGGCTACAAATCTTCAAATTTTGATGGAAAATGCATTCCCAAAATATCAATGCTTCATCCTGATGCTGGGATTGAAACGACGGTTTCACCCGGACCATCACGTCAGAAACTTGGAGTTTTTGGGTGATCCCACACGATGCTTTTATATATTTTGGGTGATTTTTGGTGGTTTCGAATCATTTCCCAAAATATTATTTTGGGTGATTGCAGCTTTTGATCATCCTCCCAAAATAATATTTTGGGAATAGAATTTCTTGGGGTCCCCAAAAATTTTTTTGGGAATAGAAGTTCTTGGGATCCCAAAATAATATTTTGGGAAGTCATTTTTTGTCTCAGCATCCATGGCGTCCTTTTGCAAGTAGGCCCACAGCAGGCTCCAGAGTATGATTACCATTCGACCCAACCCCTTCACCGCGACCACCGAAGCAAAACCCAGAGTCTCCCCAGGGACCTTCGTATCCTCTGAACAAGATGTCCTTCGGTCATCAGCCAGGAATGAAAGATCGGAAGGCCATCAGCTGGCTTCTTGAAGCACAAGCACATAAGGGGTATGTCCACCACGTCTGAGTCAACCTCAAAGGTATGGCATAGGGGGCTCTGAGAAGCCATGACCACCGACAGGATCATCATGTGATAAATAGAATCATCGCCATCATGCATCATCATCATCATCATCATCATCGTCATCATCATCATCATCATCATCATCATCATCATCATCATCATCATCATCATCATCATCATCATCATCCTCATCCTCATCCTCATCCTCATCGTCATTATCATCACCATCACCATCACCATCATCATCATCATCATCATCATCCTCATCCTCATCCTCATCCTCATCGTCATTATCATCACCATCACCATCACCATCACGATCACCACCATCACCATCACCATCATCATCATCATCATCACCATCATTACCACCATCATCATCATCATCATGATCATCATCCTCACCGTAACCGTTACCTTTGTGTTCTCTTTCTCTAGCGCCCGGTCCCCAGCGCCAAGTTCTGGCCCCTCTCTCTTCAACCCTTTGAAAAAACCTTTCCGACTATCCGAACTAGAAGCTGCCTTTGGCATGGGTCTAGCATCAGACTCTTGAACGTCATGAAGATTCTCAACTTTCGGAGCCAAAGATTGCAAGAATCTAGGCACCAAATTCAAAAACCCAGCCCCATGGAACATGAAGAATAAATCCATTCTCACTCTTTGAAGGAATAAGGAAATGCAGTCCAGTAGCTTCAACCTCCGGGGATCCGAGGGGCCGGTCTTTTGAGCCATGACGGCTGCTAATTGGTGAACTTTCGGTTTACTCATGTGTTGAAAAATGTTCAAAACCTGAATGCAACGAAATCAGACCTGAATGTAGGGAAATCGCCTTCTTAAGAAAACACGGGTTGACACGGGTAAATCACGGGTTGAACACGGTTTGCTAGAGGCTTGAATTCCCGACCCGTACTTTTCCATGTTGGGGTTGCGTTTTTCTCTACTTCAGATGTATAATGTAGATGTGGTTTCCTGACGGTAAGGCTGAATGGAGGAAAATCTAAGAAACATATGATGAAGCAAAGTAGGAGAAGTGTTGAAAGCAAGCACTATATCGAATTCGGACAGTTTGTAAGAAAACCCTGGTTTTTTGTGACAAACCCAAGGTTTTTAGCATGATCACGGCTAAACCCAGGGTTTTAGTTTGCACCCGGCAAATTTGTAGGGTTTGGAAGCTAAGGGTATATATATATATATATACATCTGTATAACTTCGGGCTTTACACCGATCCCCGAGTCGTTGGCCGGTGAGTCGCTGGTGAAATCTTGGTTCTTTTGCGAAGAAGTCCCCCTATGTTTGCATTTCTAGTGCTTAAGTATGGTCAAATTATGTTGGCTTACTGGGAGGATTATTGCAGTGAGTAACATGAATCACTAGATGGTTCGGTTGCAAGTGTGGGATTATAATCCAACTATAAATGGGAAAACACGGAAAAACCAAGCATAAGTCTGCGCAAATTACATTCACTCGCCTGGTTACAAGGCTTTTTGGGATCATTCCAGGTAAAAATCACCCGGCCTGGTAAACGTTCACATAACGAACTGGAAAATCGTCCCATGTTATAGCTGGGTAAATCAACTATTTCGACTGGGCCATGGCTTCAATAGCTATTTTATGCTATTTTGACATCACCAGAGGGTAAATCACCATCAAATCACCATTTATAGTGGTTAAAAATCCATAAAACCACCATTTTTTGCAACAAATCACCATCATTGACATCACCAGAGGGTACCTATCTCAGAGGTAACTGGAAGGTTATGCCCCTGAGGAGACCTGCTCTCCGGATTTCCGGCCGCCTTCGAAGGCAATCCGCAGAGCAGGGCCGAGGAGGTCTGAGGCCGTTGAAATTCGAAAACGCCATGAATCGTGGTGGGTAAACTCCACATCTATGTAAACGTTTACAGGGGGTTTTTCTTATAACTAAACATCTATTATGATTACTCTTATTATATATATATATTAGTATCATTATTGTTATTATTCTTGTTATTATTAGTGTTATTATTAAAGGTATGACTATAATAATTATTCTCATTATCAATTATTCATGTTTATTCATTATTATTATTATTAACATTATTATTTATTAGCATTGCTATTATGGTTATTATAGCATTGTCAATTATTAATTATTGTTATGGTTATTATTGTTATCGTCATTATTATTGTCATTATTAATTATTCATGTTTTAGTCATTATTATTCATTATTATTATTATTAATTATTTATTAGCCTTGTTATTATCATTATCATTATTATTATCATAATTATTATATATATATGATATATTACTATTGTCATTATTATTATAGTATATTATAGTTACTATAATTTTGGGTAATTATCTAGATTATAAAGATGCTAGGATGATATTATACAAATATCTATCATATAATTATGCTCTTTGGCAATATATTATTAACAGTGAAGTCAATGATATGAAAGTGGATAGTTATCTATTATACCTGGCGTTCGTTTCGTCGGTGATACGGCTTATTTTCTCGACGGGAAATCCACCATTTGGGGAATCTACAGCAAAAATAGGGAAAGCAAGATGTTGCCAGTAGATAAGGACTTAACCAGCAAAAATAGGGCGAAACCAACTAAGGTATTGGTATTGGCTGAGTGGCGAAGTTTTCTGAGCTTTTCTGGCTTAGTTCACCCAGAAAACTGGGATGTCTTGGGACATATCCCAAGTACTCGCCGTATGGTTTCAATGCCTGACACCCTCAATTTTCGAATTGGAGAAATTAAACAATGGATATTGATCCCATTTGATCCCCCATATGGTGCCTGAAAAACACGACGTTTTAATCCTTTCCCATATTCTGGGTCAGTGCAACAAAAACTGAACATATATTGGATTTAAGTGAACATACAGCTGCTGAGTTTCTATATGGACCAGCCGGTCACAGGAAAATTCAGCACATGTACCCTCTGGTAAATTAACATAGACCTAGAAAACAACAAATTGTTTGTGGTTTGACTAATCTTCCAACCCCTATCAGGGTCGTCTAAGAGCAACGTCCTGTGGATCGATTGATAGTGTTCAAAACCTGCGGCCCGTGTCCTTCCATTGCACTGGTTTGTGAAGAACGGGATTCACAGTTCATGGATGATGATAATCCAAAAAACAAATGCGATGAGTTTATCAATGGTTCCCAGAATAATAGGATTATGATTAATGATGATGTTCAAAACCCTGGTTGATCATGTTAGTTTATCAATGATTAACCATCAGTCATTCATGATCCTCTTTAGTCATCAACCAGGGTATTGAACACGGCCTCGATGGGTTTATGTTCCCAAATCAAAACTTGACCCATAGGGCGCCTGCAAGGCTGCTGGGTTTAATGCCCAGTAGAAGCATTTGGACCGCAAATTGGCCTGGCGCGTAGCCGTAGCCAAGGATGCCAAGGATGCCAAGGATGCCAAGGTAACAACAATGTGAGAGTGTCATGGATCTTTTAGTCCCTTCTGCTTGTTCAAATAATACCAACTAGAAACCCGTGACTGTTGACAATTGAATCATATATATATATATACAATATATATATATATGTAATATGTTTATTGATTTCCATTTCCCTTTTGAAGCCTCATATATAAAATATTGCGGATATGGGATGCAACAATCGCTTAAAAGTGGAACACAGTGACACATGGTTTGATGTTTTTTGTACTCCCCAAACCTCTGAGGGTAGACCCCGTAGCTATTCCAAGTGAGGTCCTTCCAATACTGGTATGAACATGTACCCCATTTCATGCACTGGCTAATCACCATTTATTGGTTGGTCATCCACTGGTTAAATCACCATTGTGATTGGTTGAAAATGGTTAAATCAGATTCGATGTTCAGTTATTGATGGTTATTGATGTTTTTGATTTTTCTTTTGCTGATGAAGCGGTCGCTTCGGGCTCTCTCTTGCATTGATGATTAACATCGCATAAAAATCCCATTATACAAAATCCACTAAAATCCTATCAAAATAAACTAAATAAACACACATCCCATCAAAACTCATGTCTGATACATTCTGATACTTGAATCCCAATTCAAAATTCCCATCCACATCATGTCTAAATCCTGATAAGTACTATATATAAAACATCCATAAGATGCTGAAACATCCCAATTTTTCAACAGCGACGTGCCACGTGACGTGCCACGTGCCACGTGACGTGCCTCGGCAAAGGCATCCCGAAGCAAATTGTTCTCCTTCACCATGTCATCCAGTTGCGCCTGGGAAAAAAATACCGGTGATTTTGAACACAAAAACATAAGGATTTACATATAGCGGCTATAGCAAGTGAAATAGGTGGTCATTGGAAAGTATCAGCAACATTTTATCAAAAATGGATTGATCGTTGAACACAATTGATGTTAGCTAAGTTGGCCCAAATAACCAAATATCACTGATTTAATTATAAACCAGGGTTGTGATGAAAGCATGAACGAACCAAGGTCCGCCCCCGAGGTAGACCCATGGAATCCCGTAATCTCATGCGTTGTCGTGAAACCAGTTTTGGTCAAGAGATATATCAGATACGCAGGTTTTCAGGCACATAGTGTATATTTATGTATATTTAGAATATATTTAGTATTATTTATAGTGCTTGTAAAATCTTGTAAAGGGATTCCCAATCCATTGGTCCATTGGTCCAGATATTGACAGTGACACGGTGTTCACCGCCAACCCTCCCTAGAAACCCAGTGGCGCGGATCCGTTCGTCTTGGAGAAGTGGAGTCATTGGGTCATTGACTTTTGATTGGGAAAATGGGATTACCCTCTGGTAATTTAACATAGCTATGGAAAATCACAATTTTCAATGGGAAAATCCACTATAAATGGCCATTTTCAATAGCTATGTTAAATTACCAGAGGGTATGTCCTTTTACATCTGGCAAATGCTTAAACCCAACTTTATTTCAAATCATTGTTTTCAGTGATATCCTAATTGTATCTAATTGTTGGTTGAATAAATCACCATGTCAACTGTCCATTGGCAAAAGGACAGATTCCTCACATTTCCTCACATGCCACCACTACTTCATCAAAGTTCATATTCCCAGTTCGCTTTGCCTAAAAATAGGGCCCCCCAAAACTTGATAGTTTATCATGATTTTCACTAAGATGGCCATTTAGTGGCCATGTTCAGACAAACTCAAATCCATTCTTCATGGCTTAAATCCACATGTTGATTGATTAAATATCAATTGTCCGATGGTTAAATCCCATTTGAATCCCTTTTTTGATGGTTCAATCCCACTAGAATCCCGTGAACATCCTAAAAGTCCCAAGTTTTCTGGATTTTCTGGCTTCAGTCCCATGAGGATTCCATGTTTTCTGGAGAACTCTGAAGTTCTGGGCCCCCAAAAAACGGCCAAATCCCACCTGCATCTTCCGCAGGGTCGTTTCGACCTCCTGTCGAAAGATCACACAGACCTGACAAGCCGGCAGCAGCAAGGCGAAGGAGGGGCAACTATCTATGGTTCTATAAATACTTCGAACTATATTCTATATATATAATATAATATGATGTAATACAATATAATATATATGAGACAATTATATAAATAAAAGTATATATAGATATGCAATTAGATGCACATATTGTTTGTTTGTTTGTTTTTTTGCTATGTCATCGATCTATCATGTCATCTATCATGTCATCTGTCTATCGGTCTATCTATCTATCCATCCATCCATCTATCTATCTATCTATCTGTCTAACCATCGATCTATCTATCTATCTATCGATCGATCTATCTATCTATCTATCGATCTATCTATCAATCTATCTATCTATCGATCTATCTATATATCTATCGATCTATCTATCTATCTATCTATCTATATCTATCTATCTATCTATCTATCTATATCTATATCTAAATCTATATCTATATCTATATCTATATTTATCTATATCTATCTATATCTATATCTATATCTAAATCTATATCTATATCTATATCTATATTTATCTATATCTATCTATATCTATCTATATCTATCTATATCTATCTATATCTATCTATATCTATCTATATCTATCTCTATCTATCTCTATCTATCTCTATCTATCTCTATCTATCTCTATCTATCTCTATCTATCTCTATCTATCTCTATCTATCTCTATCTATCTCTATCTATCTCTATCTATCTCTATCTATCTCTATCTATCTCTATCTATCTCTATCTATCTCTATCTATCTCTATCTATCTCTATCTATCTATCTATCTATATATTTATTTATATGTCTATCTATCTATCTATCCATCTATCTATCTATCTATCTATCTACCTATCTCTCTCTCTATCTAATCCATCCATCCATTCCATCCATCTATCTTTTCATCCATCCATCCATCTATCTATGTATCTAATTATATGATATTAGATGTCATAGTTGCATCTGATCTAATCTTTCTAATTAATCCACTCCCATGTAAAATGGAATGTTGTATGATATTGAATGACATGATATCATGTGGTGCAACATAGCACTATATGATATTTGATGATATGTGTTGGAATATAACATAATATGTGTTTACATACCAGCATTTATAGTACAACATCTGAAATGTAGCTATGAGTCAAAACCATGACATCCTAGGTACCCTAAGTCATAGCTGGTATGGCTGGTATAGCTGCTTGTTTCCCCCGGTTTCTTCCCCCGCACATCCCCATGTGAAATGTATCTCATTTGGCTTCCCTGACCCGCTGGCGGACGCGTTGTTCCATCGCCGCTTGTGCCTGCGGGTAACATGGGGAATTCACCATGTCTAGCTGTTTTAAGCATCAACACTATGTATAAATGGTGTAAGTTATATGTAACAGATATATCATGATATATCCATCATTTACAATGGGTGTCTCATTTATTCAACCATATAGTGAAAATGGCAGTTATAATGGCAGCTATATATATATCATATATAAGTTATATAAGAATAGTTGACCAGTTCAGGAGATATATTACCTTGGAAGCCATGATGCACATTCGTGGTGTACTGGAGGGCTAGGCTGGTCGACCTGAGTTGACTCGACATTTCACATTTCACTGCAGAAGTGCAGCTGGGAAAATCATCTATAAAATATAAATTATAAATGGAGGATTTTTAAACTGCCATGTTTGATTGCCGTAGAGAAACACGATGTTTTTTGGAATGAATTGCCCCTACTGACCATTAGTGGTGCGGTCTTGTTTCTTTTCAAAGAGGCCCCTGTCTCCACTTTTCCAGAGAAGAAAACAAAACAGCAGTACGTATGATGCTTTGAAGAACCAGAACGCGGAGATGGAATGATAAAATTGAAGGACCACACACACACACAGTCCACCAAAATGAACCAACATGTCCGGTATTCCAAACAATATTGAATGGGATAAGTCTGCAGACGTATTCAAAAGGAGCACCGTTTAAGCATGAAAACAACACTAAAAAATAACATAAATGATATCATTGCTGTGCCCATCAGTTTGAAATGCAGTGGTCAAGTTACCCTACCAGGCCTACCGTCTCTTCACAGATCGTTTCATAACGGCACTACTTCAAGGACGATTGTGTGGGAATATGAGCTGCTTCCTGTACGGGAAAGCCATGGAAACCCTGGGCTTCACCAGAAATGACCAATCACCTGGAAAAAAATCAGGAATCTTCCCCATATGGGGATGGGTCAAAACCCTGGTACCTAGTGAACCCCAAAATAGCTGGTAAATGGATGTTCATCCCACTAAAAATGTTATGTATAGGTATTGATCCATAGCCATATTAATTCACCAAGGGTATGTGACGATAGGCGGGGTTTCCTGGAATGGGGGTACCCCCAAATGGATGGTTAGGCTGTTAGGGAAAAAATCCCACTAATAGCTGGATGATGACTGGGGGTAGCCCTATGACTTAGGAAACCTCCATAGGAAATCAACCAAAACGGGTTCTGGACACAGCTCGGGTAAACATATACCCATATCATCATCCTGGGCAGCAAGTCTCCAGTTACTTAGCAAGCATATCGCTGGTTGGTTTAAAAACGATTTCTGATAGCAGAGCTAAAAGGGACAAACACGGCATTCCGCAAATTGATGACAGGAATGAACATCCAACCAGTATATTTGACCTCCAGGACTCCGAAAGGAATGTCAATTTCAACAAGTAAAGAACCTACTTAACATAGCTTGGTCTATCATATGGGGTTTGGTCTATCATAGTTTGGTGTAACATTGTTTTAGCGTTTTTCACCATTTTGGTAGTAAATATTAATGAACAACAAACACCCGGTGATCATTGATCATTCATACTAATCATGGGGAATGAAAAAAAAACAAGAAAAACACATAATTGTTGTTGGTTAAAACTCCGCAAAATGACTGTCCAATGATTATCATGATCATCCCGATCATCCCCATCGAGATTCTCAGAATTAGTGGTTGGTGGTATACCTACCCCTCTTAACAAAATGTCTTCGTCAGTTGGGATGATGAAATTCCCAACTGAATGGAACAAAAAAAACATGTTCCAAACCACCTTGCGCAGGTCATCCCATATTGATTCCATCAATATCAATCAATATCAATTAATCACATGTCTCCCCATTTGTTTTACATCCTTCAACGCATCCGGACCCTCATCAGCTCCGACCGAAGAAGTGTCTCCAATTCCTTGGATGTTGTGGAACCGGACCAGCCACAGGCATACAGCCAGGATGGGGCCCCCAGTCGAGCGATAGCGTGAACCGTTGGTGAACATAAGTGGCGAAAAAACCATGGTTTATGGTAGATATACCCTCTGGTTATTTAACATAGCCATGGAAAATCACCATTTTTAATAGGTAAACCATCTATAAATGGGCCATGGTTTCCATGGCTATGTTAAATAACCAGAGGGTAACTATAGTTAATGGGGATTATTTCATGGTTTATAAACCAACAAACATCACTGGGGGGCCCCATCCTGTAGAGATCAGTTCTGGTTTCTATGCCCCCATCATTTTACAGTCGGCTTAGTGGTTAAGTGGCTAATCATCATTTTGACAGAACTATGGCTAAGTGGCTAAGTGGCTAGTCATCATAACTATGGCTATTTTTTTCATAGTTTTCATCATTTTACAGTCGGCTTAGTGGCTAACCATCATAAATCGTCTAAATCCCAATATATATATATTTATATTAGCACCCACAGTATCACAACTTCATGCAGCCAAAAAAAACACTATGGAATTCCGGAGTTGATCACATGGGTTCTTATTTGCAGAACCCGAGGCAAAAATAAGCCAGCCAAGTTGGTTAGTTGATTTATAACTACAGTTTTAATAGGGTTTATGATGGACATGACATGACATTTAACATCATTTAACTATAGTTGGATTGGCATAAACAATCATTAAACATAATTGGGGTACCACACTTTGCATGGATATCAACGCCTCAGAACATGTAACATGTTCCATATGAAATTGTTGTGATGCATTTGTCTGCAGTCATAGAAACCCCAACCAGTAAACCCCCGACCCATTTATAGATCATTTTCCCATAAACCACCAAATAGTTATTAGTTCGGGCATTCCCAAGATTTCCCAAGCTAGCCGTGTTTGGGGACGTCCATGTCTTCGAAGATGCTGCGAAAACCTATCTCTCCACATGTTTGCTTTCCCAGAAAACAACATATTCAAATGTTGGTCTCCTATTGATTCTCACCCACTGATAGGTCATTTTGAGCTCGGCCGGAGGATTCAAATCCAAGTATTGTCAGCGGCTTAGTCCGCCGATATCATCTCCCAACTCCCAAACATACTGTGGATGTATAGAAAAAATCCTGCACCACCAATTTGGGATGGTTGAAACCCTATAAATAGTGGGATCAACTACCGTTTTCAGCTGGTGATTTGGATTTTGCAACCATCCACAATACCACCCATTTATTGATGGTTTTACTCCCATTCACATCTAGTGATCTAGTGTTTGATGGCCGAACCCCCCTTTTTGCTGGCATTATTTCTGTGAATCCCACAGCAACATCATGTCATGAAAACTATACCCATCGATACCCTCCTTTTCGACTACATAAAACCCACGTTTAAATGACTTAAATTGATTCAAATGCCCACCTGATCAGTGACCATTTCAGCTAAACTGGAGGTACTGAGCCATATAGAGCCATATTTTGGGAGCAGGTTATGGGTCAAAACCCTGGTACCCAAACGGTAAATAGATAAATCGCTGGTTATTTTTGTTTCCCCCAACTATGGTAATTTCATAGGTAACTTGACCGACTTGACCCATCCCCAAAGCCCCTTGCCAAGCATCTTGCTGAACCCGCTCCTCCACCATGTGTTTCATGGAGCGTTCCTGATCCTGCCGTTGCCCAAGACATAGATCGTTGGATGAGCTGGAAATATCTGAAATTGCGGTTGGATCCAGCAACTGTAGTTAAAAGTTATAAGATGTTGTAAGTATCATAGACCATACTTGTTGGAGTTATTTGCACCAACCTAGCTATCTAAGGGGCCCTACATTGTAGATATCATCGAGAATTCCTGGAGACAAAAACATGTCAAGGCTTCGGACCTCCCAAACTGGGCATACCCTACACACAAAAAACAAAAAATGGGGGTTGGCGAATTTTGTTGAAAGCAACCAAACTGGGTATGTGTAACGCAGCAGCAGCAGCAGCAGCAGCAGCAGCACCAACACCAACAACAACAACAACAACAACAACAACCACCAACCACCAACCACCAATCACCAACCACCAACCACCAACCACCAACCACCAACCACCAACCACCAACAACCAACAACCAACAACCAACAACCAACAACCAACAACCAACAACCAACAACCAACAACCAACAACCAACCAACCAACCACCAACCACCAACCACCAACCACCCACCACCCACAACACCAACCACCACCAACAACAACAACAACAACAACAACAACCAACAACCAACGACCAACACCACCCAACCAACCACCACCACCACCCACCACAAACAACAACAACCTCACCAACACCAACACCAACAACCAACAACCACACACCAACCCCACCACCACCACCAACAACAACACAAACAACGACAACAACGACAACAACGACAACAAAACAACAAACTAGTGCTGAAAAAAAAAAAACATGATTTACAAAGACGGCATTTCAAACTTTCCGGTCAGCACCTTTAGCTCGATGGACTTTTTCATAAATGAAGCAGATCAAAAATGAACTGGGGATCTGGGGATGCAGTTGATTGTGGTTCTTTCGGATTACCCTCTGGTTATGACTAACATAGCCATGGTATAGATGGCCCATTTATAGATGGTTTACCTATTAAAAATGGTGATTTTCCATGATTTTCCATGGCTATGTTAAACAACCAGATGGTATTTCCAATGTTGACAGCCTCTAAGTTTTCAAGTGTTGTTCATGTTGATTCCCACCCTAAGACCAGGGGAAATACATCGGCCGTATACTAATCCAACAGGGCAGCTCCACAAAAAAAATACTCTAAAAGCTGATCTAAGAGTATCATGTTTAGTTCTCATCATTGTTAGTAACAACAATCAATAATAATTAGTGATACTTACAATGATTTCAGAATAACCATATACAAGTATAGTGGTATATCATAATCAAGAATCCAGTAGAATAACATTGATAATCCATCACACAATGATGTTGAAGCCCTGGAAAATGTGTGTTCTCCCAGGCCGGCGGATGCGCGAAAACTTTCCGCGCAACGCGCGTTGCTGTCACATGGCTCCCTGGGCACACTCTGGAGCTTGGAGCTGCGTCAGATAGATAGATGGATGGATACATGAATGGATAGATCGATAGATTGCTAGATATAGACATGATAATGATATGTACTGATGTTCAACTAGGTTGTAGGTTATACTGACATTGAGTTCCACAGTATGCCTCCTCTCAGCTGTGTTTTTTTCCGGGAGCGCCGTGGGAAATTCTAACGAAAGCTGGACAAAGTTTCGGCCAGAATTCACGGATCCAAACTGGAGCTAAAGTAGATTTGATCTCTGTACATAATATATATATCTCTCTCTCTCTCGGTGGATTTCACTCCTTCTCCCCAGTCAAGGTTGTTTTTTTTCTTCCAGCTCGTCATACTTTGTCCAGCTGAGTCATCTAAATCCGGGTGTACCACACGATGAACTGCGGATAGACCTGCCGGGGAGCGGGTCATTTGGGCGCCCAAAACTTCCGTTGGTTTCCCGATTAAAAACGAACAATTTTGGAAGACCAATTGGGGTCAGCCCATTTTCAGCAATGCACATTTTATTTACTCAGCTCTCAAGATTTACCATTCAATACATCACACTCAAGACACTATAAATGTCGTAAACACACGGACTAGTGCCTTTTGCTGATGATGTCATGTCAACATTTGAGTTGTTTGGACTCTGGGACTAGACTAGATTATGACTAAGTCATATAGTTGTAAACCACGCCGACCACGCCATTCTTGCCATGACCCATTTCCACAAACAAACCCCTATCAATGCCCTGCCTTTAACATGCTTTAAGCACCGATGTGCGTGGTGCTGGCATATTTGCCTACGAGTTTTTTTTGGGTTTGCGATTTGTGGCATTCGGCTGACCAGAGTCAAAACCAGACCTCATGACAAACATGATCAAAACGTATCAAAACCATCCTTTATGGCAACCACCAGAGTACCATGGAGTTAACACACACGTGAAACCGGGTTAAAACATGTTAAAGCAGCATCATGTTAAACTGCTAAACCATGTTATCCATGTTTTAACAAAACAACATGAATTATGGCAGTTACGGTACATGGCATTAAGATGGCATTTACATGGCATTTAGCAGAGTTAAAACACGTTAAAATCTGTTCAAAACCCATGGATTTGTTGCCTCTTCCCAGACTCCAGGCCCCACACCTGGTAGTGGTCATAGATCACCTTGTCAAGTTTTGGCACTGCCACATTGGCAAAACGAACATTTACATGGGACTTAAGTCTTTATTTTGTGTATATATATGTATATATATATATATATGTTACATAAGTATGTCTTATATATATGTACATATATATATATCCTGTCTGCCAGGAAAATCCAAGTTGCACCCCCAGCTGTTTCAGCAATGGCCTGGTACTAACCCCCCAATGTCTGTGGGTTTAGATTCACAGCCATGAATACTAGCTCGTTATAAAATAGTTATAACAATATTATAACCATATAGTGACTATTAGTGAAATTTGAGTCATAACCATATAGTCATATTATAACCATATAGTAACAATATTATAACCATATAGTCTTAACAATATATTAAGTTCTTTGAGGAATTTCGCCATCAGCTCGTAAAATCATGTAACATCCATGAAATCTCCATGAATTTCCCTGCTGAAATCCCGGCTTTCGAACGTGTAGTTAAACGTAGAACCAAAGTACACACAATAAATACACATATTCATTATATTATATATATTATTATATTCATCATATCATATCATATTATGGTATATATTATATTATATTATATTATATGGTATTATATTATATTATATGATATTATATTTTATCATATTATATTACATTATATTATAAAATATTATATCATATTTTATCATATTATATTACATTACGTTATATATTATATGATATTACTAAATTATATTATATCACATTACTAAATTTTATCATATTAAATTATATTATATTATATATGTAATATATATATATATATGTATATAAATTATTTTATAGGACTATATTATATCATATTATATAATATTAAATCATTATATATATTATATGTATACTATATTATAGATATTATATTGTATATATATATATATATGTGTGTCATTTTTAGTATTATATATATATATATATTACCCTACATATACTATAATACATATACTGTATATAACATATAATATATAATATATTATATATAATATATAATATATTATATATTATATATAATATATAATATATAATATATAATATATAATAATATAATTATATAATAGATCAAATTAATAATAATATAAAATAAAATATATATTAGATAAAATATACAATAGAATATATAATATATAATATAAAATATATTATTACATTTATTATTATTACTATTATTATCATTATTGTTATTTAATATTATGTACATATCTATATATATATATTATAAAATGTAAAGATTATATTATATCAAATTATGTTATACTATATCAAATTACGTTATACTATAGTTTATTATAGTATATTATATTATATACATTACAATATATATATATATGTTATATTATATATACATTATTATATATAATATTATTACATGTTATATATATAAATAGTGTACACAGAATCAATCCGAATCATATACTTCTCCATGTTCATATGATATCATATGTTCTTTCTTTAAGGTCCCTAGCGGTTTCGTTTCTGACGTCACCGAGGCACATATTCACGATAGGTGCCACGCGCTTTCACTCGATCTCCCAGGACGCAGTGGTACCTGTGATATCTGCAGGTCACAGGGACACGGGGTCAGTGGTGATCCACATGGTGATGTGCCATAAAAGAACTTTGAAGGACTATAGGTTATCCATTAGATCCATTTGATATCCATTATTTATATATATAGGTATGATTTGAAAACTTTGAAAAGGACTAGTGACCGTGAAAGATCCATTAGATATCATTAGATCAAAACTAAAGCTTTTTTGAATCTATTCTGACATAGTATGATTTTATATGATTTTGTGATTTTATGTTATACAATGTACACAATTGTACAAGTCATAAACGCACAAACCAGGGCTGCAGGGCTTATCTCAGAAAGCTCAACAGCGTTGCAAGCCCAGGTCCCAGGTGTGGCGTTTGTGTCGTGTGTTTGATTGTGGCGCCATTTTGGAATGGACCATTTGAAACCATACATTCTGGGTAAATTACAATAATTCACCAACCTGAATTAAGGCCATTTGGGGATCATGTCCCTTATTAATCATATTTCCAGTGAGGTCGCAGTGAGGTCGTTATAATTTACCAAGATACATTATAGGAACACGTAGATTGTTCCCTGGTGTTTTTTTTGGGGACGCATCATGGAAATTCACACACGAAATTCAAGCGGCGATCGGTTCAACGTTGTGGACTGGAGAGGACTGGAACATGGAATGTACAATATGAAAAAAATATGCATAGACTATATAGATTACATGCATAGAAAAACCCAATGACTCTAGCTTTAATATACACTCATGAGAGTATATATGTATATATGACTATAACGGTGGGTAAACTGAGTCAGACAACTAGTGGATAGGTGGGTCATACCCTTTCTGCTAGGGGACAAGCATACATTAGAATTAATTCATACAGATACCCTCTGGTTATGACTAACATAGCCATGGAAAATCACCATTTTTAAGTTCGGTAAAACCATCTATTTCTATAGGCCATGGCTTCCATGGCTATATTAGTCATAACCAGAGGGGAAGTATTGATAGCTTTGTTAATGCTATAACTATGAATACTTGTGGGAAAAAATCCGATCACATAGCCAAAAGCACTAGCTATCAAATGCTATCGCAGAACCTGCTGCATTGATCCTAACTACTTGATACCAGCAGCCAATTTATACAACTGGGCCCAGGTACAAGTTGTTTTTTTTCAACATCATTAACCATGCTGATAGGTACCTACCATATACATATATATATATATGGCCTATTTTTCAGGCCTATGTAAGGGAATATCCACACAACATATGGCCTTATATGGTACAGTACCCCCATTTTAGGATCCTGAAATTCCCGTTGATAAACATTGATAACATAACCACATAGCTTTTAGAGCTATGTTCACCAACTTGGCATAACTTAGCTCTCAACCAGAATCTTACAATGTGGCCCCCCCAGTGATGTTTGTTGGTTTATAAACCCCATGAAAACTATAGATTCTTTGCGTATCATAAACCATAGTTATTGGAGTGATTTGCACCAACTTAGATATCATCAATCAGTTATAGATCCCATTAAATCATATTAAATCCGCTTGTTTGTTGGTTAAATCAGCACTTTGTCCATGTTGATCGCAACAGGGACAACAACAACAACGCCACGTTTCTGTCTCCGGCGCACGCGCCGCCAGTGCACGCGGCTTCCAGCTTGTCTCGTCCCGGATCTGTGGTGGGGTCCTGGAGATATACACATATTATACACTGTATATATATATATATATTGTACAGTATATATATATATTGTACAGTATATAGATACATATGTATATATATATATATTGTATATATATATACAAATATATATATATTTATTTATATATGGGATATATATATATATATATACTTATACGTATATATATATAATATATGGGATATATATATATATATTGAGATAACCTATATGTTATAAACTGATATGTTATTTTGGGGATATTGCAGGGGATATACTACCATACCCTCAAAACACCGTTTGACCTTAAGAGGAAACAACTAGTCTTCCAACCCCATTGACCCTACAGATTCAGTCGTGCATTCTTAATTTGGGCTGTAAAAATCGGGAGTGATGTACCGTACGTCAGGAAGTGTTTGTATAAACAAACACATTACAGAAAACTATGATTTTCATGCAATGGAATGCTAACAACCATTAATGTTTTTCATGGATTGTGGTACTGGACGGTCCAACAACAAGAACGAAGGGCTAAGGCGGCTAAGGGCGGCAAATTCGAATCCGTGGAAGAATCCGTTGATCTAATTTAAGGATGATTTCTGGTTGGTGGTTTCAATCCCTCTGAAAAATATGAAAAAACAAGTTGGGATGATGAAATTCCCAATATATGGACAAATAAAAGATGTTCCAAACCACCAAGCAGATATGATTTGATATGATTTCTTTGCGGTCCTAGCAGTACATCAGAATCTACTCAAGATACGCGTTTGCCCAAACATGGATTTGGCACTTGGCCATATAGCATATCCTACAGGTAGGAAACACAAACATCCACAACATTGGGTCCGTGCGCAGTTTTCCCGTGTGGACCCTGAACGCGAACCTGATTACATGATATATATTACATGATTATTACATGATTACATTATTTTTTTCGGGGATTACTAGCGAGCTAAGTAACTAACCATGGTTCATCGAAGTATATCTGGCTGGCGGTTGCAACCCGCCGAACGATATGCAGTCAATGGTGATTATTGTCCCAAATACATTGGAAAATACAAAGAAAAACTGCTTCAAACAACCAACCTGTATTTACTAGTCATTAGTTCATATTAGTTCATATTAGTTCTAGATTCTCCCATTTAGATGTTTACGTCTTCACCTACTCAAACGCTACGCCCCCCGTGCACGGTCCACGTTGGCGCAGTAGTAGACGCGCCCTAAGGTCACTCTGCAAAGAATCCTCAACGGCCACGATACCGATTTATTGGAGGTACCAGGTACCTACAATTCGTGGGGCCCCCTTACGAAATCGCTAAGTTGGTGCGTTTATAACTCCAATAACTATGGCTTATGATACTTATTATAACTTATAACATATTATAAATATAGTTACTGGGGTTTATAAACCAACTTATAATTGGGAGGCCCCACATTGTACCATAAATAAGGTCTATAAGGGATAAGGGAACAGATGGCAATTGATTTGACCTCAGCAAAAAAAAGACAAGCCAATGGTCTTCCAATGACCTACAAAATACTAAGCGTTCCATAATGTTCCATATCTATATGTCCATTGACTGAAGGGCAAAATTGAATTTTATCTGAAGTTCAGATATATCACTGTGTGCAAATGTGGTGTACTAGTATGTGGAATGACACATCCCTTATGCTCCCTGGTGCTGGTATATTATATTCACTACCAAGAATTGCATGTACAGGTAGGTAAAGATACAATGGAGCTGCATGTTTCTACATCAACTTATCCAGTCCCAAACGAGAACCCTCCGGTAATCCAACATGGCGAAAGTGACCTTTTTTTAATAGATGAATCACCTATCCACACTGGTGCTTTTCCAGGACCATGTTAAATTACCAGAGGGTAGGTGTTTCATAGTGTTTCTAGAAATTAGTGGGACCCAAAATCAATTCCTCGTCCCTGTAAGAGAGGGAAACGAACAGGTTCAGGCACCCAAACTGAGGATACACTAATAGACTAGACCTTGATACACAAATTTGCTAATGGAAATGTCTCAAAGGACATTTCATGAGTTGGTTGATAAACCCTATTTACTATAGAGATATAATATATATATATATATATATATCTACCGTGGCCCTAGTTATTCAAGTTTCAAAACAGCTTAGCTATCTACAAAGCCGCACCTTGCTGCGAACGATTGAGGAACCTGGGGCTGTTGCTCGACAAAACTGTCCTGGTTTCACCAGGTTTTCACCATGATGGGAACATTCCAAACGAACAAAAATCAAAGCAAGAAAATAATCCTTCATTTATGTGCTTATATATCTTATATTGTCTTATATTCTATTGTGTTTCTCGTTTTTTTTTGCGGTTGCTGCTACTTCGGCCCGAGACTCATCGGATACCATCCTTTGTGATCTCCTTTGACATACCTGGAGCGATGCTGCAGGATGTCGGGATTTCGACTGACACCGTGCAGATAAAACAGCCCAAAATGGGATGGTTTACTACAGAGTGGACCAACGAATTGTAACGAATCTGTGGCCCCAAATTTCCATGTTGCTAGGAGAATACCCATCGTTGTCACTTTGCTTCCTTGCATCCCAATCTAATTCCATGGTAGACAAGCAAGGAAAATGGACGTCGCGCAGGGCATCTTTTCTGTTGCAGTCTCTGCTGCATTGCGTGGAACTTGTGTCGCTGATTGGGTCTGCAGGGCGATGAGAGCCATGTACGGGATGATCTTGTAATATTCCAGCGATCAATAAAAAACATCGCATGCACAAAAGGATTCATGTTGGTAAATCAATTTCATAAACCATCCCCCGAAAAATCACCATGTTTATAGGTGTCATAAACTTACCATTCCCAGGACTGATGGGTGGTAAACGTTATGGCATTGTTAAAAACCCACATTGGATGAAAGTAGCCATCCAAGGTTCACCTGAAAAAAAAAGAGAAATTCTACGGTGAAACCCCTGAATTCCAAATATCTCCATGGTGGGCCTACGCCCAAAAAAAAACGACCAACGAAGTGACGGGGTCACTATCCTGGATAGGATGGAACTGGCACAGCAACAGGAATCAGTTGGTTAACCTGCATTTGCTCCTATGTTTGATTGATTTTGGGATAGTTTATAAACTATTAATTAAACATCATAAAAGAGCCTATCCGCTAATATCCACAATCTATGAACTGACCAGTTTCCCCATGATAAATTGGCCCATTAGGACTAGACTTGCGGATACAGTCGGGGTGATCTAGTCTAGCTATGACGCTGGCTCATTGGCACACCAAGATCTCTGGCGATAGAGGGTTTTTACTGTGTGTTGGTAGTGTATTATTACGGGAAAATCGTGGAAAAATCATGGGACAATTCTGTGAATATCATGAGAATATGAATGGGAATATAAGGTTTATACCAACTCTAGTACTGGTGAATGTGAAGATGGAATATGAAGGGTAAACCCACTATATAAATATATTGGTTAGTGTAATCCCCATTGGAATCATTGGATTTCTAGTGCCGGGATAACCAACAATGAGAATCTGATGGGAATACTTTGGGATCTGAGGAATATGGAATGGCTGTGTCTGAAAATGGGGTATACCCCAAGAATCATCCGTTTATAATCCGTGGAAAAGTGGGAAACCGATCATAAACCATATTGGATATTGAAGTATCTCATTTTCAGGCAAACACCATAATTACAATGGATATTATGCGATGATGTGACTGTATAGCTTTTTAACTTGTTATGATAATCAATGATAAGACGTGATTTTTGCCAATCATAAAAAGATACAATCGCCTAGTAGCTAGTGCCAATTTAGCCAACGCTATATGGGGGTTTCCTAAAATAGGGGTACCCCCAAATCATCCATTTTAGTAGGATTTTCTATTATAAACCATCCATTTATGGAAATCCCCATACAAATAGTTGTGATTAGCTATGCATGCTTAGCCTTGGGCATCGCAACGTCCGCACAATGAAAAACAATCAGTCCAATGATTCCATCTATCTCGGTGTCCGCTGCTCAAAAAATGGCCAATCTGAAAGATACCTGGCAAAAAATCGATTTTTTTTAGCTGGTGAACGTGGATATTCCCATTGATAGCAATTTAGATTAGTTAATTTAGTTAGGATTAGTTTCTACCCATCCAGTTGGTTGACCTAGCTTATAGGAAATGCTTTGTCTTTGCACCAGGGACCAAGAAACCATTCAGCAGCGCAGCTCTGCAGGGCTCTGCAGCGCCAGCTCGCCCGGCCCGGAAGTCGTAAGTCTCGTCTGCAATTTTGAGCGTCCGCCAGAGGCGCCACAACCGTTCCTAAAGGCTAAGATTCTATGTGTATATATATATATATATACGTATTTATATATATATACAATATAATAGGTATACGTATAGATATACATCATAACTGGTTGGTGGTATACATAGCCCTCTGAAAAATATGAGTTCGTCAGTTGGGATGATGAAATTCCCAATATATGGAAAGTCGTAAAAAAATCTGTGGTTCCAATTTTTAAGATTCTTCCCAATATATGGAAAGTCATAAAAGCCATGTTCCAGTCACCACCAACCAGGAATTATGTACTGTAGTTCACATCAATTTTTAGTTGCAGCTTAACCAGCGCCCGTGAAATTTCCCCGTGAACTTTTTGTCAGTTCTATCCCCATTTAGGGTTTATGATAACGTCATGGGCCTAATCATTTACAAGTGGTTTTAATGTCCATGGAATGTCATGGAATGTTATGGATATGCAGTCTGAGATCTTCATCCACATTCCTGATATATCCTGATATACTGTACCTATTCCATCCAAATTCCGTAATGGTCAAGAGCGTGGCGGTCGGACTTGCTCGGCTCATTTGCTGAGACTGGGTCGCTGTGCCGGAGGTTTCGGACGATCTCGTCACCACGGGGAATCGCACGTACTTTGGGGAATAATCAGTATATATACACCGTGGGCCCCCCCAAAAAATCGCTCAGTTGGTCTTTAACTCCAAAAACTATGGTTTATGATACGTATAACATCGTATATAACTATATTTAATGGGGTTTATAAACCAACATTCACATCACTGGGGGGGCCCACATTCACATGCTGCAAACATTGACATTGATGATATACTTCCATACTTCGCTTGCGAATTCTGGCAACCATGACATATATGTATATACTGTATATATATATAGATGTACATTTATATAGGTTGGTGGTTTCAACCCCTCTGAAAAATATTAGTCAGTTGGGATTACTATTCCCATATATATATATATATATGGAAAAAAAAAAAAAACATGTTCCAAACCACCAACCAGGTATGTTATACTGTATATATGGTGAAAAACTCATTCTGTTTCGACAGGTCGTTGATTGCGCTCCACATATCATCTTCGACAGAAAGCGACGTTACGATGTATTGCGCTCCAGCGATGTGGCGTAGCGTCCTTCAACAGAACATTTCTGACCGTCTAACACGGGGGTTATTTCCACAAGGGTTTGCTGGTGAAATGTCAATTTTCTCTTTTTTTTGTGGTTGGTAAATCTCAAGAGATCTCTGATGCTTGATGTGATTTGATGTTTTTGTTCATGATATGTGATGAGAATTGATGTTGACATGTTGGCATGTTGACAGCACCATCTCCACTGAAACCACCAGCCAAGTCCAGTACCGAAGAAAGGCTCCACTTTAAGTGGGCTTTCTGCGGTCCACCATGCATGAGGTTACCAACAGCCGCGATCAGAGCGGCAAGGGTCCCTTGCCGAGAAATCATGTTTATATATGTTTATGGTTCTTGAAGCGTGCTGTATACTATCAACCGCAGATGCATATACCCCATCATACCCCTGGGGTGTTGATGCATTGGTAGATACAATACGTCAATACATTGGTCGTGTATAAGCCAGTATTCTACTAGGAATAACCTTTGTAGCCACAAAACAAAAAGGGCGGAATAGGACTTGTTTGATGTCTATTTCACACCGGTAAACTGTGAGGCTTCGGGTAGACTGTGAGGGTTATGCAAATCTGGGGCACAAAGCAGTTGCAATTCTGCCCGCATACAGATACTGTTACGACTTCCTGCAAGACTGCAATTGGAAATTCTATAATAATATATATATATGTGTGTGTGTGCATCATCTACCATCAGTGAGTCTGGGAAAATGCCTTGAGGAATAGCTGTGGGTAAAGATTCATATCCAAAGATTCTTGGTGATATTCGACATCCGGAATGATTCTGCATTTCTTTAGGCTACACAGCACATGCCTCATTTTCATCCATACAAACCGCTGTGTCACTATCAGCTTCCTAGTTGAAATACCATTTGTTGTTGAATTCTGAATGAATCCATTTCGCGACTTCTGTTCAATGGAAAGGTTCAATGGAAAATCTACAGGAAACCATGGTCTGCCCATGAAATATGAGGCTTTCCAGCAATTTAAATTTCCCTTAAACCAATTCATTGACTATAGTTATATACCCCCCCTATAATGGATTATTCTATATATAATATTATATAAGTCGGGATATTCCATATATGATGTGTAGCTCAAATCCTCTTCTCAATGGGGACCCAAAGGTATTGATTGCGTCAGCCCGACGCAGCATGCGCAGCTGCTGCGCATGCCATTCCAGATCTTCAGAAGCAGCACTGTACCTCAGCGCGACCAGTCGCCTATAAGACTCCAAGACCACTAGTAGTCATTTCTTTATACAGTACAATATATACATACATATATAGTAACATAGTAGCAATGTATACAACATATCACATAATATTCACAATATTCAACATATACGAACGCTAGTTATGTAGAGATATGTAGAGTACTTACTTACGTCTATGTGTATACATATGCAGCATATGCATAAATACACATGCATGATCATGCATTTTATACTGGATCTCAAACAGAAGCATGGGGGAAAACATAGGGATGATCTTCTTATCCGGTGTCATCAAGCAATATAAATGGTGGTTTTTAATGGGAAATCATCGAACATCATTGAGGAATAGCTCATTGCCAGCTTTGATTGCCAAAAGGTGTATAATATATATATATGTATGTATGTATGTATGTCTATCTATCTATCTATCTATCCATCTATCTATCTATCGATCTATCTATCTATCTATCTATCTCTATATATATATATATGTATGTATATTTGTGAAAACATATACACATACATGTGTATATATAGATACACAGTGTGCTTTTTCAGGTTGTTTCAGCATCCGGAGAGGTGAACGGCCTCTCCGGACGAGGCCAACGAGGCCAACGAGGCCAACTGCACGGGCCCATGGTTTCGTTTATTATGGTGCATCAACAATAGCTGGATGGTTTATTTATGGGAAAATCCACCATTGTTCATGGGAAAATCCACTATTTCTATGGGAAAATGTTTGACACCACCTATCATCCTATATATGATTTATATATGATGATTTACCCTCTGGTTATGACTAACAGTTCGCCATGGTTTTTCGATGGCCCTAATCGAAATAGATGGTTTACCGAACTTAAAAATGGTGATGTTCCATGGCTATGTTAGTCATAACCAGATGGTATGTCATGGAAAATCCATCTAAAAACTGGATGATGACTGGGTAATTACCCCATTTTAGGACACCTCCAAATATGATACTCGTTTGATTCGTGTCCCTACAATTTCCCAATGATGAACTGTCTGAGACTCGTTGCTGGAACAACCAGACAGTTTTCCCAGGTTGGGGGAAAGCCCCAGGAGATGTTAATCATCAGTCTGCAGCCACCTGAATGCTGGGGAGCCCTCACTACTTCTTCATCATCTTGCAGCCTTAAAATCCGCCCGGAAAATATGCCTTTAGCTGGGACAAAGTCCATGTTGTGTTTGGGTTCAAATGTTTGAGAAGATGTTTCATGTTTTGTGCTAGGTTCAAATCTTGGGACATGGTTCATTTTGTTTTTTAGGTCAACATGGTTAGGAGGAAGAAACTGTTGATCCATCTTTGCACCCATCCATATTCATTGATATATCAATGATGTTGCAATTTCCACATTCTCGCCAAAAAGGGATGGTTACCCTCTGGTAAACTAACATAGCTATTGAAAATGGCTATTTATAGTTGATTTACCCATTAAACATGGTGATTTTCCATAGTTATGTTAGTTCACCAGAGGGTAGTGCTGAATATGACTGGGTGCAGGAAAAAACATCCTGGGAGTTCATGAAGAGCGCCTTTGGAAAGTAACACGGTGAAATTACGGAACCACATGTCTGAAGCTGGCTGGTGGTTGGGCACGCCCTAGTATATGTGTATACCTACAAATAATCAAATTTATGTATATATATATATGAATAATATATATATATATGTATTGTTGAATCTAAAATTTGTCTCACTGATCATAAAAGATGCAACCTACTCACGGATTGATCTTTTCTTCACGACCAAAGAAACGTCGTCAAAGTCATAGCCGCGTCATGAGCTCTACGTCATTGACCATCCCCAAGAGACTGGGGCCATGGTTGGGACTGGTTTCCCGTTGGCTAGGTGACCCTAATATGGAGGTAATATGGTAGTTACACTAGTTACCTATATAATATATATATATATATATGGTTTCCCGTTGGCTTGGTTACACTACTAGTCACTAATATGGGTAGTTACCCCTTCATCACCAGATAGGTAACTTTCTAACCCAAGTAAGTATGGCTTTGCCTGCAACCAGCTGTGCCATTGCACCCCATCATCAGTCAGATGCAAATTTCCCTCTTTTGACAATTCCACATAACATACTGGTTGGATACTATGATATATATATATATATACCCCAGTATTTACCAGCACATAACCCCCTAAAATGTTTGGCAATGTACATATATGTAGTATACAGTATACATCCAATATTAACACATATATATATATATACATACATATATATATGTACATATATCACAATATACAATTACATATACATATATCATATGTATGTGAATGTAGAATGTAGATTGGATTTGTTTTTTGGTGGAATCCACAAGTTTTGGGCTGGGAATCGCACATATCTGCAGGTCGACACACGTCCTGGTGTTTGCGAGCTGCTCTTGGATGGGGTGTGGGTCTTACAACTATATATAATATGGAATATATATATATATAATATGTATACATATAATCATATATATATAATCATATATATATAATCATATATATAATCATATATATATATATGTAATCATATGTATATATATATAATATCATGTGTGTATATAAAATATACGTGTATATATTAATATATATGGGGTACTGTACCCCAAACTGGACACTTGCTGTTAAGCGGGCGAAGAATCACAAACAAAATATAAGGTCAATACCTTGCTTGGGCAGTTTCAAGTTCAATTTGAGTGTTCAATAGTGTCCTTTTACAATGTGGGCCCCCCAAACAATAGCTAAGTTGGTGAACATAAATCAATTTCACTATGGTTTATGATGGTTTATGATACGCAAATAACTATAGTTTTCATGGGGGGAATCTAAACCAACATTCCCATCACTGGGGGGGGCCGCATTGTATCTATCTAGCATTTTTTCAGGTGTCTGAGGTGTTAGGAGCAGCTGTTGAATTGGTTGTTGAGGACATCTACCTGTTATATCCTGTTATCATCTACCTATTCTGGTTGGTGGTTGACCTACCCCTCTGAAAAATATGAGTTCGTCAGTTGGGATGATGACATTCCCAATAAATGGAAAGTCATAAAATTCCATGGTTCCAGTCACCACCAACCAGATACTATGCTTGTTGAATTGGATAGAAACCCTCAATCTACTCTACTACCAAACCCGTGGTTGAAGGACATCTATGCTACACTGCTACAGCTTAGGACATGATATGCATGTCACTCCAAGCTATACAGTACCGGCATACCGGTGTACCCCCCAAGTGTCCATGTGGTGGCCACTCTGGGGGGTGAACCCTCTGTGTTCAGTGGCCATAAATAGTTGGGGTACTGTAAATCACCATGTTTTTTTGAATACACCCAGCTATCACATTGGTAGTATCCAATCAGAACCTACTATATATAATATTATATATATATATAGAATTATATAATTATATACATATATATATATAAATATTCCCACAAAATGGTAAATTATACATATACGTATAATGTAGCACCCCTCCCAAAGAAGTGTTTGTTTCCACGGTTTTAGTCTCTTTTTATTATAGGATTTCATAATGTTAGATGGGAATATGGAATACCAATGAAGATATTCCAGATCATTGCCAATCTTAGATACCTGGCAAAAATCTAATTTTTAGCTGGTGAACGTGGATATTCCATGATATATATGATATTCCCATTTACAGCAAAAGATTGAAGGATTAGTTTCTACCTTACCCATCCAAGGTTGACCTAGAGATATAGCCCTTTTTTTGGAAGTTGCAAGATCTCCCCATTTTCCGGCACAGCCCAGTCCATCATCGTGGGGCCCCGCATGGTCAACAGGGTAGGACTGCTGCGAACACCTCAGCTTTTTGTTGCGTTTGTTGCAGTGGAATTTCCCGGAAAAAATGTGCCAGGGTCAAAACCAACTGGTTGGTGGTTTTAACCATCTTGAAAAATATGAGTTCGTCAATGGGAAAGATGACAACCCATATATAATGGAGAAAAAAAAACATGTTCCAAACCACCAACCAGCCAAATGATGATGTTCATGGGACTGTAACCACCAGAAATGCTGACATCTTGGGGTTTGAACAATCAGAGATTGTGCTAACAGTTCTATGGCATTCTAAGATGGTGATTTATATAATGGAAATATAATGCAAACAATGGGAATATCATGGAAAGGTAAGGGATACGTAATGGGTATATGTATATATATAATGTGGCCCCCCCAGTTATTTGTCAAGTTGGTTTTCTCCCCCATTAACTATAGTTATGTGCGTATCATAGACCATAAATTTTGGAGTTATAAACGCACCAACTTCGCCATCGTTTGGGGGCCCCACATTGTGTATATATATATATATACACACTAATTGGTGGTTTCAACCCCCCTGAAAAATATTAGTCAGATTGGATCATCATCCCAACTATTGGGGAAAATAAACAATGATCCAAACCACCAACTATTATATATGATATGATATGTTTTGCTTTGTCATCCATCCCATGCTGGTACTCCAAGCAGTCAACTCCTATCCCCGTTGACCATCAGCACATTGGTTGACCCTGGGAAATAAGAGGTTTTCCCAGCGACAACCAACCAAACTATATATGAAACACGGGTTTTTGAAAGGTCAGGGTATCAAATACCTCGTTGTTTAAAACCCAGGAACCACAGAATGAATGGATATCACATCTGTGCTTTGTTTATAGTTTAAATGCCGCTGCACTGTTTTGCCGTGCATCGCCGACATTGAAGCAATCCGAGCTACAGTTTAAATGCGATGTACTGGGCCAAACATTCTTGGAGACACAGAAATGTCGGAAAAGAAAATACTTGGATTTGCTTAAGAGGTCCCCAAAAAAAATTCAACATAACATATTCCTTAATTCCTTATATATATATAGATTCCCCAAACGGTGGATTTTCCATTGGGAAAATGGAAAAGCAAAAACATTTAGAAACATCATAAAATAAACCCAGGATGATATCCCACATGGAATCTGATTCGCAAGTAATCAACAGATTGACATTCCACCGATTGACCAAAATAGGGGGGGACACCTCAATGGAGTGATGCGGTGACAGGAAAACCATGGCCAGGTGAAATCCAGCTGTTCCACAGAAGTTAAGTGAAAGTCAAAGTCGCTCTGAAACTGAAACAACGAAAACCCTCCAAAACTGGTCATAGCTATAGCTGTAGCTATAGCTTTGAAAACTGGTCATATATGTCATACCCTCTGGTAAACTATGGAAAATCACCGTTTTCAATGGGAAAACTCACTATTTCTATGGCCATTGTCAATAGCTATGTCATACGAAACTGAGGATTTTCACTGCCTGGATGACCTTAGATGACCTTTCTCCACATATCGCCCCATCGAGCCCCCGCACCACGAAGGACATGCGTCTCCTTCCTCAACGGCATGGGTGGCATGCCATGTCCCGGCAGACGTGTGATCTCAGGGAGAACCTCTCCGATCTGCCGACTCTGAATCCGTGGGCAGAACCTGGAAAGGCGGGGACCACTGATGTACAGAAGAAGGATAATGCAATAGTATGTGTATATATATATATATGTAATATATTTATGTATATATATATATTATGTATATATATATGTATATATATATGAACATATATATATATATATACATATATTTATATATGACTGTAATTAATATTGATGTACTTGTTATGTATGTAAATATATATATATATTATTAGAATATACATGTCAACTAAGTACCGATCTTCCTGCGATTCTGGAGAACTAAACTGGGAGCGCTTAGTTTTGTGGAGGTAGCAACATGCGAAACCAGCAGCCAGGGATGATTGAGGAGACAGCAAGAGGAAATTGTGGGAAATTCTACTTCAATCGGCCATGGAGTCAAATACTGTAACCAATGATATATGACTAACCAATAAGAAGTAGGTCATATAATGTCATATATTATATTGACCGGTAACTTACTAAATCTTACTAACCATGTATATTATATATATAATTATATGGTTATGACTAACATCTTAGTAAAATATTCCAAACAATAAGTAGGTCATAACCCGTGATTTTTGTCATTATATATCCAGTCATCACCGTTTACTAACCAACAAACTCCACGGCTACGAAAGAGACTCTGTGATAGAAAAACCGGTCTGGCAGTAGGATACCCTACAAACCATGGATTTGCGCGATAGGAACAACCATTTTTTTTTTACATATTACCCTCTGGTTATGACTAACATAGCCATGGAAAATCCCCATTTTTAATAGGTAAACCATCTATTTCTATGGGTCATTTCCCATGGCTATGTTAGTCATAACCAGAGGGTAAACATATTACCTATAGATTCTCCAAGTCGTGGATTTCCCATGGAGCAAATTGGCACAATAATCTTTAGCAAATCCAAAGAAAAATCAGCAAAAAATTATCTGTGGAAAAATCCGTGCGTGTCATCCCACCACATGGGTGGGTTTTCAAAAGAGATAGGTATATTGATAGTGTTGAATAGTATTGACATGTACATATCAAAAAATATCATAATGTGGGTATGTCTGAAAATGGGGTATATTCCCCAATTATAGCCATTTAATAGGGATAATGATCATTAACCATTGGGTGTAGGGGTACACTATTTTCAGACAAACCCATGTAGATCTGTAGATTTAATTTCTGGCAATCAAACGTGGCTGGCTGGAAAACCTCCCATTTACGATGATTTTCCCAGCTCGAAACCTCGACTCTTCGTGCGTTCGGGGGATTTTCCCAGGAAATCACTGTGTTTGATGACACCGGAGGAAACATATTATATATACCCTCTGGTTATGACTAACATAGCCATGGAAAATCACAATTTTAAATGGGTAAATCCACTATAAATGGGCCATTTTCCATGGCTATGTTAAATAACCAGAGGGTATATATATATATGTATATATGCATATATATATATAGGGACAATTTCCCTATCATGTATCTTGTTCACATCATTGTGTATCAGTATCAACATAGTGCATGTGTATATATATATATATTATTCAATAATTATAGAGGGATTATTATACACTATTATTGGTGATGGTGCATTAAAACATAGCAAACTAACAATAGTATTTCATAGTGATGCTACCCATATATGTATAGTAAACCCATCCCCCTAATCTTAAACACCTCCATTGTATGGTCCCAAATATATAAGTGTAAATATCCTACTAAACCACGGTTTCTGGGGGGTGTTGAATATGAATTTTGGTGAAGTGATTCTGGGGGTTGATGAAAACTACCATTGTCAACAGTTGTACACGTACGGTTGACAAGAAACATAGCGTTCTGAACCCCAAAAAACTCTCATGTTATCGATCCCCTTCCCCTTTCATATGGTGAATTTTACCCTCTGGTAATTTAACATAGCTATAGAAAATCACCATGTTCAATGGGAAAATCCACTATAAATGGTCATTTTCAATAGCTATGTTAGTTTACCAGAGGGTAGGTTAAACTCCCACCATTTTTCCTGGTTAAACAATGGTTTTCCCCTGTCAAACAAATCAGCTTTTTAGCTTGCAAATGTCCATTATGCCATAGCAAAGGTTGACCCAAATGGCTATGGGTTGACCCAGCTATTGGATGCTATGGGTCACCCTGGTACCTAGCGAACCCCAAAAAAGTGACGGTGATTTCATAGTTCATCCCACTAAAATTGTCAATAATGCGTGGCAACGACCTGCCAATTCCAATTGGAGGTAGCGCGCCACCCATTCCCTCATCCTCACCAGGGACTGGTAGGTGGTTGGGGTTTATATACACATGAGCAATGAGCAATGAGCAATAATAGGTTTTGAATGGTTTTGACACATCCCCAAATATTCAATATCCACACCCTTGATATTCATAGAATTTTTCACACCTCTGCGTCGCAGGTCGCAATGGAGGAGCCTCCTCCTGTGTGGCGACACAAAAGCGGAGGCACCGTTGACCAAAACAACGGCTGGATTTGGGGAATTTAACCAGGAAAAATGTGGGAGTTTCATGGAAATTTACTACCAGAAATGGGATTGTCATGGGATTTGCATTGGATTTAACCATCAAATATGGAAATTTAATGGGATTTAGAATCAATCAACATGAGGATTTGACACATGAATAGTGGATTTACCAACAATAAATGAATGGGGGTTTAAACATGTTTGGCGGGAATAAGAATGACACACATGTGTATGTATATATACACATGTATAATATGCAGCATTTTTGTGTGTCTGAAAATAGAGTTATATAATGTTATATGTCTATATATATATAATTATATACTCCAACACTTGCATTTTCATGATGAACATGTTCATGAACACCAATGAACCGTCTCGACTGAGTCGGGATACCCGCTAGGTCGCCTATTTTCGAAAAACCAACCGTTCAACGGGACGGTCCCTTCAGAGTTTGACATAGCCTCTGGTAAACTAACAGTTTGGGAACCAGACAATTACCATAGAAATAGTGGATTTTCCCATGACAAATTGTGATGTTCCATAGTTTTTTTGTATGTTTATCAGAGGGTACCCATAGCGATATTTTTAGCACCAGTGCAACTGAACAAGACAATATGTGGCAATTCAGGGGTTAGTACGGGTAGTAAATGTCCGAAGTGATGTTCAAAATCCCCAAAATGGAACATTTACCAAACCCTGCAATTCTGAACAAAAAAAACTTAACAGAACCATACCGGAGAGAGCCAGTGCTGGACTGCAGGTTTGGCAACCCAAAATGAGCAGATCCAGTATCAAACCAAGGCTTTGATTGGGGAGTATGTCATGTAATCTGGGAAAGGGAGTGTAAGATATTAATATATATATATATTAATATATATATATATATTAATATATATATATATTACAAGAAACTTGAGAACTACATTGACTATATGAGTTTGATCTGGTCCTGTTGTAGTATTAGTTGAACCCAAAAAAGCGCTTCAAAAAGGTCAGACATCAACCAGGGCCTGTCCCACTCCTCCGCCCAGAAACTATTCAAAGTCCCAGAGACCTGCACCAAAAACGCAGCCCCCGTTGACGAAATCGCTTAGTGGGAAGCAAGTAGAAAGATTCTATGGTTTCTGGATGTTTCTGGTAGATATATCTATACTGAATGGGCTTTTATAAACCAAGAAACAGAAAACTGGGGTGCACACATGAGCGGTGACAACAAAACCGAACTCCTAGCAGATATCTCTGATTTCGCGATTCCTTCGGATGTTTGTCGCACTAATTCTCCCTGGGAAAAAGAACTTTCCACAGACGCAGCTCAGCTCCAGCCACCTAATTCCAACTTTCCTGAGGTGTTCTGCGCTGCTGGGGAATCCGCTTGATGCTTGGTGATTTCAAACCAAATGGCCATAGCTCAGCTTGAATCAAAGCCAGTGGGGGAAGTGGGGTCATCCCAAGTAGGAAACCACAAAACAAACAGGAGGGTCTAAGCCCAAAAAGCATAGCATAGGGGGCTTTAGGATTTAACACAGAAACATCCCAGACTGGGGGGAAACAAATGAAACAAAACGAAGTCCGTGTACAGGTGAAAAATGGGTCCAAACTGGTTCCTTCACTTGGGTTTTTGATGCTTAATCTAGAGCATGTACGGTTTACCGTACATGATATAACTACAGATGGATTGGTTTCGAATGGTTTCGATATAAACATTTGACATTGACTGTTTTTCCGCTCTACTTTCTACAAATCCCATACTTGCTGATTGAATCTGTTTGATATCCCCATATCATATCTGGCAAATTATCATCATTCACTAAGCTGAAACAAGATGAAATCAGGTTCGTATACCGTATATCTAATATTATCTAATGATCAGTTTCATTCGAAGTTTCACGATCTAAGTCGCTATCCCCATGATATATCATTACATCATATTGTCTGGGAAACTCTTGATGATTGGGATAATTCCCCAATATACTACCCTCTGGTAATTTAACATAGCTATTGAACATGGCACATTTATAGTTGATTTACTTATATATTAAAGATGGTGATGTTCCATAGTTATGTAGCTCGTTGGTGGTTTTAACCCCTCTGAAATATATTAGTCAGTTGGGATGATTATTATTCCCAATACTGTATATGGAAAAATAAAATTCATGTTCCAAGCCACCAACCAGATAATTGTCCTTCTTAAATGGCCATAATTGAGGTATATACCATGATATATACCTCATATCCAGACACAAATAATCTATAAATTCATATTGTCTGGGAAACTCTTGACTTACTGGTGCTTAGCAGAGAATTTTCGGGAATGATCCATAATCACTAGTAATAATCATCCCAGCAACCCCCAGCAACCCATCCATTCCCTACGTTTAGCACCAGTAAGATGATTGGGATAATTCCCCATATATCCCTTACTTCCGACAGACCCACCTGCGAGGACAATGACGCAATGCCTGCGCCGGTGCTGGCCATATTCTTCACCTGTGGCAGCACCCCGGTGGGGAACGTGATGGATCTGTCATTGAAACATGATGATAAAACACTGTAGATAAGCATGTTTTATGATGTTTTATGATGCTTTATAATGTTTTATAATGTTTTGTGATGTTTAATGATGTTTAATGATGTTTTATGCACTGAGAGGGACTGAAACCCAACGATGTGTTACGATGTGTTACGCATGTGTTTCATCATGATCTTGGCACTTTGGGTTGGCTAAAGCCCCATGAAATCCCACAACAAAGTCCCACTAATTACCACCATCCCCCAAAAGATGGTTGTAACGTGTTTCCAGGAGGTTAGATGAACCATCAATACATAAATCAAGGTTTCCCACGGTCCTAAATCTATATGAATTGGATTGAATTGGGGTTGCTATGGTTGCTATAAACCATCAGAATCCGTTTTTTAGAATTCAATTTAGAATCCCCATGAAAGTCCCACTCAACAGTCCCATTAAATCCCCCAAAAGTCCCATTAAATCCCACCATAAGAAAGGTATATAAATTATATAAAGGTCCCATGAAACCATTCGAATCCCATACCGAATCCTCGCCGATTAACCGTCAAAAAATCTATGTCTCCCGGACCCACTGCGGCAAGGTGCCAACCTGCGCCGCTGACCAGCGTGGTACGAGCTGCAAAGGCAAAGGTCAAATCAAAGTCCTCTTGGAATCCAATGTCATCAATACGAAACAAAGGCCAAAACAATCTGATGGATGATTGTGTATCTGTATTTATATATATATATATATCAATATATAGTAGCAAGATGTACTACTATTCAACTTGAGGAACACGACAATTAAGCCATCAACAAACATCAAATTTTGTCGCTGGAATGCTGGGACGGACTGGTGTTTTACCAAAAAAACATGGTCTGAAGCCACAAATCATGGACGAATACAGAAGCTATTGAAAATGGCCATAGAAATAGTGGATTTTCCCCATTTAACATGGTGGATCTTTCCAGTTCGCTATGTTAAATTACCAGAGGATATATCATATCGTGTTATACAATGTGTAATAGAAATTATGTCATGTTGTATTAGAATTTATTGTGATACAAATGATATGATAATATCATCATTGTCTGGTTGGTGGTATACCAACCCCTCTGAAAAATATGAAAGTCAGTTGGGATTACTATTCACAATATATGGAAAAAACTTGTTCCAAACCACCAACCAGATCATGTTATTCCAATAGTACAAAATAACCGCCAAAGCTGACTTAAGGCCACCAAATTGATGATTCCCCATGTATGGAGCTAGATCGTTGTGAGGGCTGAGCAGGATTGCCACATATTGCCAGGTTCTTATGGCTTCATATCCCGTCACATGGAATGCAGTCAGCCACAAAAAAAAACAATTACCCAAAACTTTAGATGAAATTAGATGGTCTAGATGCAATTGACATTGCCCCCAGCAATAGTTTTTTTCCGATCTTCCCGGCAGCCTCCATTTGGGGAACTCCCGGCCCGGAAATTGGTGGATGACAGCATTTCACGAAACTGCCAGGTGACACCCAATCTCTGGCAAAAGTCGTCGCAGAAGTGACTGCAGTTGCGCCTCACGATCCAAATCTTCAAATCTTCGACGCTGGACCCTCTGGTAATTTAACTATAGCTATGGAAAATCACCATTTTTAATGGGAAAATCCACTATAAATGGCAATTTTCAACAGCTATGTTAGTTTACCAGAGGGTACCCTCTGGTAATTTAACTATAGCTATGGAAAATCACCATTTTTAATGGGAAAATCCACTATAAATGGCAATTTTCAACAGCTATGTTAGTTTACCAGAGGGTACCCTCTGGTAATTTAACTATAGCTATAGAAAATCCACCCATTTTTAAGTTCGGTAAACCATCTATTTCGATTAGGGCCATGTTCAAGTTCGCAAAGTGTTAGTTTACCAGAGGCTACAGTTGGAACAGAAAACCAACATCACCGCGGGTGGACCGCCAAAGGATTTGGAAATCAGCTCCACTGGTTCACATAAAAATTGATCGACGATGCGCATCTGCCGCTGCTTGGCCAATAAATCCATAACTTGGGCCGCTGCCCCATGAAATCCATGTGAAATCAGAGCTCTTTCTCAAATGGTTGGTATGATTTTTGAGCGATAAAAATGGCTTAACTTATAAACTGGTAATAAAGGCTATTTTTAATGTTAAAAAATTGCCTATAAACTGGTCATCATGTAAAAACATGTAAAACCACTAAAGATCAACACTAGCCACTGGCATCCCCCGCGATGCCCCATTTAAAACGCCCACGACAAGAAGCCGCAGCATGTCATATCCACGACTTGGCCTCGGACGCTGGAGATCTTTGGAACAGAAAATCCACGTGTCGCATCGAAATCGCAGCGTTCGCAGTTCACTGTTTTTGTTTTTTGTTTTTTTTAAGATCTAAAAATCATGTTTAAACTTATAGTATCTTATAAGACTTATACTTACTGGATCAGTTTTGTCGTCCTTGACTTTCAGATGGAATTATATGGAATTGTAGTAAGCAAATGTAAGCAGATTGAAACCCCGGAACTAGGCACTACCGAAACTCTCAAGAAAGGGCAAGGGATAGAAGAATATGTCAAACTGCCATAGAACAAGTGCGAGAGGTATGGCTCAGGATTTTTGAGTTCAAATTTGCATGTTTCTACACCCCCCCGGAAAAAAGTATGGCTTGAGCGATCAGAAATCAGAAAAACATATTCCTTCATGGGGCTGCTCCAATCATCCCATTTTGTCAGGGGCAGGACTCCAGAAGAATATATACAGCCTCTAGCCCTGTCATGTCTAACTCAATGTTTCATCAGCTGCAAGAAAGCCTGATGTCTAGACTGATTTCTTGCAAGTTAGTATAGTACAGTAATGTGGTTAAAACAATCATAACCAATCCCCCAAATAACCATAAATAGGCGCAAAATAAACAATTCCCAGTCATGGGTGGTTTATGGCGTTGTTTTAACCACAGTAGTACAGAGATGGCCGAAAATAACCATCGAGACGGGGCCGGTTGAAAGAAATTGTTACCTGGCAATCCAGCGTGAGTTGAAAAATAACCATTGGTAAATTAACAGTTCGACCCTGGCAGTCATCGGGGTTGGAAGACTAGTTTCCATTGAAAATAGACTATTTTCAGGGTCAACAAGTTTATTTACCAGAGGGTAACCACTGGACATGATGAAAATCAACTCTCGGGTTCATTGGAAATTTAAATTGGTAGCCATTGGTAGCCATTGGTAGCCATTGGTCATCCAAATGCTAATTGAACGGCTGATTTAAATCCATTGGTAATTGGAAATTAATGAGTAAAATATATAGGTAAATCATGTTAAATCCATACACTTGGTTGATTTTCATTCCCACTTGGTAATTCAATTGGTACCATTTCCAATAGGGGGATTCATGTTAACCCTGGATTAATAAACCTCGAACGGCTGTTGAATTGGGAAAGTACCATTTAAAAATCAAATCATGACTATTGGGGGAATACCACCCTAATGAATAAACCATGATTTATTAATCCGGGGTTGACATTATAGATCTTCAACTTTTTTCTTGAAGGTTGGGATACAATGTCTAATAATGGTACCTAATTGACTGTTCATTTCAATTACCAATTGAATTCCCACTTGATTACCTATATGGGTACCCTATTTCACCATCTGATCAACTGGGGCTCTCGGACCACTGGTGCTTCATCTGCTCTAAGATGCTCGCCACCTGAGGCGTTTTTTCCCGAGGACACGACGCTATCGATGGATGGATGATTTATTGGGATCTGACGATGAAAACATTGGGATTTCTCGAAAAATCCTGGGCATATCGTGGGGAAAATGATGAATGATGATGAATGTATATCCTCTGGAAAAATTGTTACATCGCTATGGTATCGATGGCCCATTTAGTTCAATGATTGGAAATGATTATTTTCAGCTATGTTGAACTAGCACTACAGGATATGGATTAAAGATTCTGAAGACCCGTGCATGATCTTGTTGAACTGATGTTAATTGAATATGATTAATTTGTGATGTAATCGTTTAATGGATTGGTTTACAGGAAAATTTAGAGGAACCCCCCATATTTCATTATTTCATATCGGAAAAATCATGGGTTCCCATAAATTTTTGCTAAAACCAATCCAGTGAATTGTCGGTCCATGCGGGATTCGGGGATGGTACTGCCACACAGAGTCAATGGTTGAAATCCCTATGACGTCACCCATCGTTTAATGGATTCAATGCCTTTGTGGTTGGTGAAATCGTGTAAAAAATATGTCCAAATCCGATGTTTGCTTAAAATCCCCATCAAAAATCGATGAACATTTTAACACAACTCAGGTTTTTCATGGTAATCACCACGGTTTTCCATGTTTTTCCCCCCCGTTTCGGTCAACGGCCTTGCCCTCGGGCAGCATCACGGCGCCCAGCTTCACCGTCTCCCGGGGCACCAGACCGGCACAGGTGCCGGGCCTGGCTCCCAATTTGTCCCACCGAAATCACCAGGGTTTTGTGGGGATTTGTTGTGTTTTTTTGTGATTTTTCAAGATTTTTGGGATTTTTGTTTGGTGATTTTTCGGGATTTTAAAACATTGTTCGGGATTATTAGGGCCATTGGGGGCATACGCCCTGAAATTTAGGCCTGAAAAATAGGGCAAAAAATATGGTAGATACCTCCAATTCAAATTACGATCATGAAATCACCAGGGAAACAGATGTTGGATAGAAGTAGGGGGGTACAACAAATGTAGGTACTAAGACAGGTTGAGACATAGGTTTAAACTCAGATGTTGTAGGGCCCTACCAAGATAGATGTTTAGACATATAGGTTGAAACTCACATACGTAGATATATGTAACCTAACATTAATTGATTAGCTATGAAAACTGTAGATGGTTTCCCGTCTACCATGAAAACTATGTTTGTTAAAACTATAGATGGCCCATGAGCTGAGCTATGTTGTACTTGGTGGCTCATCCCACAGATCATAAGTATGTGATATCCCTGTTTTTTTCAGTGGAAAAATGTAGGGTTTCCCTACTAATCCATCTCCAACTAGGCTGAACTAACCTGCTAAGTGGGGTGAAATACACAATACATACATATTAATACGTATACCGGGAATGCTAAATGTCCATGTTTAACATCACATCATCCAACTATACACAATCATATATATATTATATATATATATATACATACACAATCATACACAATCATACCAGCAAGTAACGTTTCGATGTATAGATGGCCCATTGAGTCCGATGCTCTGCTATGAAAAGATGGTGAGACAACACAGATCTGGAACATCTCCAGCATGGGAATATCATGGAAATATGATCATATGAGGTCTATACCAACTTACCCTCTGGTTATTTAACATAGCCATGGTATAGATGGCCCATAGAAATAGATGGTTTACCTACGTATTAAAAATTGTGATTTTCCATGGCTATGTTAAATAACCAGATGGTAATACGTCTTATATCTTCTTATATCGGAATATGGAATATGAATGGTAAACTATATGGTAAACATTGGTAAACCCAATATATGGGCACATGTTTCGTGGTTCAAACATGCTTATCAACACACCTCAGCCTCGACTCTTGTTGCTTTAACTGCCAACAAAAACGTTCCAATGGCGCTCCAATGGCCCTGGATTGTCACCTTCAGCAAATGTATTCCATCATTAAGTCAGATTAAGCGTATGGATATCGGCAAAAATATCAAAAATGGTGGATTGGAAAAACTGTTTTTTTTTTCCATTGGCTTCATCAAATCGAAGATTATGAGAAACCAACGGTTGGTATGGTTGATATTGTGATATGCGTAGTATACACCATAAATAGTTCACAAGTCACTTTCCAGATATCAGCGATTTGTGGTTCCTTAGCTGCTCCCCCCAATCGCCGCTGGCCAAACGCCAAGCCGCACACAGCTGAAGACGCCGCTTCCCTCACGACGTCCTCCTCTGAAACTCCACTCTTGACCAAGTACCTGGGATTGAAGCCAGTTTAGCCTTGGTGTTATGGTGATTTGAGGGTGATTTTAGGGTGATTTTAGGGTCAATCCTATGGTTAATGCTATGGTCAATGATATGGTTCATGCTATGGTTAATGATATGGTGATTAATATTTTATTCCAACCTAAATAGACCTAAATATCATTCTTGAGACTGGGGTCATGGCGATTTTACAATGATTTTTCATGGTGATTCAATGGGGTCGTATTTTACCGAAAAACAATTTAAATAAAGGACATGATGAAATATTGGGGCAGTCCTTGGATTCGTTTCAGAGAAAATGTATGGGACACCATGTTTTTTAAATCACGAAGCATGTGAAGGCAAGAGCAGAGTTCAACACGTGAATGGGGATGGAGGCAGCACCAAATGGATCTGCAAAATAAATCTGGGTAAAGTATAAGGTTTCACTAACCTGAATTGTTGGGCCATTTGGGGATGATTTACCTTATTAACCATCTGATTCCAGTGAGGGAGAACAGTGAGGTCGTTGTAATTTACCCAGATAAATGCCAACCTGGTTGGTGGTTTCAACCCCTTTGAAAAATATGAAAGTCAGTTGGGATGATTATTCCCAATATATGGAAAAAAACATGTTCCAAACCATTCAACCATTGTTTGGTTTCTCCAGCATATGATTGGCTTCTCCTTCGACACGTACATCCGAGAAAATTCACCAACGAGGCTGGATATGACTGCATCTCAATCATTCCGACCATTAGAACCTTACCGCATTCTTCACATTTCAGTATAATTCTGTGATACCCATCATCATCATCATCATCATCATCATCATCATCATCATCACCACCTTCATGTTTTTTCGTTTGGTGAACCACTATTTGAGCATCATCACAGAGTAATGCTCAACTCCCAAAGAAGATTCGGCAGTCCCTGGGTGGGGGTACAGGGGGACCCCCCAAATCATGGGCGGGGCTTGATTGGAGGTGCCCGTTTGCGCATACCAGGCCTACGTTTGGCTCAAGTAAGGGCTATACAGGGAACATCCCTAATTATTGTACAAAAGATTATAATATGGTACAGTATCCACTTCAGGGTCCTGCAATTCCCACTGACATGTTACAAGTATGAATCAAAATTGGTGTATCGCAAACCTGAAACCTCTTACCCACACAAGACACACACACACACATTAAAAAAAGGGCCAGAATGAGTTCCCATTATTTCAAAGCCATTTGACAGAAAAACATGTGTGTAAGATTGGCAAGAGATGTCGAGAGCTTAAGCAAGAAGATTGAAGAACAGCATTTTTTCTTGCTTCACACTCCCGATCATTCCCAACCTACTATTTGTTTGGTTGACTTGGTTGATTCCTTCCTGCGCTGGCTGAGCGCACCTGCACCCCGCAGTGGAAAATCCCTGTGCCCAGCGGACGTAGCCTGCAGTGGGACGTGCTAGCGTGGGACTTGGGGGATGACTGTGGGGGTTTCCAAAACATTTGGGCTACGCGGCTACCCCAAGCTCGCTGGATGGTTTATTTCATGGAAAATCCCAACCATAAAATGGATGATTTGGGGTACCCCTATTTTAGGAAACCTCCATAACCACCATAAATTTTAGGAAACCTCCAATCTAAAATGGATGATAACTAGGGGTAACCCTATAGATCCTATAGGAAAACCGCATGTGGCATGACCAAACCGACCAAGGGGATGCAGCAAAACCCTCATGACTGGCGGGATGACAATCTCCTGTGGTTTTTTTTCATCCATGTGTTGACACAGCCCCAGACTCTGGTGGGGCCATGAGATCTGCCAGGCCAGGCGTGCAATTTTCAATGATCTGTTCCCCATGTATCGAGATGCTGAAACTGGGAAAATCAGAGGTGCTTGGTGCGAGTCAATCTGCACGGTCCGTGCGGCACAGACGTGCCGAAAAAATCTGGACCAACCAAAGGAGGGTCGCAGACTGTGCACAGCCCTTGGACGTCTCCACGAAAAAACGTCATCCGTTCGTATGATCTCGCCAACCAGATGTTCCTTGATTTCGAGAAAAACAACTGAAGCTGATTGGATAAACTATATCAACTTTTAAAATGATACAGTAAATGAAACTTAATAATTTAACACGGAATTCATCGTTGAAAATGACGTAAACTTGACTACAATACAGAATCTATAAGAATATCCCCACATTATCCCCACACAATGGTTTGTTTGTTTGTTTGCGTGTCTTTATTTTACAGTATCTATTTACAGTATATAGTTGCCCTCCAGTAAAGTAAAATAGATATGGAAAATCCATGGTTTCCCTATCGGCAAATTGATCTATTTTCATGCTGGATGTTCTATAGCTAGATTAGTTTACTGGAGGGTAAACGCCATGTTGTATCTATCCCATAAATATAGACTATTTTCCCAGTAGAAATCATGGTTTAATCTGGTTCGTTCGTATCCAATACATGATCCTCATGTAGTAAAGTTGGGTTTTAAACCTTATATTCCCATGATATCTCCGTTGAATTACCAATACTATCAACCAATATACGCCAGTCATATAAACCAATATTATCCATTTTCCAGTGCTATCAACCACTATTCAGTTCATATTATAATCTACAGCCACTGTTATCATGGGTTTAAGTTAAGTGATATTAACCCTGTTATCATTAACCATTCATATTAAATATCAATATTAACCATATTATTAACAATCCCCATTGATATATATATATATATATAACAATCCCCATTGACACAGATATATATATATATACATATAGAGAGAGAGTGTGTGTTGCAGATGAATAACTATTGCCCATTATATCAATGATGATTCATGGGTTTAAGTGATACTAACATATATATATATATAAACCCTGCTATCATTGAGATTCACCTTAACCATTCGTATTTGCCACATGAAATATCATCACCATTGATATATCATATTGTAATTATATGTCTTTATTACTATATGTATTGATATATCACCATTTTATTATATGTATAACTATTGCTCATTATATGGATGGTGATCATATCATCTTAAGTGATATTAAGATTGTTAATATCGACATAGATATTAACATATATATATATATTAACCCTCCTATCATTGAGATTCATACCACTGAATCTAATGAAAATCCATAAAATCCATCCCATGACAATCCGATACATCCACTAGAAATTGTAATTTTCCAGTTCACTATGTTAGTTTACTGGAGGGTAAGCAGAAGAAATGGGGTGAAACACTATGAAAACTGATCAAAAATGGAGAGTGAACTCATTTTTAACCTTTGTTTTTGGGGATTACACACATTTTTTGAGTATAAACTGTTATAAACTGATCAAAGCCTTTGTTGTTTACCTTCCAATACCATGAAAACTCTAACCTTTTTCATATCCACAAAACCAGAAACCGACGCTCCCAGGATCCCAGGCAGCTGGTTGAGCACAAAAATCTCGGCGGAACCGTCCAAGTCATAGACCTTGGGGAGATCGGTTTTTCCAGGGGAACTGAAGCGACTGATTCATCATATGTTAATGGCATTTAACCAACAGCAACAGGGAAATTCAATGAGATGTGGGATTTTATCCATCCAAAGTGGCGATTTGTTGATTGAATATTGAATATGCTTGAATATGGCTAAGTGTCATCGAATAACTAATATATACAGTGTATATATATATACAGTATACCGTGTACATGTATATATATATATACATACATACATATATACATATACATACACATATATGCATACGTATATATGTATATTTATATACATATTCATGAAAATCACTCAGGAAAATGTACTTTGATTACATATATAGTAATATATATATATATATAATATACACATACCATCGCAGTATCTCCTCTTTATTTTGGAGCCCTTGGAGCTGTTCAAACGAGCTAAGGCAAGGGAAAAGCCATATCATCGCCCGGGAGCAACACAAAAAATGGTGAAATATGCGTGTCTTTAACTGTATCTTAAAGCAGCCAATTGATATAGATGAATAACGTTTGGTATCTATACTAAGAACATATGTGTTGCAAAAAACAATTCAATATCGTTCAATAATAGACATAATAGTATTGCATAGTATTGCACTATTTGAATAGATTCAATAGTTTCAATACATATGATTGTTTTTCTTGGCTTAAACATGTATCTTCTCCCATTTCTTGCACCTTCGCGGACCTTCGAACTTCGCTGGGTGTCCGGCAACGAGTTTCACCTGGTTCACGTGGCGCCATCGGTTTCACTGGGATGATCCTCGATGGTGTGAATTCCACCAGGTGTAGTGCTTGACTGGCTATACTCGTAGTGAATCAATGTGAATCCCTAAATGGATTGGTTCTGTTGGGAAAATCTTCACCGGAAACCATGGATTTTCCATGGATTTTCCCATCGAGATCATGGGGCTTTCCGGTGAAAATTTTCCCCAACAAACCAATCCATTGATACCCCCAGAATCCATTCGAAATATTGGGGATTGTGGGGGTAAATCACTGGATTTGTGTTGAATTATCTTTTTAAACCATTGATTTTTTGTTGGATTTGTTTTTTCATCACTAAATTCCCATGAAAAGGTTACGATGGTGAAGAAATTCCCATGATTTACGTGAAGACTTGGAACCATCCAATGGGGATGGTGATGATGGTGTTTCTGTTGAGGAGTTAGTGACGGTTAGTGGAAAACCCAATTTAAGGTGAAGAATCTCGTTTTTTATACCAGAAATGGGTTCTTTCAACATCGACCCATGGCTTGATTCTTGGGTTTACTATGGTTTACTGGATTCATAGAGTCATATAGAGTCATAGAGTCGCAGTATGAAGAATTGAGCGCTCAAAACAGGTGACTCATCGAACTATACTGGTTGGCTTTTGCGATTTCCATGGTGAAAATCCCTGGGTCCCTGACCAGTACAATCCCATGTCCTAATCAGCTGTTTAGCACTGCGAAAAACTATCCCTTAAATGACGGGAAACAAATGAAACATAACACCAAGCGTTCGCCTCCGGGTATCAAACGTGGCTGGAAAAATCATGAAAAATCCCTATCCATGGAAGGTTTCAAGGGACCATCTACTATAAATGGTTGGATTTTCCATTGCCAACGTTACCGGAGGGTAAAGTACTTGCAGTTGGACAATCTTGTAAGGTTTCCATCCAGGCTTCTACTGCTTAACTTCGACGCTAACTCCCACACTTTCGCTGAAAATCCACATCTCTGCAGATTAAATTAGTTAAACCCTTTCGAAATAACGTTACATCCCTATAAACCCACAGACACACCCCTTTTACCAACCCCAACATCACAACGATTTCAGTGAAAGTCTCAAGACAATCAATCAAAACTCCTCATTTCTGCTGTCTACCCTCCAGTAAACTAACATAGCCATGGAAAATAATCAGTCATCATTCTTTTTAGGCAAATCAACTACTATAAATGGGCCATCTTGTCATAGCTATCGTAGCTTACCAGAGATTATAGATCATCATTTTCCCAATGATTTTCCCATTCTATCTCATTATCCCACGAGTTTTGATGATTGAACATATTTAAAAAATAAAAATAACAGAAAATAACATGGTTAGAAGCACTGCACCATGGTTAGAAGCCTCCGTAGAGACCCACCGGCGACTCTGAGGCTGCTCTGGCCTACGTGCCGCGATGCCGTGCCACGATGCCCCGGAAACTTGCGGATTTCATAGAACTGAAATGATTCAACCAACAGAAATGGTGATTTAATGTGATTTCATGGGATTTATATATGTTGATTTACCAATTTACCCATGAAAAATGGTGATTTCATGGGATTTATGTTGATTTACCCATGAAATCCCATGAAAAATGGTGATTTATAAAGGGATTTTAGCCAACGTTTAGAGGGGAATTTCCGGTCACTCTTAATGAATGATGGCTGGTGGTTTATCTGCATTAAAAGGATCTGATTGACCAAAACGAAAATGGTATTCAACCAAGAAGAATCATGTCTTGGGATTCAGCCAATAGAATTCAACAGAAGTTGTAATCTCACCAATGAAACAATGGATTTTACCATCAATGGATTGAAGTTCCAACCGTGAATTCCGGTAAATAAACCCTATACTTCTAATATCTTCTAATTCTGGTCCTTTTGGTGGGGAAAGACAACATATAGTTTGATATTTATGTGTACCCTTCGGTATTCAAACACAAATCGCCCCATTCATAGATTAATTTCACTTAAAAACACCATTTATAGTGGATTTTCTATTTCCATATATTTTTATAGCAGTTTTGATTAGAGTCTCTGAAACTACCCAGGAACCAAACCAAAAATGGATTGCTCGTTTGATCACTTAATAACACTTCGTGGAATCAGAATCCCAAGAGTTAGAATAGACCCCGGTCTATCTCTCCCATTCTGTATATATATATATATACGTTTATACATCTATAGATAATATATATATATATAAGTATGTATATATGTATATATATATATACATAATATACATATATATATACATACATACATACATACTTACATATATAATCATATATAATATATTTATATATATGAATTATGATTAAACTATATTAAGCTACTATTATATCCCCCATGACACAGGTCGTTACAGATCGAGGTGCTGCCAGACTGAGGAGGTCGCCCCCATGACCTGGACTCCGGCGGCGAGCCGCCGTTTTTTTTTGGAGATTTTTCTTGGGGAATCTCCAGTATGGGATGGATGTTACTGGAGATTCTCTAGGTTACTGGTAATTTTTGGAGATTCTCTAGGTTACTGGATAATTATTGCAATTACTGATAGGCTCGTAGTCTAGATTTTCCATAATTATCGGATAATTCAGGTTTGGATTGAGCCTATCAAATTTGATGATGTGTTTTTTGATATTACCCTCTGGTAAATAAACTTGTTGATCCTGAAAATAGTCAATTTTTAATGGAAACTAGTCTTCCAACGCCGATGACTGCCAGGGTCGAACTGTTAATTTACCAGAGGGTATCACATATTATCTATAGTATTTGATCTTTATATAGAAAATATATCATATATATTATATTATATTAATACGATTATCTGGGTAAATTATAATATTTCACCAACCTGAATTGTTGGGCCATTTGGGGATGATGTTCCTTACTAACTATGATTATAGTGAGGTCGCAGTGAGGTCGTTATAATTTACCCAGATACATACTGTATTATATCTTTGCAATGTCCAGTAAAATTCAAGTTTTTGTTTTATTATGTTTATGTTTTATTGAATTTGGATGGAACATGGTTGGGATTTCGGAATTTTCATTGACCATCTGGGAAAACTGGAGTTGGATGGAACATCTCTTCTTTAGCTGGTCGTTTGAAGCTCCCTCAAAGGCTTCAACAAACAGCACAGCTTGGGATATTCGTTCTCCCGTTTGGAAATTTGGCTTGACTGACAGTCACAACATGTCACAACAGTAGACAATGTCAGGAAACAACAACACATTGACATACCCTCTGGTAATTTAACGTAGCTACGGAAAAAGACAATTCTCAACAGGTAAATCATCATGTTTATCATCAATGGGCCATGTTCCATAGGTACAGCAATCATCCTCTGTGTTAGGTTTATATATGTTTATATACAACCGCAATGACTCAACAGGCACGCGCCTTCCCAAATGCGCGGCTTCCCCAAATTTGAATCTGTTTGGTATGAATTGAGCAATCAAAACTACTCTCTGGTAAACTAACGGTAACTATGGAAAGATCCACCGTTTTTCATGGGAAATTCCACTATTTCAATGGCCATGTTCAATAGCTATTTTGACATTACCAGAGGGTAGGTCTTATAGTTTCTCTACTGAGGCGAAGTGATGTGAATGTGGCATGTTCTCCATCCCATGTCGTCTGAGGGCTGCCTCGAGCCTTGCTGAGCCAAAACAGCTGAAATGATGAAGAAAGTACTGGTGACTGAATCTTACACCGAATCACGCAGCGAAAAAAGAACACAAATCACTGTCTTGTTAAATCACACACATTTATCTTTGTCACTTGTATTCCAAATATATACATATATATATATACTGTATATAGAGAGAGAGAGAGATGGATAGAGATGGACATGAATGAAATACAAACACAATATCAGTCCATCTATGTCCATATCAATCCAGATATTGCATTGATGTCAGTGTTATTTCTTTGACATTGAAACATCGTGATGGCCCTCGAGACAGCAATTCCAACCATCACCGGATTCTGAACAAACAATCACCACTGCTTCAAATGATAACACACATACTTATGTAACTTATGTAATATGTACCCGCATGGTTGTCCCTACAAAATCAATCTACACTTTTTCTGATTTTTTCCCCACACATCAACCCGTTAGCTGCTAACAGTCTATAGCTGTCGTGTGCTCAGCCCCCTGGGGCCCTGGGGCACTCATCACTTTTGGAGGAGTTCTCTGCAAAGTAGAGCCCCGCACCAAAGAGCCCAGTTTTGCACGCGAAGGCCCTTGGTGCAGCCAGCCGTAGCCCAAAAGGTCCGAACATGTCCGAACCCAAAAACTAAACATAGTTACCTCAACTGGAAACATCTGATGATGTTTCAAATCATTAAACACATACTGGAAGGGACCCCTAGTTGTAAGTTGGTTTACAAAAACCATCAAAAACCATCTAACTATCGACCCAGTACAAAACCCATTCAACCTAGTTACAAACCACAAATCACAAATCAGCACTTGGTGGACTTGGATTTGATGAAGGAACCAAAAACAAAAACATATCCCCTATACATTCCCCCAAAATGGTGCATGTCCCATTGGGAAAACCATGGCAGGATTAACAACCCTGAGGCCGCTGACATGTCGAAATGATTCATCGCGATGAGATCAGCTGCCTGTCGCAGAAAGATCAATGGATTGGTTGAAGGGAACATCTACGGTTCACCACCCATCGAGTTTCCCATTCAGGTCATGGGGGTTTTCCGGTTTCAATGTTCCTTTGAACCAATCCATTGATAGGAACCCTTCAATTGATATTTGCCATCTTGCCTACCATGCAACTAAGAGTCTAAGAGTGACACTGCGATTCACAAATCGACCGGAAATCGCCGGAGATTCAGCATGAATGACGGATTTTTCGACCAAATTGATCTGGTTGCTGATTGACAGTACTGGAAATGGTCATGGGCATAGGGTCAGAACATGGGGATTTTCCTGTTGATTGGCAGGTCCCAAAGCTTGGAGATATGTAATTAATGGATCCAGTCGATGGCAGAAAGCTACAGTAGCAATTGCTGGGGATCAGTGATGAAGAAATAGTGGTGGGGATCACAATCGAAGAAAGAGGAAGAATGTCATTTCAGAAAACTCTATATACCCTCTAATAAACTAACATAACTATGGCAAATCACCATTTTCAATGGCTAAATCCACTATTTCTATGGTCGTTTTCAAGTTCGCAAACTGTTAGTCATGACCAGAGGGTAAATCACCATCAAGTCACCATGTTTTTTTCGTGGTATCCATCCGATGAAACCACCATGTTTCCATATTTTTCCCAAGAAATCACCATTTTTCAATGGGTAAATCCCAAGTTCTCCAGCACTTTGCCATAGAAATCGCCCTGGTGAACCCTGCTTCCCACCAGCCTCGGGTTTGGTGCCGTGAAACATGAGGAACTCATTGGCCCCGGCGTTCAGGGACGGAAGGTGCGCGCCTTCCATAATGGCCTCACCGCAAAGAAAATCCCGAAAATCCCGGTCACCATAGAAATATCTGATGAATAGTAATGGATATATCTGATGAATAGTAATTCTATAGTCAACTATGGATCTGTGTTTTTATACACCCCAGTTATAATGTGGGGCCCCCCAGTGATGTGAATGTTGGTTTATAAACCCCATGAATACTATAGTTATAAGTACCATAAACCATAGTTATGGGAGTTATAAACCAACTTAGCTATCGTTTGGGGGCCCCACATTGTAGGTCTGTGTTTTTTTCAGTTGATGAATAGTAATTCTATGATTAACTATGGATCATGGTGACTATCCATCTGAATAATTAACCATAGGTTACTTACTATATATAGGTCACCATAGTTTTTTTTTCAGTTGATGACTGGTTGGTGGTGAAAAAATCTGGAGGCTTTTCCGAAAGGGTGAAATGGTGATGGAAATACCTGATCAATAGGAACTATAATTAACTATGGTAGTTTAATGATATTAATTGATATTAATAGTAACTATAATTAACTATAGAAACTATATCCCATTAGATTCTTCCAGTTAGTGGTTGGTGGTTGAGCCAACCCCTCTGAAAAATATGACTTCGTCAGTTGGGATCATTATTCCCCATATATTATGGAAAAAAAATGTTCCAAACCACCAACCAGATGAATAGTTAATAATAGTAATTAATTGATAATCAACTATGGTAGTTAACTATATTGATGGTAGTTTAATGGTAGCTAACTATATATAGTTCACTATTTTTATGGTAGTTAGTTGATGAAGAGTTAGGGAATTGTTAACTATATTGAGTTTTCAATGATTAGTTAGTTGATAAATATGACGGTTCATTATGTTTATATATTTAATAATTAATACATCTGACGTTTCAAATACGTTTCATGATGTTTCATTGTCTTTTAAATGATCAACTAATTATTCTAATTGTGTGTGTTAAATTTGAACCGTGCCTGTCTTTTGGGTAAACAACATGTTCCATTGTTTAGTGATAAATTGAACCGTTCCGCATCGTTTTGGGGGGTTACTCTTTAAGTGGTGAGGAAACATGCTTAGTTTCAATCGTTACACAGTTAAAGAATATTATAGAGTTATAGAGAAATCCAACAACATTCTTGTTTCCACTGTAAATGAAATAAGTACCCTCTGGTTATTTCACATAGCCATGGAAAATCACCCTTTTTAATAGGCAAACCATCTATTTCTATGGGCCATCTATACCATGGCTATGTTAGTCATAACCAGATGGTAATTCCCCAAAAAAATCGGGCAGCTTCTCTTGGGGATAGACGGGGGCCACCTGTCGACCAAAAAATCGGACCGTTGGCCGCCCCGACGTTGCCATGGGCTGCGGTGTGAACTTTGCCACTCCAATCCGCCCACGCCTAAGGAAGATCCCCGAGTCCAAAGGACTGCCGAAGGACTGAAGGATTGATGATGGTAAGTGGGATAGCAAAAAACATTATGCATTTCTTGGTGATTTAGTGGTGATTCCTGGGATTTCCATGGTTTTAATATCATAAAGGTGATGATTTTCATGATGACTCATGGGATTTCATGGGATTTCATGGTGATTTCATAGGATCGATACTCAACATGGCTTGTGGCCTGTCAGGAAAATGTGAAAAAACACATTTTAATCTGGTCAAGCCATAATTCCCACACATTTGAGATATCATGAGATTTGTTTTTTGTTTTTTGTTCCACTGCCATGCTTAGGACACTTAGGGCCAAGTACCGCCCAACAGACTTCACCCTGCGGACAGTTCATCCTCTATGAAAGGGGAAGGGTACTTCCATGTTTTCAGGCAACCATATTTCACCCACCAGAATCACATAATGTTTAAATGTAACTGAGATTGTCAGTGAGATTCTATCTGGAAAAACATTATAGTTCACAAACCTGAATTAAGGCCAACCATCTTCTCACTTCCGGCCGCACGCCACGGGTCATTCGAATCTTGCAAGGTGGTGTTGGTGTGGCCCCCTTAAGTCTTCAGTGAGCTCGTTGCTTGTATGAATACTATAGTTCGATATATCATAAACCATCATAAACCCAACAGTTACCCTCTGGTAATTTAACATAGCCATGGAAAATCCCCATTTTTAATAGGTAAACCATCTATAAATAGGCCATCTATACCATGGCTATTTTGACATAACCAGAGGGTAAATTGGAGTTACAAAAATCCACCAACTTCACCCTTCCGAACTGAACCTCCACTTAACGTATACTATAACTTTGAGTACCCTCTGATTATGACTAACATAGCCATGGTATAGATGGCCCATAGAAATAGATGGTTTACCTATTAAAAATGGTGATTTTCCATGGCTATGTTAAATAACTAGATGGTAAATGTTCAATAATTAACTTGGTCATCGTCTCCACTGGAACATTAGGTGGATGTGTTACTATTATTACTATGTATTGCTCAAGATCCATTGGTGATTGTATACACAAAATCACCATGAAATTAACAGGTGGATCCCAAGATCAGCTCGTTTTAAACTACATCCATTGAACAAAAATGGTGAAATCCATTGGTGTTTCATGGTGGTTTTAATTACCCTCTGGTAATTTGTTACATAGCTATTGAAAATGACCATATATAGTGGATTTTCCCATTAAAAATGGTGATTTTCCATAGCTATGTTAGTTTACCAGAGGGTAATTAGGATGATCCAATCACCAGTCAAAGCCTCAAATGCTGAATGGCCACGATGAACCTTTCAGAATGGCGAATTCTCTGTCATCCTGTCATAGTATCTGTCGATAAATGACTAATTGACCATGGCATTGTTCCATTCAATTCCTGGTACAAAAGGATTTTGATTTAAGCAAAGAACTCAAAAAACAACTAGAATTTACCCTCTGGTAATTTAACATAGCTATTGAAAATGACCATTTATAGTGGATTTACCCATTGAAACTGGTGATTTTCCATAGTTATGTTAGTTTACCAGAGGGTAACAATCAAATAGTCAAACATCTATAGTCAAATCCTATTTCTTTGAAACATCCACAGGGTAAATACCCATTGACTAAACAATGATCCACAGGTGATTCAAACATCTATAGTCAATGGGTATTTACCCTGTGGATGTTGAACTATTACCATCGATTATAGGGAATGGATGGTCCACGAAAAAACAAGGGATGACCACCTCTCAGGGATTTTATCATTACAATATAAAACAGTATATATAATATAATATAATTAATATAATATAATATAATATAATATAACATAATATAATATAATTAATATAATATAATATAATATAATACAATATAATATAATATAATACAATATAATATAATACAATATAATATAATATATCATATCATATCATATCATATCATATATATATATACATACATACTGTGAATAGCTGAATAAACAAACCCACACATATACCATTGAACAAATACCACTATACATCCATTTATACCAATCCACAATATCAGGGGACGGTCTGTATGGTATTCATGTGGTATCAATAAAACAAGCGCACAGCGCCCATCCAGCACCACAAAGCCACGCACAGCCATGATGGCTTGAACGCAAACTTTGGAGGCAGAACTCGTCCCAGTTCCGCTTTGTTCTGTCCTCTAGTTTTTTTTTCTATTCTCATGATATATGTTCATCCTAGTTCAATTTCTTATTGTTTCCTATGGATGTTCTATGGTTTCAATTTCTTCATCCTATTCCTGGCCGCCTGGCCTTTCCTTCGGTTCTTTCTCTCGACCGGTGTTGGGCCCCGGCGGCATCGCTCATCGGAGCACAACCCGGATATCGCCTCGCTTCCGGGCTGGTGAATCAGCAGGGTTTCAATCTGGATGTCTTTTACCATGGTGAAATGGTGACTGGTTGGTGGTGCAATAACCATGGTTTTTATAGTGATTAATAGTGGTTTATAGTGGTTATTAGTGATTAATACCTGATCTAATGAATAATATATCTGGTTGGTGGTGCAATGTGCCCATCTTGAAAAATGATGGACTTCGTCAATGGGAAGGATGACATCCCATATATGAAATGCGAATATAAAAAAAAAAAAACAACTTCGTCAGTTGGGATTACAGTAAATTATTCCATATATCGTGGATTTGTTTTCCACATGTTCCAAACCACCCTCACCAGATAGGTTTTTGTTGGAAATTCATGGATTGATAAACTGAGAAAAAATTGGAGAATCCACAAGACCAATCCACATGTTTTTTTTTTAACCATCTGGTTATGACTCACAGTTCGCCATGGAAAATCCCAACCATAAATGGAGGTTTCTAGCTGGGAAAATCATCTATTTCTATGGGCCATCTATACCATGGCTATGTTAAATAACCAGAGGGTATGCGAAACTTGGGAATTCAACCAATGAAATATGTGGAGGATTTTTTCGCAACCCAAGAAAGAACTGATTTTTTTCGCAAATCAAAACCTACTGTGGATAGAGATGAAGTCTCGTAAACAGAATGAAGAACCACACCATATTCTGTGCGTTCGACTGCGGATAAAACATCCTTCACCCATCGGCTTCTTTCCAAATCACAGACCCTATCCCTACAAATCAATTTATATAAATGCATGCTACATGGGTATATGATGGTATAATGTGATGGCCAATCTTCGACACCCTAAACCCTTCCCAACAAAATAGCTGACAATAGCTGACATGCTGAGCCTACCTCCCCAAAGGTTTCTGTGGAAATGTCCATGTCGTGAGTTTATCCATGTTTATCCCCGGTGGACATGACTTCAATAACTGTGGCCCACATGATACTGATTAATGTTGTCTGACCAATAGTGATATCTTGTCAATATTATTTTATTTAGGGTGGATTTACTATTATGCAGCCAACATTAGTAACTATTCATGAGGTTTATACACCAACAAAACATATGACTGGAAGTCTCCACTTTGTAGGATGATCAAACATCTTCGCCACCACAGGGATCCACAGGGGCCCAGCAGGCAATCCCGTGCGATGAAGTCTTGTCGTTCTTGATACGACTTCCAACTCTCAGCGTTCATGACCTCTGGACCGGTGCTGTTCTTCCCGGTGACCCATCTGCTACCTCGAGGCCCCAGTAAGAATTACCATGAATTACCTACATTTACCAGGCAAGTGATCATAGCTGGTAGCTAAATATACATACAATACATACAAATATACTGTACATCAAGCATGCGGGCGAAGACGTATGAAGACGTTTGTGTTTTCTATTTCGTGGTTGAGGTGAACACCACCAATCAGCTGAGGATTGGAACTTGGTACATCTTGGTACTAGATTCTTGAAATGCCAGTAAAACTACAGCTGATTACAGCTGACTCCTTTGTGCACACCAGAAAACATGATATGTGCTGCTGCGCGTTGATATGGAGAGACGGGGCATCGCAAAGGATCGATCTCGCAACACCATGGAGATATGGAGCGAGAAGGGTCCGCAAAGAATGGAACGGTTCAAAAAGGGTCCATTCAAAAACAGGAATGGATTTAACAAATCCCAGGAAAATCCCGTTCCTGGAAAGGCGTCGTGGCCTATTGTTTCAGGCCACTTTTGGCCTAGTGGTCCATTTTTAAGTGGCAAATTGACAATTGATGCAAATTGCAACTCTCCACCAAAAAAAGCACTTCATCGCTGCAAAATGGAAATCCTCCTTCGAAAAAATGGTCCGCCCAACTGAGCTGACGGCGGAGACAATCTTTTCCACCCGGTAGCCACGTGGCATCTGCGGGGGGACCGTCCCACGGAGGAAGTCCACTTCAGGAACCAGGAGGCTTTGTTTGGGTAAATGAGCATATTTCACTCACCTATACTCACCTGAATCAATTGATTGACGGGAAAAAAATAACCGGAAACCATCGATTTTCCCATTGAGATATATGGGGCTTTCCTGTAGTAAAAACCAATCCATTGACTAAAAATTGGGCTATTTCGGGATGGTTCCCCGTACTAAGCAATATTGAAGATGTGGCACGTACGTATCATTCAACAGGTGATCATAGAATGGAACCTCTGGTGTACAAGGTGAACGAACTGAACGTTTATGTAGGATATAAAACATTTTATCACTATATCAAACAAATACACATACATAATCGTCATGTAGGGTTTATGTATCAAATTATATCAACGCACACACACAATGTTTTAGGGCCCCATTGCCGTCAAGAGATTGGACAGAGCATGGTTGTACAAAGGGGATGAATCAATCAACGACTCCTTGCACAAGCTTCGCAGCAAATGCGCCCATCTTGACGGCCTCAAGGGCACAGGCCCCATCTGTCTCTGTGCCACACCAGCGAAGCATTGAATGCATGATTTCGGCGAAGCTGGCGGCCTCGAGTGCCAATTGACTGGCTTTCCCCATCTGGGAAAAGTTGACTTGCCATCCTCGCAGGCGCCACCTGTCATAATCTTGGAATGTGGTCCAAGAGCCTCTTTTTACGGTGTAGTTATGCAAATTTAAGGATGGGTCAAACTCTATCAGACAACTTTGGGGGGTGACCATCCATGTGCTCATTACTTTGATAGGAAAATCATGCTAGATGGACCCTGCAACATTGACCCCGCAAATCAGTGACATTGATGGCTAATGTTCATTTCCTGCCCTAAAATGACCATATATCTATATTGTGCGCAGACCGATTTTCAAACAAACCCAGCTATCATGTCGTTGGCTGGTTATATACCTTAACATACCGGAACGATCCAGAACGTATCTCTATTTAAAGATTATTTACCCAGTATATCATACATCCCATGATAAAGCACTAACTATACATGAACAATCAACATGAATTAAATATCATGCATTAAACTAACATTCAGTGATGAATTTCCAACTTTCTGATGGTCGTTCAATTAAAAATCCCATGATATAAATCCCTCAAAATCTGGTTGGTGGTTTGAAGCCCTCTGAAAAATATGAAAGTCAGTTGGGATTATCATTCGCAATATAATAGGAAAAATAACATAGACCCTGAAAATCACCCATTTTTAATGGAAACTAGTCTTCCAACCCCTATCTGCCAGGGTCGAACTGTTAATTTACCAGAGGGTATATGGAAAAATCACAGCCACGTTCCAAACCACCAACTAGAAATGGTTGGTCGCCTCGCCAGCGCCGCGAGCAGCCCGGTCCCTCGTCACGATGCTGGCCTTGTTGGCGACTGTCAACGGATGGGTAACATGCGTTGGGATTGAGTTCTGAATGGGAATATAACCTGGGGATATCAAACATGGATAGAACATGATAGGGCTTGGGTGAATCTTTGGGATTTTGGGGATACGACAACAGGGATACAACCAACAATATAACAATTATGCAAGTTGACTCTATGCAGTGGTGAATGGGGGGAGCCTGTTGGCCGATTCAAGGCCATCAAACTTGCCCCTCAATCTTCATCCATGATGTTTTGGTGGCTTGGTGGGCGACTATATCGCTAATTAGAAACTTTCCAAGTCACTGACCTGTAATTCCTGTTCGAATGGCAACAACGTTGAGTTAGGGGCAGTTATCAACCCATAAATTGGGCTGCAAAGCCAGCCAGCCGGCAGCCAACGGCTCCGCATCCGCACGTCAATCCGCCCAATTCTTCGCCGCATCGACGAGCTCCAATAGACAGACACACTCTGTATCAGCATGTTTGCAGGTCAGATTATGCACCCCTTTTTTGGCTATGTTCATGATATACTCACTGGATTGGTTTAAGGGAAAATTTACAGGAAAGCCCCATATTTAATGGGAAAATCTATGGTTTCCTGTAGATTTTCCCTTAAACCAATCCATTGATATACTGTTTCTACTGGAAAATTGTTTCACATGCTGTAGGTCGTCCCCGTCGGACTTCTCGGTTGCCTCTCTTGTTGATTTGAGGCTCGATTGGTTCATAGCCCAGATGTTCCCACCTGGAACACATCAAAGTCAACTGAAGCTGAACACATCCTGTTTGAAGGGACAGGTTTTCTGTGTCTCAGACAATCAATCCATCAATCCACAGACCCGTCCGTTTCATCACCTCATGACCTCATGGTTGGAGAAATTATATGGAAAATCCACAAAGATGTGTTCGATGAATTTCACCCAAATCACCCAAAAAGTCAGTCTTAGAAATGCCCACCAAGCAGCGGTCAGTGAAATCCCACTAGCCAAAGTGAGGAATGATGTGTGTTTTTCGAAGTCTGGTACCAGCAGAAAAAAATCACCTGAACACGTTCAAAACCGCTTGGAAAATCCTTTGGTAATGCTTGGTTACTTGGGATTCCAAAAGATTCTGATTGCTGATCCCAATCTATACCCTCCGGCAGTCATCGCTGGAAAATCCACCATTTAAAGCTATTTTGCTATCTGGAAACCTATATTCCTGGATGGTTACATGGGGTACCCTCTGGTAAACTAACATAGCTATTGAAAATCACCATTTTTAATGGGAAAACTCACTATAAATGGCAATTTTCAATAGCAAACTGTTAAATTACCAGAGGGTAACAAGAAAAACAAATCATCAACCAAGAAACTTGACCCTGACCTGCACCCATGATGGAACCAGGTACCATAAATCGACCCGAAAATTTTCAAATCTGGCAGGTATCAATAGATATGGCGCATATCAACAGCCCATGGAAAGTGTCATCAATCTGGCTCTAAAGAACCTTAAAAAGACGATTTTTTCTTGCATCATCTGGCTACAAAGCCCATAATGTGGTAAACCATGGTAAACCCAATGCCATAAACCACATAAACCATCCCATTAAGCAACCTGGGGTCATTAAAAAACATTGACCCATTCCGAACAGGCAAAACCATGCTATACAAGGCTATACCCAACGGCATAAACCTCAAACTTGGGGGTTGAACCTATGGCATTGGGTGAATCCCACAAAATCAACCTGAATCAAGTGAGCAGTGTTCAAAAATGTTCAAAACCCCTTGCGTCGTCACTTTATAGACACTGGTTAACAGGGATTTCGCTCTTATTATAATCTCCAATATTACATGAATATACAGTATTGATTAGTATAATATAGTATAATATAGTATAATATAGTATAATATAGTATAATATAGTATAATATAGTATAATATAGTATAATATAGTATAATATAGTATAATATAGTATAATATAGTATAATATAGTATAATCACCTACAATAATCAATCAACTGTCGCGTTTTGAACACTGAAATTGACCCACCCAGCCTTCATGGTCTTGTCGAAGAGTTGCTGAAATTTCTCCTTCAGACTGGGATCGTCCAGATCGGCCTGACGTTGTCGAACGCCACGTTTTAAAGAAACCTGAAGGGCTGGAGTTATAGATATAGTTAAGATACAACATCATACACCAAAACATGAATCAACAACATGTTGAACACAATATGATATATGTCGACATAAAATGTTAAGTTATATGGAGTAACTCTGGATGTCTATATGGATCCTGTTTCAATTTCATCCCATCTCCATGTCAAAACAGACTCTAAGCTTGGTCAGGTGGGGTCGAGATGGGTAAAATGCGCTGATCCGTGGCGTTGCGGAGGGCACCGGAGTGATGTTCTCATCGAAACTCACTTTCTGCCGCTTTAAAAATATGGAGGTTTCCTAAAATGGGGGTACCCCCAGTCATCATCCATTTATAGATGGATTTTCCCTAACAAAAACCATCCATTTGGAGGTACCATTTCAAGAAACTCCCATGTGTTACGTGAGATGCCATTGATTTAATTCCACCGGTGCCTAAATGCCGGTGATGTTGTTTGAGTATATCCTCAAGTAACTACCAATACTGTTTAACTATAGCACTAAATCACCAAATATCATAGGAACTATATAGATGTTTGGTTATATATGACTGATATTCTCTCCTATATATATAACATTATAGAACATAATAACGATTTAATGGTGACCTGTCTCCATGCCTTCTTGAACATCTTCATAGAGGCGTCGTCCCCAACCTGGGCCACGGCATGGGGATATGGGGCGTAGGCTCGCCTGCGCGAAATCCAGGGATGTTGAAATATGCGCTTCATTCCAGGTTCGAAATATCGCTTTGTCACAAAGAGGGGGTTACCCAGAATGACAAGGTCATGGAGAAAATGATGAGAAAATGATGAGAAAATGATGAGAAAATGATGATCGGATTCTGGAGAGGTACACAGAGATGAGGATCCCATTGGTGCGTCCGCATCAATCACCATGTATCACCATAATATACCCTAACTGCACAAAAATATACGCAAGTGCATGCCGTAAAATGTCATATATCCCATGGTGTGTTGGTTGAATGTCCACGTTTCGCTTGACGCCGCATCATCCAAAACGGACAACGGTTGATTACTGGGGGGCAGCCCCGTTGTGATGGGAATGTTGGTTTAGATTCACGCCACGGATATACCCTCTGGTAAATTAACTTGTTGACCCTGAAAATCACCCATTTTTAGAGGAAACTAATCTTTCAACCCCGACAACTGCCAGGGTCTATGTTAATTTACTGGAGGGTAGTTATGAGATGTTATGAGATGTTTTGAGTATCATAAACCAGAATGAAATTGGAGTTATGTTCACCAACTTAGCTATCATCAATCAGCAAGAACAATCCCATAAAAAGAAAAACAACTTAAAAACCTTGGTGAAATCAGCATGTTCACAAGCCTCAGGCCTTGAAAGCCTAGGCTATGCCACCGAGACACAAGGTCAGTCACTTCCCAGCCCGATGGCAAGCGCTTTAAGTGCCGAAGCTTACCTAAAGCCTCCTCGTACCTGCGGAATTTTCTGGCGGTCGGTAAACAAACATGTGGGGAAATACATCATTATCATCATTTTTTTTCCACTTCGCTTTAGCTGACTCTACTCACGGGTCTTCCGATTCATAGATCCTCCCCAAATTGAAGGGCTAGCCCCTCGCTGACCTGCTTCGGCAGTCGGACTCTGGTCCAGTCATAGTTTGAGACAGACTTTACAAAAGTGTACTAGTTGGTGGTGCAATAACCATCTTGACACATGATGGAGTTCGTCAATGGGTTCCGGATTAATTATCCCATATATATCCATATATGAAATGGAAAATCATCCAGCCATGTTTGAAACCACCAAGCAGTGTACCCTCTGGTAATTTAACATAGCTATTGAAAATGACCATTTATAGTGGATTTTCCCATTCAACATGGTGATTTTCCATAGCTATGTTAGTTCACCAGAGGGTAAAGACCTCATGATCATTCCCCTGGGAGCATTCCATTGACCAAATCTGGCGAAGCCGAAGAAACACTTTCCGTCGGTGGTTGATCTCGTTGCCACCAAGATGCAGCCCTCTGGTAAACGTTTACATAGCTATGGAAAATCACCATTTTTAATGGGAAAATCCACTATTTCTATGGTCATGTTCAATAGCTATGTAACAAATTACCAGAGGGTAGATTTCATGTTCCACCTTCTTTTCCGGAATAGATGGATACCCCAGCCACTCATTATGTGCTCCTTCCCACGGGATAAAACCAACCCTTACCCTCCGGGAATCAAATACCATAGATGATTTTCCCATATTTTCCCAGCCACTTTTCAGGTTCCAGTTTTCTCCAGTCTTTCCCATATTTCAATATATTTCATCCAGTGTTTCAACCGCTGAGAACAATGTTTTGTTCTGGTTTCTGTTGCTATTTGCTATAAAAACATCATGCCAAACACTACTACATCAAACAGTATGGTTTCTTCATCTGGGACATATGCAATTCATAACCTGTCATAACTTACACATGTTACAGGGTCTTGGGGCAAATTGAGAATTCCAATGCATGAAATGAGCCATCTTTTTTGGGGTCGTTGAGCCATAATGGGATCAGCTAGAGACTAATCACTTTACCATGGGACCATAAGCAAATCGATCGTCGAAACCGTTCGAATCCGTCGAGTAATAGCATGAGGATAATGGAAGGTGGCAAGCCTACACGACCATATGACGTAATGTCAATATCATATCATGTCATATGATATCATATATGTAATATAATAATATAGCATGACTATTATGATATAATGAACTACAATGTAATAACATGTAACATACAATGCAATAGCATATATATATATAATAGTATATAATATACATACTACATAATATATGGTGTGCAATGTATGATATATAATATAAAATATAATATAATATATATGGTGAACAAAACATATAACATGTATAATATATATATAATTGTCGGTACATATATTAAATTATTAAATAATATGTAAATATATAGAACACATAATACACAATTTAATATATACATACAGTATATAACATATACTGTAAAATAGTATCATACATAATATTTAATATTCTACGTTCTACAATAGATATATTCATTGTATCATCAAACATCACTGCACATCAACATGATTGGTTGAATCATTCAAATCAAATAGTTAGTGGAGGTACACCTATCCTAGATCCATAGGGAAGACTGGTCAAACATAGTCACACCATCCAAGCCAATCCGCAAAAAAAAAGTGCACTCAGTATGCTTACAGTAAATATGTTTGATATTCATGATAATCATCATTTTTCCCTTGATGATATAATGTAGTAAACCCATTAATGGCCCATTAATAAACCATCACCAACAACACTATAAATTGGTGGTAACTATCATCCCCAAATGATAGGCTTTTGGCACATGATATGCCCGTTAGATGATATACCCATATATATATAAATAAAACAATTTGATTGTTTATCCGCAACATTCATATTTGTCTGGTTAAAGTCACTCTATCCATATCTTGCCATAGAAATATCCCATTAGTATCTCCCATTAGAATCCCATGTATATTCCATTAAAACTCCACTAAACCTCATTTAAACCGATAAACAAATCCATAGATAAACTATTAAAATGAATCAACATAATTCACCTAATATCCATCCTTGCCATACAAATTACACATAGTTACACCATGGTTTCACTCATGCCCAGCTGTCGGAAAAAAAAAAACAAAAAAAAAGATCCCGGGGCACTTGCTGGTCAGTGCCGAGGACAAGCTCTCGTCCGCCCCTGTGAAGTCCGTCTGCTTCGCTGCGACCACCGCCTGGCGGCGGACGGCGGTCGTTTTCGACGGGAGACCGTTGCAGTCAGCCTTTTTCGAAGGAGAGTTAGGGATGAGACATGTGGGAGTTTGATTGGATTTTGAAATGAATTTAAATTATGTTGATGGGATTCATGCAGGATTTTTACTCATTCTGATGGAATCGAAACATCAAAGAATGGAAATCCAATGGAATTCAACCGACAAAAACTCAATTTTAATGGGGTGAAGATTAAAGATGATTGGGTGAGTTCTGACATGCGCAGTGACAGTGATTAAAACCCTGTTTGATTAGTACATAAGTTCATGAATAATTCGTTTCGATGCATCATCAATACGATTATAGGGTTTTTAACCCTCGACAATAAATTGAATAAATGATGAATTGAATATGATAAGAGCTCATAGTTATACGCCCTGCTTGGGGATCATTATCCCCCATAATGGGAATCCCCATCTTATGATAACTTATGGAATTCCCATCAACCAGTATGAAGGTATGACACAGGGAATTTAATAATTAAACTCTGCTCACATGGCTGACATGGCTTATGGATGCTTAGCTTGTGTAGCTCTCCACACAGCATGGATCCATGATTTATCCTAGACAGGTGACCAAGCACTTCGAAGCCATGGGACCCCAGATTTATCACTCCCAAAAAACACATACCCGAGGGGAAGCGAAAAGGCGAGGTCCATCCAGTATGAAAAGACTTTACCCACAATATACACAATATAGCTATGGCAAATGACCCATTTACTTCGATGATAAATATGATGATGTACAATGTTACAAATGGTGATCTTAAGAAGTTGTTAAAATCTGTTAAACCAGAGCGTCTATGGCTTTCTTCACCACGTAGCGCCTCTCGGAGAGCCTGTTCCTTGCCACTCTCCACCGCTTCTTTCAGCAAGCGAAGGACCGTCACCTCGACAGCGCAGTTTTCCGAAATTTTGGACTGCCAAGGATCAACCATGTCAACCCAGGACGGTTGCTGAAATTGAATTGGATTTCACAAGTATATCAGTATATCAATGTATATCATATCCGAATGGTGGAAGCGATAGCGAGGACCGAATTCTAGGGCTTGGTTTCTGGTGTTTTTATGGTTTGCACAGAAAAAAAATGTGTTTTGAACCGTTGCTGGGCAGGGGACTAAGCCAACGTATATGATATAATCCAGCTAGATTAATGAAATATTCCAAGCTAGATTAATGTCCCTGGGTTTCCAAGATGATGCTGAAAAGCATCTTACAGCAACAATGGTATCCCAAGATATCCCAAGTGTGGTTGAAAGATGGCCAGTTATGGCTCAAAACCATGGTACCCAAATGGTACCCGTTTAGTCATAGCTGGTTAATGGATGGATATTCCCCCAATATGTTAATTTAATAGGTTTTGAATTGTTTTGACCCATACCCATATTTTTCAAGATATTCAATAAGATATTTAAAGATATTCAAAATTCAAAGTAATATTTTTTTCGATAATCCCAATCATGGATCATCATCCCAATCATGGATATTTAAAGATATTCAAAATTCATAGTAAATACCCTCTGGTAAACTAACATAGCTATGGAAAATCACCATGTTCAATGGGAAAATCCACTATAAATCACCATTTTCAATAGCTATGTTAAATTACCAGAGGGTATGTTTGGAACTACCAACCAGAGATATGTCGATACGTAGGAGTTAGACGTACCTCATATCCATGGAGATCCCAAGTCGGACTTGGGGATCTTGGGCTGTGGTCTTTTCACAGCTTTTCACAGCACGGTATCGGCATATACTGGCCCTGAAACATCAAATGAAAATGCAGAAAAAAAACGCAAGCTTTGTTCATGCGACATGTGTTATCGTTTGTTCAACTAACACCTGTCTATTCCTACTTTTTCTCTTTACAACTCGTGCTGTGCTTCTGCCACTGTTCATAGCAGCTCTTGGATTCATGTGCGATGTCAATATTCCGTTCCGCTTGGAATCAATCAACAAGACTACAATGTGGGGCCCCCTAGATAGCTAAGTTGGTTTATAAATCCAATAACTATGGTTTATGATACTTATTTATAACATATTTATAACTATGGTTTATGATATTTATTTATAACTATATGGTATTCATGGGGTTTACAAACCAACAAACATCACTGGCGGGGCCACATCGTACGAGTATGAGTTACCTTTCAGTTTAATTTTGGTAAAAGAATAATAAACCATCCCCATTGAAAAATTATAACATATCATTGAATGTCATTGAATATCATTGAATATCACCTTAGTTATATCAGTATATCATTGAATATCATTGGGAAATTATAACACATCATTGAATATCATTGAATATCACCAACATATCATTGAATGTCAGTCAATATCACCTAAGTTATATCAGTATATCATTGAATATCAGTGAATAACATTGAATTGAATGTGTTACCCTCATTAGATCCATTTTAGATCCATTAATATCCATAAAAATGACATTTCGACTCGAATCCACCGGTCAACTCCCTCCTGACCGTGGCACCGCGGCACCTGATCCTTATCCAGGAGCCACTTGGGCACCGAGATCTTTAGCTGCTCGGTATAGGCAATCGCCTCGGCCGACGTTGGTTCGTATGTGGAAGGAACATTCACCCAACAAAAATATCAACATATGTTCAATGGATTGGTTTAAGGAAAAATCTTAACCGGAAACCATGGTTTTTACCATCAAATATAGGGCTTTCCTGTAATTTTTCCCATCATCCAATTCTATGATATGTGGATTAGTATGCTTTGATATGCTTTAGTATGGTGAAATATGTGGTTTAACTATGTTTAACTTACTGGTGCTTAGTGCTTGGAATTTTCGGGAATGATCCCAGTCATCACTAATAATCGTCCCATTCAATCATTCCCCCAGTCCCATCCATTCCCTACGTTTAGCACCAGTAAGTTAAGATACGTCAAGTATAGTTTCATATGGATGTGGGTCAAAATGGAAGACCTAGGGGACCACAGATGTTAGTCTAGTTTAGTATTAACCATCCATAATTTTGGGGTACCTAATTTTGACCCATACCCATATGTTTTTAGATTTTTTTCGTGTGTTTTTCAGCGGCTCAACATAATGCGGCACATTTCATTTGCAGGTCATCCCGCAGACGCTGGGAATGCTGGCCGGAGTCCCCAGCTTCAAACGGGAACATATTGGAAAAGATCCAGGGAATTCATGATGTTTAAAATATTTTCAGTGGTTTTTCCATAAATTTATATAGATTTATATAAATTTAAAAATGACCTGAGCCTACAAGTTCGGAAAGCATCTGCAACCAATCCACATCAAAAGTGCCCGTGTTTTTTCTCCGTTTTGATCGTTGCCAAATCCCCGGCCGGTTTCCCCGGCCGGTCTCCCCGCCCATCCCCCCAGGGCCCCTCGCAAACTCCGCCGCCGCCGTGCGTTTTTCCAGGGAGCCCGTCTTCAGCTCTCGGTACCTCTGTGTCACTGGGGACATCGATGTTTTTTTTGGGGGGATTCGAAATCTGAGTTGATTAATGAACCATGAAGTTGTCCAATGGAACCAATAAATTGCTTGAAGGGGGTCATTAAGGGAAGGGGTTGGTTTGGTTTGGGGTTTATCAAACCTCTGAGATCCAACCAAAAATCCATGTTCCATGGCACCCCAAGAAAAAGGCCTACAGTTATTCCCATGTTCTAAGAAAAAATCGCAAACCCAAGTTCAGGCAATCGACGATTTTCCCGAAAAGTCACAACAGAAATACCCAGGTATGCATCCAGAAAGAAACACCATCAACCGTGAGAATTCCCATCAAACCATTAGTTGAAATCCTAGTTTTGTTGCCTTTGCTGCTTAAATCATGAAATTTCCGTGATTTTTTGTCCGCCATGGCACCATGGTTCGAAGATGTCCCACAAGCAGCTGTCGAAGTCTCAGCGTGGGCTGTCGGTCTATGCCTTGGATCCTTATGGTGATTTCATGGGACTTAACGAACAACCTTGTGGATGTATTGGGATTATAATATAGAAAATAAATAGTTCTAGACCTTTGAATAAATATATATATATATATGATTAACATTAACTAACTTCAATTACACGCGCTGCAATCGTATGGTATACCGAACCTGCATTGGAAAAACACATGCCATTGAGAACCGCGAATCATCCATCATTTTCCATGACCTCATCAACAGGCCAAACTACACAGTCATCCTGGAGTAGATATGGACATGTTCATAAAACACCTCACAAAAAAAGGAATATGTTTAAACATTTCATATTTTATTTACTTCAGGATCATTTGGTATATGTATGTACATATGTATATATATATATGTGTGTGTCTATGTCTATGTTTATGTTTATGTCTATGTCTATGTCTATGTATATGTATATGTAAATGTAAATGTAAATGTATATGTAAATGTATATGTATATGTAAATGCATATGTACATGTATATGTATATGTATATGTATATGTATATGTATGTGTGTACATGCATACTGAACAACCAAAGTGAATATCCATGGTCTGTACAGTGTCAGCTAGGCCCCCATGATAATTCCACATGGTCGCTTGGTAAGTAGCTATGTATTGCGAGCCATGGCATGTTGTCAAAGATGTTTCAATCAAATATTAAGAGATGCTAAGGATGAGCCAATAAAAAAACTGTCCCGGCAAGAGACCCCCAAACAGCGTGGGGTGGGGGGGGGGCGGGAGGATAATGTATGACCATGTTGTTGATGTTGATGATGATGATGATGATGATGATGGTGATGATGATGAAGAAGATGATGATGATGAAGAAGAAGAAGATGATGATGGCGACGACGATGATGATGATGATGATGATGATGATGATGATGATGATGATGATGATGATGATGATGATGCGACCGGTGATGTTGAGGATGATGATGTTGAGGATGATGAGGTGCAGGAGGATGATGTGGGGGATGATGATGTTGAGGAGGATGAGGATAAAGGTGATGATGTTAAGGAGGGTGAGGATGACGATGACAATGCGAAAGATGAAGTGGAGGAGGACAAGGTGCAGGATGATGATGAGGAGGAGGAAGGGACAATATGTTGAGGATGATGATGTTCGGGAGGATGATGAAAAGGATGATAATGTTGCGGAAGATAAGGTGGAGGAGGATGATGTTGAGGAGGATGTTGTTGAGGATGATGATTTGCAGGAGGAGGATGTAGAGGATGATGATGGTGAGGAGCATGAGGATGAGGATAATGATGTTGAGGAGGATGAGGATGAGGATAATGATGTTGAGGAGGATAATGCGGAAGAGAAAGTGGAAGAGGACAAGGTGCAGGATGATGCTGAGAAGGAGGAATATCATGATGTTGATGATGATGATGATGAGGAGGAGGATGATGAAAAAGGATGATAACGTTGCGGAAGATGAGGTGGAGGAGGATGAAGTTGAGGATGGTGGGTGATGTGAAGGGGGAGGAAGATGATGATGTTGAGAGAGATGATGTTGAGGAAGAGGACCGACCCCAAGACCTAGGACCACACTTTGCGCGAGCTTGCGCAGTCGAAATACATTTGGTTTCACAAGAGGAACTTGTACGGAAATTTTATAGGCAAAATGCTGGGGCCCAGAGTGAGCACCCTGATCAAGCACAGGCCTTTACTCCTACCATAAGAACCCCTCAGTGTGGACACACTGCTTGGGGAAAAAGCATATATCAAGCCTTACCCAATTCTAGTCAAGTCTATCACTTACACTCCCAGTTGAGGTTGCTACAATTCGGATTTCGGGTGGCACATGGTGGCACACGCCCGGGGATTTCAACATACCCAACCCCGGTTGATCATTGGTCGACTTCTTGTTTTAGGAAGTGATTGACTTTCCATCCTTGGCCGTAAAAACCAGATGTGTGGTGATTAAACCCACATTCATGGCCTTTGGATGCATTTATGGTGTTAAATTAGTATATCAAGTTTTTAGCTACCCTCTGGCGACATGGCCTGCTGGAAACTTTCCCATGGCCCATGTAGTTCAATGATTTGCCCATATGTATATGTATATATATATATATATACATATAATTTTATCCAGATATAGATGCCCATGGCCCATGGCTTGTTCATGGCTAGTTCGGGGATTTCCCAGCTATTCATGTTCGATGACGGGAGGTACTTTGCTGATAAAATGTCTTCCCCCTATCGACCCAAATACTTCCTGAGAATCGAAGGTTCTTGGATCGATAAGGCTGAGCAAAAATATCCTAATTTTGCTGGTTCCGGCCGCCATACAGTTATATTATATGGCGTTCAAGAGTAAGGGGATGAAATCATAACTGATAACTCCTGCAACTGGTTGGTTATAGACACTTATAGATACTTCTAGATCACTTAAGTAAACTATTATACTTAAGTGAGGTTTTTGCAGTTATAACTGGCTTAATGCGGGACCCGGGCGCCTTCAGCCAGGCTCCAACGTTTCAGGGTGGATCGCACCCCAACCACCTCGGACATCAGACACCTAACTGCACCTGGGTCTGAAAATGGGCTATGCCTTTCAATAAATGGCCTTGGTGATGGGGAATATATATATATACATATTACACTGATTAGACATAATGTATGTATATATTATACACACATTAAATATGTAATTGTTGTAAATAAGTTATTAACCATCGAATTTGGGAGTACCCTATAGTCAAACAAACTCATATGTTCCATGGTGCTGGTATATACCATCAAGATCCATCAACCGCCGGTCAACTCTCGTTGTCTTTGCACTGGCTGACCGGCCTGATCAGAACAAACCCGCTGTCTCTCGGAGGTTGTGAGTTAAAATGCAAGGTACAGCGCCATCAATGAGACCACGCGGATATGGGCGGTGGTCCAACTAGCTAGATTTTGAAATATACTTTACTATATACAATATAGTGTTGTTTGGAATATTGACAACACAATTTTAAAAAATCCTCCATGCGAATCTCAAACCGGACTCATGGTTTCAAAGGTCCCAACATATACCACCAAAAACAAGGCTAATCCAAGATGCCAGTCTTTACAGAGCATTTGCAAATATCATCAATGTTCAACTATGGACCATTTCTTGCCTACGAAATCAGGGTAGGCAAAACCCGTCAAATGTAAACCAAACAGTATCATGTGGGAACCCCAGCAATCTACCTACCATTTGGCACGATTTGGGGATGGTTTATACCACCCATACAAATGGTGAACTGGGGGATGGTTTGTCATTAGCTTTTCCACGTTAATTAGTCCAAATCTTTTGTGACGAGAATAAGTATATACTTCACCATGAGCTGAGAATTCACAAAACATGCGGGCTTTGCCCCCATCTCCTGGATGAACGCAATAGCACACCAACCTGGAAAGCCCCGCCAAAAAAAAAGTATATTTACCCCAATTCAATTCAAACCATCATTCCAGTGACGACGTGATGTGAAGTCGTGGTTTATTTTTCTTTCTCATATCCCTTCTGAATATCTGAATGGATCTGAGTGGTGTGTCCCATCAGCAAAACAAATCACTGGGCCGAGAAACTTTCTTCACGAGGTTCGGCAAGGTCTCGTCGCTAGCCTTCCGAAGAGATCATGACGGAAACAAGGTGTTGTATCTTTTTGGGGGTTGCTACATTGTAGGTTTTGACTCCGTTTGACCCATTTCCACATAGCTCGCAATGTTTGACTTGAAGACAGCACCGGCATGTAAATGCTTTAAAACATATCCGCCGACCCCGGCAGACGCAAGGGGGAGCGCGCCAGGGAATAAGACAAGCAATGGCCAGTAGCCAGCAGCTTATATATATATATATATGTATATATCCGCCGACCCCGGCAGACGCAAGGGGGAGCGCGCCAGGGAATAATACTTTTGATTCTTGTTTCGGACTACTACCGCTGCAGGGGTTTCAGAAGGGACGTTGGGCACTTTTTGGGCTCGATTTTGGCGCTGTTCCGTCCTTCAGGGCCACTGTGTTTCCCCGTCCGGGAGGGTGCGTTTTCAGCCTTGTTTCGGACTACTACCGCAGCAGGCGCAGCAGCAGCAGCAGGAGAAGTAAAGCAAAGACAAGCAAGTTTAGCCGCACCAGCAGCAGCAGTAGCATCAGCAGACGCCAGCACCAGCATCACCAGCAGCAGCAGCAGCAGCAGCTGCAGTACAGTAGCAGGAACAGCAAGAATAGCTGCAACAGCAGCGCAGCGGACGCCTGCACCACCACCAACAGCAGTAGCTGCAAAAATGTTGTTCTTCGGGGCAGCACACCACCAGCAGCAGCAGCGGGAGCAGCAGCAGCAGCCAGCAGCAGCAGCAGCCAGCAGCAGCAGCAGCAGCAGCAGCAGGTCAAGCCCCGGGGCAGCATGTTTTTGGAGGTCGTTCCATCCTTCAGTAGCATGGTGTTTCGGTGTGGCGAAGGGTGTGTTTTAGAGGCTTGCAGCGTTCCGTCCCTCAGGGCCAGTGTGTTTCCTTGTCCGGCAGGGTGCGTTTTGAGCCTCCGGAGGAAGAGCAGCAGCAGCAACAGAAGCAACAGGAGGGTTCTATGTCTCATTGTACAAACAGTGGTATAAAAATTGGTCGAAAACTATAAAACCTTGTCCAAAACTATTGTTTTTCTAGGGTTTCAGAAGGCACGTTAGGCACTTTTTGGGCTCGATTTTGGCGCTGTTCCGTCCTTCAGGGCCACTGTGTTTCCCCGTCCGGGAGGGTGCGTTTTCAGCCTCGGGAGGAAGAGCAGCAGCAGCAACAGGAGCAACAGGAGGGTTCTATGTCTCATTGTACAAACAGTGGTATAAATATTGGTTGAAAACTATAAAAACTTGTCCAAAACTATTGTTTTTCTAGGGTTTCAGAAGGGACGTTAGGCACTTTTTAAGGCTCGATTTTGGCGCTGGTCCGTCCTTCAGGGCCACTGTGCTTCCCCGTCCGGGAGGGTGCGTTTTCAGCCTCGGGAGGAAGAGCAGCAGCAGCAACAGGAGCAACAGGAGGCTTCTATGTCTCATTGT